CTGGCTGAAAATTGCTTGCACCTTGTTGTTGGTTGAAACCCCCAATTGATCCTCTCTGCTGGTCCTGTGACTGGCCTTGGTTGCCTTGTTGGCGCCAGTTACTATCAAAATTTCTTGAAGCTGTTCGACCATGTCCTTGATGACTTGCGCGCCGTTGCCCGTCTCCTGTATTGTCTCCGGTCTGTGGAAATTGAAAACCAGCCATGCCTCTTGGGGCAGGCCCTCGTCCGTTTCCGATGGCTAAAGATTGGCTGCGCATGTGAGTCCCGGCGCGGATATTTCCAGCCCGTTGGACACCCAGCCCATGTGGAGCTTGGGGTGTAGTGTTAATAGTAGCATGAGTGGTCTTTTCCTCAGGCGTGGCTGTTTCACCTTGGCCGGTGGACGATGTCCCAGAAGAACCAGGAATGGGAAACTGGAAGCCGGAAGTAGTTCGCTTCTGTTGTGCTAGTTCAGCGGCCTTTCTTGCCTCTGGAAGTGCTAGGGAGTGGCGACGTTGGTGGCCCCCTCCAGGAGTGCCACGACCGCGACCTTGTCCTTGACCCCCGTTTTCACGATTATGGTTCCCTTGGTTTTGGTTCTGTTGGTTGTACTCACTGTATGCTGAGCCGGATGACGGAGCGGGAGGTGGTCCCATATTGACATTAGGAATTGCAGATTGGTTGCGGCGATGTGACGGCTGGTTTGGATTGTTCATAGAGACACCCAGCTGCTGCTGTTGAACTTGCGGAAACTGAAATGCATTTCCATGAGAGGGCATGTTGGGGATACCAGCTTGGCCCTGCATCGTCGGAGAATAGGCGGCAGGCATATGTTGCAGGGGCTGTTGGGGTTGTATGTATCCCATGTTCACATATTGTTGAGTTGCAGCGATCTGTTGTTGCTGCTGCTGGAGAAGTTCGATCTGCTGCTGTAGAGCAAGTTGCTCCACTAGAGGAAAGTCTTAGCTGAATTTAAGCAACACATTGGAGGCGATTCGTCCTCTAGGTAAATGTGGAAAGACTTACTCATAAGAGGGGTAAGCTCCGATGGGCTTCTTCGATGTGCGATATGCAATCGCCGACCGGCCGGGCCGGGTACACCTGATTGTCCTTGTTGGTCCATGGCTGTAATATTACAAACAAGCTGTGCAATGCACGCAGGTGTATATAGTTCTTTAATAAAGAATTCGGTCCTGCTTAGATGCCTTAGACTAAGGAGCGGCTACTTAGTATCTTGCCCAAACGCGACGTGGATTAATCAGTATTCTAAGATGGGATGAAAGGTTAGCCTAGCCAGTAGCAAGAATGGCTACCTACGATAAGATGTATGGTCTTGACTCACAATTTATCAAGGGGTTGAATAAACTGTGGCCCTGTGCTGGACCGTTTTGCCTAATTGCGAGACAGGACAGCAAGATAGTATGCTTTATAAAGTCAATTGTTGGGCAGGATAGAAAGGATAGATGTCAGAACTCGGCAGCCTTTCTTATTCTGATTGACCGGGATTGTTTGCTTTTATTCCTGTGCACCGAGAGCCTAAAGGGAGGGACGGAGATGACCCAAAGAAGGGCTGATATGCAAGGGACCGAGGAGTTGCCTTGGTTTCGATCGTTTCGATGAAGAGCAAGAGCTGCTACAGAGCAAAAGGGACGTTAGACTCGAAGAGCCGATTTAAAACAGCAAGCACAAAGGAAGCAAACGGGTACCGTGTCAGTTGCCCGAGTATGTTTGCACCGAAAGTAGCTGGGATGAGGGGACCGAGCCAGGCTGCAGATATGTGTGTGGGTGGGAGTAAGAGCTCCGATAAATGAGGGAAGGATGAGCTTAGAAAGACCGGCTAAGAACAAGGAGCCCGATGGCGGGACAAGATTAAAAGCAAATTAAGAAACAGTATTAGTGGAAGAAGGGAAAGGTACTGCGAAGGATGTGGAGAGGAGAGATAGATTGTCCTGCCTCTCGGGAGTGAAAGAGAGTGAGAGTGAGAGTGGGAGAGAGAGAGAGAGAGAGGAGAGAGTGACGAGAGAGGGAGAGAGAGAGAGGAAGAGGGAGGATGACCAACGGGGACTGACGAGAGAGGAAGTTGCCTTGAAAGAGACAACAAGCGGGAAGGTGGAAGGGGGGCTTTTTGGGGAGTGCTCCTTCCTCCACTCGAGCCAGTTCTTCAACACTGGGAAGGAGCGACTGGGGCAGGCGTTAGGTAATTAGGGGGCTCACCGCTTTGGGTTTAGCTGCGATTCAGCTCCAGGGCGCTAGACCTAACTGGGCCTAGCGGGTTGGTACACGAGACAGAGAACAAGGCTAAACTGCTTTGGGGAGCTAGCTTGCTCTGCGCTGAGGGCGAGAACAAGCAACAGCTGCGGTCCGGATGATCACTGAGAGCTGGAAGCTGTTGCTTGCGGTGGCGATGGTGTTTGGTAAAGATGTATCTGTGTGCGGGAAGTGCGAGAACTGCACACGGCGGAGGCTGCTTGAGAACTGAGAACTGCAGTAAAGAAGGATCAGAGATCGAAAGGAAAAAAGGACGTGGTTGGTGATGAAGGAAGAAACAAAGAAGAGTGCTTGAGACAGCCGTTTTATGTCCCCGCAGGCCTGGGCTGGTGAGGGCTCGTCGGTAGATTTCAGGCAGTAGAACTCAAGACAGCAGCTCATCAAGGCGAATTGGTGATGTAAACGGGACCAAAGAACGACAGCTTCCACTGGTGTTTCCGTGGTTGCCGGTCCTTTTAGGCTTTGCCCATCAACAACCACAAAAAGCTCTCTTCTCACAATCCGCTCGATACATCGCCAACGTCGATTCCCGACCTTTGATCCTAGGCAGCGATTGCTGTCAAGTCCTTCGCTGCCATTGTTCAACGAGAGTAGCGCCCGTTAGAGCCCTCATCTTGACGGGGTTCGGTCTTTTCCTGGCACTACTCGCGGCAGCGCCGGGATTGAATCTGAGGATGCCTTGCTGAACCAGGGCTCTGAAAATACATCTCGTGAGATATATGACGTTCTCCATGGCCGTTTGGTATGTACCTGCTAACCGGACAATCCGCTGCCACACAGACACAAGCCTTGTTCTATCCGCCATTTGACCTTTGCCTTAGGTGTCGAGGGTTAACTGGTATCTCTTGACGCGACGGCGAGTGTCGTCTCTGCTTGACAACATTCTCGATTTCTTTGAGTCCCAAGGAGCCGATTATTATAAAAGGAGGATAGGCTCGCACAAAAGCCTATCTGGCAGCGGTGTTGCACAAGGCGGCGGTGTTATCTCGAGCCCCTGCCACCCCTCCATTTGGCTGTGTGGTGGTCAATGAATGTGCTCTCATTCATGGCAACGGAATCTCCATTTTTATAAGACAATTGGACATATTGAAGCCAACCTGCCTTCTATAATTGAATTTTTACACAATCGGAGCCTGCCATCCTTCCTTTCGTTATCCAGTCTTCATTTTCTCCCAGACACCCAGGCTACCGATGTAACTGCTTTCTCAAGAATTTTGCAAAAACTCAACTCTTGCGCAAAACCCCGTCTATTTGTGCGATTCAAACCCCCCACCTAGGAGCCGCTTCGTTACGTGCTTGCTGCTTGTTCAACTCATATTTCATCACAATGGTTCGCACAAGGGGACTGCTGGACAGTCCTTCTAAACAGCTGATGCAAGACCTTATCAGAGATCTTGAGCAAGTACGTTTACACAACATAGAGCTTAAACGGGTCAAAGAATACGAGCGCCGTTCATTCTACGAAAATTTGGATCGAATTGATCGTGAGCGGGAAGAGGTGCACAATGCAGCAATCAACGCTGCCGCTGCTAAGCGCGACCAGTTGCGACGCGAGGCAGAGGAACTATTACAGCAGCACTTAAAAGCAGTCGAAGAGGAACGAAGACGAAAAGAAGAAGCGGAGCGGAAACGGAGAGCAGAAGAGGAGCAGAAACGGAGAGAAAAGCTTGAGCGTGAAAGAGCTGAGAAAGAACGCCGTGAACGTGAAGAGGCTGCTAAGAAGGAAGCCGAAAGAATAGCGAGGGAGGCGGAAAAGAAACGACAGGCCGAAGAAGCCGAACGCCTGAGGAAAGCCAAGGAAGAAGAGCAGAGAAATCGTCAAGAGCGCGAACGGCTGGAACAGGAAAAGAAGAAGCAAGTAGAAGCTCAATTGAAAGCACGAAAGGAGCAAGAGGAAAAGGCTGCGGAACAAAAGAAACAGCAGGTCGAACAAACATTCCTTGGGGAAACTCGGCGGACTCCGCAGGAAATCGCTGAGCATCAGCGATATCTTGCGTTACATAAACATTTTAAGCAGTTTAGGAAGTACATGGTCGACGAGACGAAAAAAAATCCAGTCCTTAAACAACACATGGGGAGATATGCGACGAACGATCAAGAAATGCGTTGGCCAGCTATTAACTGATGATAAAGCTGCCAATAGAACTCCAGTGAGTTTGGCCCTACATCAGATACAAACCGTGCTCAGGACTAACCCTTTTAGACCAACGAGATCGTTACAACTCTCAAGAAAGCTTCGACTCTTCAAGAACCCAGTGTCGATATTCGTCAATTCATCGCCTTTCCTCCACCTCACATTGCCAGCGAAGAGGGAAGAGTTCCTGCGCTTCTAATATACCTTCTCAATATATTCTCTAAAGCGATAATTGCCCAACTGGCCGCGGAAGCTGGAATAACGCCAAAATGTGCCGGCCCACTGGGCGTGCTTGCTGCCCAGGTATTCTCCATGGACGCATTTGTCTATAAAGGCTGCCCGATGATTGACATCCTGCTCGCCAAATACCACTTCGTCTGCCCCGTCCTCTGGGGCTTTTACGGCAGCGAATCCACTGAGATGGGCAAAACAGCGTTAGGTTGGTTGCGCGACGAGCCAGGCGGACCTTTTGTTTCCCGCCAGGTTCACGAAGAACGCATGATTGGTCTAGGTGCCGGATTCGCAGCAATATCACTCCGCGACTTCTCTAGAACCTCACGGCAGAATCCGCTGCCGAACACGCATTTTTGGAAAGCCCTTAGCAACATCGTCAATGTTCCCCCCGAGGAAGTGCAGGATACGCATTTGACTGTTTTGGGTGCGATGTTGAAGTTTTCTGCGCCGAGGGTTGTTGGATTTTGGGGAGATTTGGGTCTTCTAGCTTTGAGAAACGCTATTGTGACCTTTCCGGGTTCGCTGCCGAAGAAATCAAGAGCGAGGTCATCGGTGGAGATTCTGAGGGAGCTTTATGCTAGAGAACAGAGGATATTACTCTAGTTGGCTGGTTTGAAAGGGAGCCAATCGTCTCCCGGGTGTCCGCCCACGGTTCCATCTGTGTTTTGGGGACACATAGATGTATGTATGAACATACATAGTTACATACTATCCAGGAAACAACACATTTGCGGATATGCTCGTGCCTTGATATATTTGAATGCACAGAGTACATACATACATGCCAAATGCCGCGACGTCCCAAGCCGTAGTTATCCTTATTGGGGCTTCTCCGGCAGGGTGGTCCAACCAAAATTGCTTCCATGCCACGTTCCGAGATGCAGTGCTTGCAATTAGTTAACTCAGAGGTCTCTTTCGGATCGAAGCAGTCACAAAAGTTACCTTTAACCGAGAGGACGAGGACGCCGACCATTACTGAGTGGATTCTCCCTTTGTTTTTCTTTTATTTTTATATTTTTCCCTGGGCTCAAATTGATACACTTGTCTAGGGATGTTATCGGAATGTCTTTGCTTGCTTTGTATTGTCAAGGGACGACGACATCATACTGGGGAGGTAACTCTGCGGAGGAATCACAATTGAGAATTGAACCCTGAGGTTATATGTAGTTAGTTTTACTGCCTTCCGCCCCAACTGCTAAATATCCTTACTAGGCGTCCTACGATATCGATTGTTCCATTCAATGACCTACGTGAGATATCGATATTCAATCACGACTGCTCTAGTTATAGTTTTGAGGGCATTTATTCAGATGATCACCACCCGCCTGTCGAGGTATGCTTTTGCGGAACCCATGATTCTCCGCCGCATCCATCTACACAGTATGACAAGCTTGACACAACCACAACCCGAGGTAGAAAACTTCGGAAATCAAAACTATTTTGAGCAAAGTGATAATAATCCTAAAGCTTTATAATAACTATATCAGTCTGGTCGAGAGGTGCAAGAAACTAAACCTAACAGAGAGCAATTTGGTATCCAAGATAAAGTAAGTAAATAATAATATAATCATCGAAAAAGGGGTATAAAAAGGAGCCTAAACAGCAATGGTAAGCAAAGACTTAAAGCGAATTGGGAACTCCCAGAAGTTTCTCAAAACAGGGGAATCTCATGTGGATAAAACAGAGGCTTTGATAGAAAAGGCGGTAATGATGGACTGGAGGTCAGACAATGGTCGAAATAATGAAAGGAAGAGGGTAATATACAGGGAGCTTCTGAAGGAATTATTATTAAAACAGAGATAAATGAGAAATGGGCATAAACGTCATCACTATGCATTGATGATACTAGAAAATCCAAAAGAGAAGGAAAATTCAGTGATGCGAAATGGATAAAGATATGACGGTAGGCTAATCTGGGGGGAAACTAAATTGCAGAAAGAAATATCAATATATAATAAATGTGTTTTGATCGCCCTCCATCAGATAGCTGGACCAAATGGGCCATCATTGGTTGGTGTAACGGAGCCTTGAGTGAGGATTCCGCTGATGATACTCTCATTGTCATCGGCATAAGCCTCATCGTAGCTTGTCGCTTCTGCATCATGGTCATAGCTTGATTTGCGCAGAAGTGGCGGTGTCCTTGGAGGCTCCAATGAACGGTCTGTCTGGCGAGACTGAAGCGTGGACGGTTTGCGGCGCCTTTGCTCAGAAGACCTCAGCGGGCGACTGTCCGAATACGAACGTGGTGAAGGTGCTGAGCGGCTCGTAGGTGTTCGCATGTTGGAGTTTGGAGGAGTTAAAAGTCCAGTTAGAAAGCTTTGTGAATTAGACTTGGATGGTGTTTGGTCGTTGCCTTCGCTATTAGTCGCGCTAGGAGCCGCGGAATTTTCTCTCCCCTTGCGCCAATTTCCCCATGCGGCTGCGGCTGCGAGCGGAAGGGCACGAGGCGACGCGGCAAAATTCGAAATAGCAGATAGCGAGGGGAAAGCTTGGGGGCTACCTCCAGCCATAGCCCTCTCTTTCTCCTGCTGTTGCATTTGCAGATTGGCTTTTAGGCGAATAACAGCATCCCGGACCGCATTTTGATTAAACGAGGGCTGTGAGAGCACATGGATAATATCTTGCAAATCATCCAAACGAACATGGAGCAATTCGCGGAGCCAAGTAATCTCAGTTTCCCTCTCTTTTATTTTGGCTGGTGCGTCTTTATCAATCAGGGACAATTCGTGCTCAAGCTCCTCGATGCGGCCTTCTCGCTGTTGCAATTGATCCTGCAACACCATGATAGATTCTCGCAATGCCTGAGGGGAGATCTTTTCCGGGATACTAGTGCCTCTAGCAAGAGTCAACGATGGCGAAGTAACTTGGGTCGGTGACATGACTTGTGCTGCCTTCGCACTTTGCGCAGCTTGAGCGGCTGTGCGCGCAGCTGCCTTTGCGATTTCAAGTTTCTCTTCCATATGAGCAATCTTGTCCTGAAGATGGTCGATCTTTTCGTCTCGCAGAGCAAGCAATTCCATGTAATGAGATTCCTCCCGTTGCCTATCTTCAGATCCGTTGTGCAGAGCACGAGCGTGTCGTTCGCGGAGATCATTTAGTGTCCGCTCGTGCATAAGTCGCTGGTCTTGGAGCGCCATTTCCTTGGATTCGGCCGCTTCATGAAGGGCAGCCGCCTTCTTGTCTCTAGCTTCCTCTAGGAGAAGTTCATATCTCGCCTTTGTCGTATCAGCATCCATCTTTGTGCTCTCTAGCTGATTCTCAAGGTTTTGGATCTGATTCTCCAGCTCTGCACGGACGAAGTTGACTTGATGATTCGCATTCTCAAGATCCGCCTCCATGGAGGTTCTCACTCTCTGGATTTCAGCACGGCTGCTTTCGCGGGCTTCATTGAATTCACGTTCATATTTGGCGGCTTTATTTTGGTAGTCATGACTCTCTTGCCGTACCATCATCAACAACTCCTCTAACTTCGCGTTCTCTTCCTGAGATTGTCCGAGAATGAATCTTAGCTTTGTAGCCTCTCTTTCTTTTTGCTCTAAGTCGTTAATATGAAGTTCGAGTTTTTGTCGACGTCTAACTTCATCTTCATACTTCGTGTTGAGTACATTATACCTAATATTTGCTTCTTCCTCTTTCTTCCTCCACAACGATTGATCTTGAGCGATATCTCGAGTGGCGGTAACCATGTCGTCCTGAAGTTTCTCAAATTTTTCGCGAAGTGACTGGCGAGCACGGAGGCCATCCTCCATCTGAGTTTTCAAGATGGAAATTGTCTGGCGGAGTTCTTTATTCTCGGATTTCACTTCGCCAAGCTCGGAGCGTAAACGGTCCCCATTTTCCCTATACTCGTCAAGTGTCCCTTGGAGGGTGATGTTTTTGTGAGAGAGCTCAGAAAGAGTTAGTTGAAGACTCTCCTGGTTTTCATTGAGCAAAGCTGATTGTTTCTCTAGTCGCTCCATCTCAGGTAACTTCTGATTTTTAAATTCTTTAAGTGCATCCTCGGCGGCTGTGGCGGCTTCTTTATATCGTGTAGCATCTTCTTCGGCAGTCTTCAGAAGCGTTTGAGACTCGGCCAACGAGTCTTGGATCCTTCTCCGGCTATTATACTCCTCTTCGGCTCTCTCATCCGCTAGACGTAGCATACTTTGCAATCCTTCAAGTTGCATTTGCAGTTTCTCTACATCTCTCTCACCCTCGGAACTACGCATCATATCAGCGAGTTTTGGATGGTTCACAATGGAATCGACAATTTCGTTTTTAAGGTCACGGCCCTCATCTTGTTCCGGCTTAGACGCGATCAGTGTTTTCAATACTGAAAGAGATGCATGGATTTCGGAGAAATCGACCGTAGGAACTTCCCTAGAAGCATTTTCAGCTGCTAAAGCCTTTAATTCCGCAAGAGATCCGTGAACTTCAGAAAGATCAATGGGAGGCAATTGTTGATTGGCATGTTCAATAGTCAGAGCTTTTAATTCCGCAAGATGCTGATGAGTTTCAGAGAAGTCGACAGGAGGCCCTTCTTTAGCAACTCGCTCGGCCGCGAAAGATTTGAGTTCTCGAAGGGACCCATGGATTTCAGACAAATCTATTGAAGAACTTTCGTTTTTCGTATAGGTAGCCACGCTTTCCGAAACTACTTGTCTAATCTTCTCAAGCAGTCGATTCTGGCCCTTAAAAGGTGATCGTGAGCGGTATCTGTGCGCCTCTTCTTCATCCTCATCCTCGTCATCGGCATCGCTATGTTCTACTTCAGCAGATGTGCTTCTTCGCGTGATAGTCTGGGACGCGAGTAAACCAATGGAATTCTCAATAGTTTCCAAGGTCCGTTCTAGTGGAAGAAGGCGATCGTACAACACACCACTGATAAGCTCGTCGACGTGTGTTTCGAAGAAGCGCGTTTTTTGTTGTAGCTCTTCCTCTTGCCCGGACGAAATCGCGTCATCCCAATCACTAATGTGATCAATGTCTGGGTTGTTCAAATGTCGTATTGGGGACTGGGTCCCAAGGTTGGAGCTCCGCTGAGGAGTGAAAAGAGCATGTGATGGTGTAGTGAGGCCAGTGTTCAGCTTGGGCAAATGCTCTCGTGTCAAAGACCTATCACGAATGCTCGGGCTCGGGGCGTTGCTACGAACTAAAGATGCGGCAAGTTCAGGAGTACCATATTGGTTTTCAGGCACATTCATATCCTCCATTGCAACATGGTGAAGTATGGGTGATTCCATTCTCTCCACTCCAAGGTCCTCTTCGTTTAATTGCCGCATAACAGCATCGATTTCTTGCTCGTTAGGTGAGTCGGATGCAAGAACGTCATTCGGCCGTTCGGGCTCCGTAGTAGCTTCGCGTTGGAAGGGCTCTGGCACAGGCGAAACCCGATTGCCTGCTGATGATAATGGAGCGCTCTCCACAGCATATTTGGAAGCCTCCAACCCAACCGGCTTCTTAGGTTCTATCGAAGGAATTGCAGAAGCAGCAGACTTGAATTCGAAGGGCGTTGCCGTCGGTTTCAGGCCAGAAGTCAGTGTACTATCTTCTGCACGCTCTGAGACTGATGAAAGCTCATTAATTGAATGGGAAACCTGTAGCGCTTCATCTGTCTTGAAACTTGCAGCTGGACTCGAAGGCTCTTTGGAATTACCATCTTTGGCACCAAAAGGAAGAGGAGCTGTGGGTAGTGCTGCATGGAAAGCAGCCGCATCTTCTTCATTGTTGAATTCAAACGGTTTCCAAGTGGCGGATTCGCTAATTGGTGTGCCAACAGATTTATCTGTTTCTGCTTCAAATTCATCGTGAATTTCCTGTACACTCAGGTTTGCATCAGTTTCAACTGCACCCCGTTCATGAGGAATGGGCTCGCCTGGGAAGCCGACATCCGAAGCTGCTTCCTTTGAATCTACCGCAATATCTTTCAGCGTCGGCAAAGAAACCTCTTGGTCTCCGGCATCTTGTGATCTACGCATACGTTTTTCACGCCCTTGCGCACCCGAACGGCCGGCTTCATCTTCTGCGATTCGTTTTTCTTCCTTTTCATTCTCCTCTGGTCGCACAATTGGGATCGCTTTAGACTTTTTAACAGGCGGGACGATGATCGTCGAATCAAATCCGCTAAATATTTTGGACTCAACGTCATGTGTATCTTTAGGAGTATCAACGTGCACACCTTGGCCAGGATTGAAAACTGGGGCTTCTACATTGAATGAAGCCGCAGAAAATTTGAAGTTGTGAACCGAATTCTTCTTTGGGTGCGCCGCAAAGGATGGTGTGTTTATATTAAAGCCAGTGGGGTTTGCACTGTGTGGTGGAAGACCAGAGCTAAATACGGACTCGGCTTTATTAAGACCAGGCTGAAAGTTGTTGGCGAGGAACGAAAAGTTGGTTGGCGAGAATGTTGCCGTTGGATCGAAAGCTTTTGCGGCAATGTTGAAATTTGACAAGGAGGTTTTTGGCTGATGTCCCGGAATGAAAACATTGCTATCTTGGCCCATTTGGTGGAAGCTGTGATGTTGCATACTCTCACGTGTTGGAGTACCTATCAAGCTTGGGTTTGTATCAATCTCGGATCCATCAAGCTGGCCTTCTTCGAGAGGTTGCTCGCTGAATAATTGCTGCTGGAGCAAATGATGCTGGTGGCTAGCTTGCGCCGGTTGGTTAAAGGATTGTTGAGCCGATTCATCAGGCATTGCCCACCTTGATTTCATCAGATCATCGCGAGATTGGGTCCCTTGGCTGTCTTCAAATTGACTCTTCATCGAGCTCTCAAGCTGGAAATCAGCACGCTCGACGCCTCTTTGAAGCGTTTCGCTTAGATTATGACGGTGTCCTCGCGGAGTTGGATGGGCAATTTCAGGCCCGGAGGAGGATTGAATCGTGTCAGAATCTGCTTCAACTTCTAGACCAGGGTCTTCTAAGGGAGGCGAGATGATATTACCGATATCTCCCATTTGGGATGGTTGTGACTGGCCAGCAAATGGATGGCTTAACTGAGGGTTGAAATTCCCTGGGTATTGCTTTAAATCATCGGGGGTTAGCGGAGAAACCGGCTGTAATAATGAGCCAAGGTTTGGCAAATTTGAGCCACCAACAGGCGACACGACGCCTGTTCGAAGACCATAAGGATGTTGAGGTGTAATTGTCCCCTGCGTAGTAGTTGCTGGCGTTTGAAACGGCAAGAAAGGGTATCCTGGCTCGCTGGAAAAAGATACAGGAGGATTTGAAAAAGGAGAGCTGGTAGCAAACCCAAATGGAGACGACGGGGAGGTCAAGGAGAGTAAACCAGCATTCGGCTTCGTTGCCTGGCCTAGAATGTTTGCTAGGGGGTTTCCTCCCATATTGAGCTGGTTACTAGCTGCTGACGAAGTCGGAATTGGTGGAGACATCGCGTTTCCAACGAACTGGGACGGAGTTTGACTCATTGGAGCTGAGATATCGTCGCCTAGGAATACCCCAAGCGCCCTGAGCTTTTCCTCTTTCAAAAAATTGACATAAGCGTCCCATTCCGCCTGATTGGGAAATGTCACAACATATTTCCTGTCTTGCTGTTCCGTCTGAAATGTACTAGCATCCGGGAAAGCCGGACGGCTCTGGGCAAGGTCAGAACCAAATGAACGGACATCGTATCCCTCCTGTTCCCACTTTTTTAATCGCAGTTCAACATCGGCAGGGGTCAATAACGCTCCTGAACCTTCACTCGTTCCACGAAGGTCATCAAGCGGGAGTGCAATCACGCACTGTTTCCCGCGCCAAGGGACCCGAGTTTTTGGCCTTTGGGATGTGGTTCTGCGGATAAGTGTGGGTTTGGGGGTGGGCGGTAAAGGCTGACCCGACTCCTTATCCAGATCCGGCGGGGGCGGAAGTGGTTTTTCGACCGGCGATATAGACATGCTTGATTTACGATCCGTCGCAGTCTCGGGTGTCGTAGCCATATTTGACTCGGTAGGAGGTATTGCAGCAGGGGTTGCGTCTTGGTCGTATCCAAAATCCCAGAAGTCAGACTGTTTCAAAGTGTCCGTGCTGTTGGTTTTGAGGTGTCTTGCTCTCAGCTTCGGCAGCTCAAGTTTTCCTGTTTGCTCTTTGAGTCTTCGGTTAAAGAAAGTAGACGCCGTCGGAGTTTTCAACGGATCGTCTTCCAGTGGATCGTCGTCAAGACCAAGCCAGCCTTCAGATTCACTGAGATAATTTCTCGCCGTGAGGAACGAAGCTACGTCGTCGCCAGAATCGTCACTTAGCCAGTTAGTCCGCTCAGAACGCAACTGGCCTGAAAGGTACTGGTTGATCCAATCTTGAGTAAAGGCCTTGGCCGAATTGCCCCCTTGCCGCACCAAAAGATCTTCTTCTAACCGTTTGCCAGGCAAGCCGTCAAACAGTTTAGCCGATTCCGATGGTGGCACGCCAGTTTTGTGCGGATCAGTGTTATACCTCCTCGAAGACGTCCCTGGCTGCCCACTGTGCATGGATTGGCTGGGCGAAGTTTCCACGCCGAAATCACTGACTCCCTGACGGCTTCTTATAGATGAAGTCAGCCGTTTGGGACTAGGTGTCGCATACGGAGAACCCCAGGCGGTTGTATAATAAGCGCTACTGAGCCTGCTTTCCGTTCGTCTATTGTCCGGGGACGTTGGCTGCGAGCCCACTGCAGAATGGTACCTGGCGAGAGCAGGGAGTGAGAGTTGTAACGGGGTCGTGGACCGGGAGACGTCAGGGGCCGGGGGAGCAGCCGCAAGGCTCGACGCTCCGGGTGTTATGGGCGTCTTCAGCGGCACAGGCACGATCAGTTCCTGAGTCTTATTCTGCTTTGAGCCGTGGGGAGGCAATTGGGACGCCCGATTGGCGGAATCTGTCGGTAGGTATCTGTAAGCCTGCAATTCATGCACATGTGTAGACATCAACAATCGAGGGGCAGGATGGAGTACGAGAATCGTCGGCGGTTCGACCTCGATGCAATTTCAACCTCCCAGAACGGCGTGGGGATGAGTAGAAAGACTGTCGATCACCTACGGTCTGAGTCTGTAGCAAGCACCAGCTTGCCGCCCTTGGTATTTGGCGGAATCTTGAAGCATGGAAATCACACGCAAAATCCCCCAGCTCAGCGGTTTGTCAGGTTCGTGCCGGATATCGTCGTAAAACGGCAATCCAAGACGTCGATTGGCGAGGAACCTTCGTTGGGCACCTGACGCGACAGAAAGCCGGTGGACGACGCCTCAGAATTGGTGCCACGAGCGAATGTCGGAGAAAAGCAACAGGGGATTGCGGAGCGGGAAGTATCGCAGTAAACAAGCCAAAGGTCAAAGGAAAGTTGGGAGGCCCAGAAAATGAACCATGGCGCGCATCGCAGAAAGGCACTTGATTAAGCTCGAGTTTGCTTTGTGGTCCTGGAGTTCGCTGGACGAGAGGTTGACATGAAGTCTGAGGGAAAATAAGTTCCAGGGGGAATGAGTTGATTCCCACGCTAGTCAATGTCAATTTCACTTGATCGTGAAATTGTCCGCAACACAAACAGGGTCCGGGGCACAGACCACAAAAAGGAGAATTTCCGCTGCAAAAGGGGCTTTGTATGCCTGAATGTTGGACTATTAGACACTCGATATTTATTATTCTTTTACAGTTTTTGAAGCCGTCTTCAGATGCGAGCCTGAATATCGCCTTGGAATCGTTGGGTATGGACAAACCGCTTGTCACGTCACGAATGCTCTTCATATGTTTCAATGCAATTTTAGGACTGTGCGAAACTGAAGCTCAATCTAAAACAAGAGATTCAGCTGACAACACGTACTTTTCCAATTAGTTAGTCTAAAGGAGAGTGGCTCTAATACATCAATATGGTCTACAGAGGACAATGCCCAGCTTCCTCCCGATCCTATATCAAATCGACCTTTTGGAAACACAAGTTGGCAGCCAATGGCCAGGAAAGCGAAGCTCTCTTCTCAAAAATTCGGTTTGTTCGAAGATTTCAACAAATGCTTATTCTTTCCGACGCAGCAATATGGTTTCAGTATCACGGCGGAATCATCTAGCATTCAACCTTGAATTTCGGCTGGCGGTCTGCGGTATACATGCCCCAGTGGGTCTCATCGGCAGCTTTGCCATTGTCGCCAATGCTCTTGGGCTTCCATGGCTCGTCAAAGGCCTCGAAGTAGAAAACGTCAACACCCCACTTGAGCATCGCGCAGACACCGGTGTCATGGAACTTTTTGGCATTTGCAGTTCCAGCTTTGGCAGCTCCGAAGTCACTTCCTCCGTCTATAGTGGAGTTAGCATAATGGCACATCTACCTATTGTAAGAAATTGCGTGCGTACCAGTTGGCCAGCCAGTCTCTCCGGTGGCGATCTTAATCTTGTCAGCATTGCTTCCGGCAATTTTCTGGATATGAGTGATGGCCTGCATCATGTCATCAATATAGGTGGCGGTCGCATTGTTAATGTCTTGTCCTTGCCAGTAAGCGAAAGCATTGACAAGCCTGTATAAAGCAAGTTAGTTAATGAGATCGCGATAAAATCATGAATGCAAATGGACTCACAAGAACTTAACACCACCCGCAATGAGTGGATCAGCAGTACCATCGGCATATTTGTTCCAGCTGTCCGCAGTGCCCACGGTGACCTTGGGGAACATCTTTTGGACTTGGTTGATCTTCTGCAGAAGTTCCTGGCCAGTGAAGTTACCACGGTATAGAGTCTCCGATCCAACTGTAATCGCAGTGATTACATTCTCGTTTCCTGGAATGGCCTTCTGCAAAGCCTTTGTATCCGCATCGAAAGACTCTGGGACATCAGGCCTAGGGGAACCCGGGAAATGATTAGTCTCAGGGTCCGATGAATATTCAGCACGGTGGACTCTTTGATCTTACCAAATACCCAAGACGAGTTTGAATCCCTTCTTCTTCGCAGCAGGCACAATGGCTTCAGCATTGTTGCAGTCAGCCGCAGCGTATGTTCGAACAATATCTGCATGGGCCTTGAGCACATCGAAATCCTTCTCAAAATCCGCCTGTGATTTGCAGGAGCCGTCCGCGTTCTTGACACCGAGAGCAAATCCCAGTTTCCCAACCGCAGAAACAGCGGGAACGGCCGCCAGAGCGAGGGGGAGGAGAGTCGAGAAACGCATTGTCGGTTATAGCAATGAGCGGCTTGGTATCACAATGGTTGTTGGTCTAGTGAGAGTAAAAAGAACTGAGGTTGAAACAGGTGAAGAAGTTTCTCAATGTAGTTATTTAAAGAAAGTAAGTAGTTATAGAAAGCAAGAGAAGGAGATAAAGAGCAGATGGCGAAAAAAATGAACGACAAGAAACAGTTTTAAGGGAAAAAACCCACCTCGGCGTCAGTCAAGCAAGGAAAGTTGGTTCACAAAAGGTTCAAGTTCGCTCGTCACGTCAGGGACAACCATGAGAGAAACATCCCCTAACTTGGCGGTTTCTTCGGCGTAATCCAAAATACACTGAGGGGGCACGCTAGTATCACCACACCCGTTGCACTACGATGAATGAGGCCAAGTTGGCGCCGGAATGGGTTACGGTCGGCCCAAAATTAGAAAAGTGCAACTGGGTCCCTCGCTAGTGGAACCAGCACTCAGGGGAAGCTTACACCCATGTTACGAGGCCGCGCATTGTTTCACAAACGGGCTGGGATCTAGCTCCGTTTCAGGAGACGGATAGGAGATAGGTACTCCGTACGGAGTACTTGATGCATGCTCCAGCAATGGGCAGTGTGCTTCCTGATATCAAACTCCAGAGAACCGGAGTGGCTAAGAAATGACAATAATCTTCCACTCACACGAACCATGGATCTCGTGGTAAATACTTTTTCAATGTCAAAGTTTTAAAACCTGGAAAGCTTGTTGCCATTTTGTAAAACTAGGCCTACTAAAGGTGCCCACAGACTTGAGATAAGTGATCCGACTATGTATGTATATCTGGCAAGGCTCATGTTCGAGGCGGGAGGCGAAGGGCATCTCTTTGGCCAGTCCATGCATGTGGCTAATCTTTCACGGTAACAAGCATTGAAGTATCCGATTTCAAATTTCTATTCGACCCGAACGTGCTTCTTGAGGATCCGAGGAGGAAGGCGTTTCCCGGTTTTGTCGAAGAACCGCGAGCTAACCCTGATCCATTTATCCTCGTCATACTTTGCAGCAATTTGGTTTAAGAGGATAACCTCTTCAAGGGTGAAAGCTTCGTCGAGATAAAGCACTTTCTTTGACAAGTCGGCATCCCGGGCCCCGTCCTAAAAAGGATTCGGTTAAACATATGAATAAAGAGCAAAAATGGTAGTATAATTGCAAGAGAAGCAGATGCTCACATTGTTTGTAACTAGAGGCTCCGAGAACGAGACACGGCGCCCACTTGGCTTATTATTCCCTTCCGGTTTGGCTGGCTTTGGTTCTTCCCGGGCCTTTGGCTTCTTTATCGGCGCCATTGTCTTTGGTTGAATTACCCCCCAGCGATCCTTCAGTACATACACCGGTTTCCCAATGGAGGCTGATATGGCTCTCCAAGGCGCGTTCTCGGCCTTCAATTTCAGGAGTTGGAAGTCTTGCTCTGCCGTCCACTCGAACACGGGAATACTGGATTTAGCCGGGTTGGTCGTAGAGGGTGCTGCCGGTACTGGCGCTGGTTCTGGGTTTGAAGCCGCGGGGTTCGCCTCCACCTTTTGGTTTGCTGGCGCGGGGGCGGCCTCTTTTGAGGTCAACAGACGCTGAGCCGCCGATGCGGACTCATTATTGTGTGCTTCAAGCAAGGACCGCTGACATGGTTAACACAAGGCAAATGACATGTAGCAAGGAAACGTGCAACGGATACCTTAAAGGCTGCAGCTGCAGCTTCAGCACGCAATGTGCTTGCACTTTTGAAAACATCTGCGAATGAGATCTTGAATTCAGATTTGGAACGTGTAGAGGGAGGCATTGCATCTACCAGATGCTCAAAGTCCTGGTTGAACAATATCAATGTGCGGCCAAACTACTGTCGACAGAAAAGTCATAGAATTTTGTAGGGCTCAAGACATGCTGATTGGAAAGAGAAGAAAGAGCAGTGAGTAGGAACCTGCCTACTATGCCGTATTGATCTATCACTTGAAAATGTGTGCCAATACCGTATATAACATAAATTCCTAAGGGAATTTGTGCGCGCAATACAGATTCTGCGACGCACTCTGCATCATGCAACAGATGCTGTAAGCTTGGTTTTTTGTCATATTTGAAGCCTGGAGTAGCTTGAGTGCATACATCACTTATTGTTAAAGTAGTCACAAAATTGCAAGATAGTGCATGAAATGGATCAAGCTTGGTGCTCCTGGAGAGGAACCTCCACACAAGCGCATCTTCCCAGATGGTCCGTGCGCACCTCACCACTGGAAATTGAGTTGGACACTTGGTGTCAACGAACATCATGAACATACTCAAACTGGCACACAAGGTGCAATTCTTTCATTTGTCCAACTCTTGGTTTTGATCTCTGTTTAGCCTTGAATATCGCAAGTACAAAACATCATGCAACTCTTTCCTACCACCTTCGTGGTGGCCATCTTGGGATGGATAGGGGTAGCCTCAGCACATAACATTCTCCTTCGTGCACATTCAAGAGAGTGTTTCTTCGAGCAATTACACAGTGGGGATAAAATGACAGTTACTTTCCAGACTGGCGATAGGGAATTTGGCGGAAGCAACAACCTCGATATCAATTTCTGGGTATGCCACTGACAAGCCAAGCACTTTTCTTCGCGATGCCCATTTACTCATATCATACGCTCTCTAGGTCGAAGATCCATCCGGTAACCATCAGTATAGCAAGACATACATATCCTCCGACGAATACTCCTTCACCGCGACCCGCGACGGCAAATACGTATACTGCTTCGGAAATGAGGCCTGGTCCTCCAACAGCAAGGAAGTTTCCTTTAACGTGCACGGAATTGTTTATGTTCCCGAGGCCGAACTCCCAAGCGATCCGTTAGAAGCTGAAGGTAGGGGCTTAATTGGCGATAATGTGATTGTTTGGGAACATGTGCTAAACACCACCGCAGTGAAAAAACTGTACGACGAGCTCATCCAAATGAAAGATGAGCAGCAGTACATCATTATCCGCGAACGTACCCATCGAAACACCGCTGAAAGTACGAATGGTAGGGTTAAATGGTGGAGTCTTTTCCAATTGGGCGTGCTTATTACAAACGGCCTTTTCCAGGTCTGGTGGTTGAAACGATTCTTTGAGGTATGTGATACGCTCGGTGCCGGCTGCTTAGTCTGCCTCATAGAGCCCCGTATACTAATCAATTCCGTCTGCTAGGTTAAACGGGTGGTCTGATTCTTTCTCTGGAGAGTAAAATAGTCTTATGCGGAATGAAATGTTCACTAGAGGAATCATGCTTTCACCTACAGGAGTAACTGGATTTGAGATTTTCTCATAGAACCTTTGTGGCTAGCATGGATTTGTTTATTTCCGGCATTGTGATACTCCTTCGAATATCGAATTGATCCCATTCGATACCTGTATTAATTCGTTTTGTCTTTTAATGTGGATGATTATGCTGATGAATTATACACCAGTATGGGATTAGGCTGGTTAATATCTAACCATACGATCCTCACCAGAAGTTCAACCCTGCAAACTAAGGTCTACTTCATGACTCCCTCGGCGGCTATCTCAAATGTGAGCTTGGCATGCATTCTATGGTGACACAAAAAGTGGCCTTAGCAAATGCCGACAATTCAACATCTTACGCGCATGCAAATGCCCGACATCGCCTGATAGCATCTAAACAAAACATAGCTCCCAAGGCGGTACGATAGTCAATGAGTGCATAGCAAAAACATCACAATACATCACATTTTACCCTTTCACCGACCCTCAATAAATTGTATTCAACATGAACGGGCCCAACATCGGACCAGTCCACAATGCTTTAAATGGCGACGACGTTCTCCGCTTCTGCTGGCACTTCCAGGACTGCTCAGGTTGTCTGAAAGCATCGAGCTCTTGTAGCTGGTGTCCACTCGTACGTTCAATATCCACCCTCGCTCTATAAAATTTACATTACAATCATCTAAAAAAACAAAAATATATTATGCTCTCCCAAAACTGCAGTCCTCTACTTGCGTGCCTAATCCGTCTCGCATTCCCATACTATCTCCTATCCGCAACGCCACGATCTGCGCCCTCGGTTCAAAGGAACGATGGGAACTGCGTTCCCGGCCATTCGGGTGCGCTGTTAGCACGATCACTCTACTCACGGGTATTATAGCGACGCTGGGGACTTGCCTATTAGGTCTGGCTGTGTGGATGGTTGTGTCCTGGGTAATGAATAGGTCGAGAGACAAGCAGGGAAGCGTTGGGGATCAAGAAGAAGGGGGGATTGAAAATGTTGCTGGGGCCGGTATAATTGGCATGCTAGGTGGATGGCTGGGAAATCTTGGTCTCCCAGGGCATGATGGCGAAACAGGTGGACAGATCGGAGCACAGAATTTCTCAGAGACGGATGATGGGGAGGATGATGGGAATATCAGTGAGAGGCAGCCATTCCTAACATAGCTCAAGGCGAAGCAGCTTGCTTTTGTCCTGGACGGAAATAATATGTATTTAGGTATGGACTTCTTAATACTATTCTTTGAGGATCAATCATTTCTTGTTCTTGCACGAAAGCGCATGATTTCAGAGAAAAGCCCTCGACTTCGTTACTTGCAAACCTTGCTGACCCTGTATTCTACAATCGTGATACAATCTTTCTCGTAAATCATTCGTCCGGAGGCGACGAACACTTCATTCTCAAGAAAAGCATATCTTTCGTCCCCGGTCTAATTTCAATTAGAACTTGACCCAACAAGATTGTTAGGGTGGTTTTATACCTCAAATGAAAGGTGCGTGACTAGAAACATGTTAGCACCCCACCAATAAATGGCGCTTTAGCAGTGGGCATTGAAGCTTACAGATATTACCGAGAGGAGTCACTGTAGTCTCCGATGTACGGTTCAAAATGGCGTTGATCTCAGGGGTGGCCTTCACAACGCCAGTATAATGCAGGTACACCAACTTGGACCAAGCACACCATGAGTAAACTATATAACAGAATTCAAGGGGCGACGAAGTTCATACCGCGCCATCGTCTGTTCTATATTGCAGAATTATAAATAAGCCCCTATCTTTATGAGAGGGTTTCTGTAAAGGAACTTACCGGATCACCCCATGAGCATCCAGTCTGAAATGTTTGCCGTCAGGATCAACACGGATATAATCGTTGCCAGAGCCGACAAATTCGCCATTGAATGCTGGGGAAAAGCCTGGTAAACTTTTCACTCTCCCGCCAACCATCGGCTAATGAAATATTAACAACTTTAACAGCCATAGAAAAGGCTTGATAGGACTCACCGTGATGAGGAGGTCACATTTTCTCGAGGCACTTCCTGTTGGGCCAGAAGGTTAATTGCTATGCGTGTATGGTATGGCTGGGAATAATTCTATAATTACCAACAGATTTGGCTGACTCAATTTGAATCTATGTATTCTCGAGTCAGCTTCAGGTGCCATTTCATCCATCAGGGTGCTTACCTGGAGGCTGAATGCGGGTTGCAAAGTTGGGAATTCGATCATGGTTCGTAGAGTTAGTGAGAAGCAGTTATGCTGGTATACGGTAGATTGTATAAACAGGCCAAAGAGCAGCGGGGGAATAGAGACAAACTGGTTTGATTTGCTTGGTGGTCAGTAGTTGTCGTGTGAAGAGCTATGGAGTGTCCCATAACAAACTGAGGGGTTCTCATTGACTGCCCCACCAACCGGGGTTGCTGTATGGGGAAGGCTGCAGGGTCTCAGTTCGATTGACCGAACAAGTCAGCGGCCGCCCCAGAGATAGCAAAAGGGAAAGAAAGGCTCTGCTGCCTGACTGCAAAGAAAAGACACCGCAGTTATTACATTGTGGTACAGCATGGTTGAAACAAACCAGCTTGTATCTGTAGTAATAAAAGATGCATGCTTCCCCTCATATAAATACATCTTGAATAATCAACTCAGGTTCAGCTGAATAAGATGGTACCTTCACATCCAAGTTGGTGCAGTCAAGTCCTCTATAGAGACCTCTAACATATGTCTAGTTATGCCTGCTGCTCGTTAACCACTTATCAAGAACAGGATGTCAAGTTGGCTGGAAAGGATAGCATGCAAAATGTTGTGCTGATGCCGATATAACCCTTTACATAATGAGAGGAGTATGTACTGTTCATACATATAGAATCAGTGCATTTAAAGCAGGCTTTGCGTTAAACATATGTGCAGGTACTCCGTACTTACATATTCTGAAGACCAATCAGAGAATTTTCATAGAGAAATCGAGGGCCAAAGCCAGACTAGTCATGCTGGTATCTCTTCTAGACTATTTGACGTTGAGCATCATCATAATGCGTTGAAATGTCTGAATCTGGCTATTCGTCGATCGATCTTCCTCAAAATACGGAGTATCTTTGGTCAAATGAATATCAGTCGAGTTAGCTATCCCAGCATGTATGAGGGCAGGTGCTTCTGCCTTTCCGGCTAGCGGTGCGACGCGATTAATATGCACTTTTGATAGAGTCCTTGATAAGGCATAATATAGCTACCGCTAAAAGTTTGATTTCGACCATATCAACCTACATTGGATAAATGTGGAATGGCGGAGCTCATTGTTGTTGCTGGTACGGAGTGCGGAGTAGAACTTTGGGGTGGATTTGGACCCCAAGGAATCAAAGATGCCAAGGCCGGTAACAAGTTACGATTATGACTCTTGGCATGCTTCCTGACCTCAACTTCTGAATTACACAGCTGAAAAGGGCTGCCCTTGGGCAAGTGGATAACAAAAAGGGTGCCTTGTATATTTGTCGTTGGGCCGCCTTCCTTGACGAAAGCTTCTTCGTTGGCGTCGTGAGCTTCGTACGCTCTCATGGTATAAATTTCCGGCTTCGGGCGCGCTCGCCCTCTTTTCTTCGAAGTCATCATGGCCCAATGGGTTTGGATACTGCCCTTGCTTGCAATTTGCCCACATGGAATTGCTGGGCAAGCCCAGCAACGCTTTCAGCTAGAGGCCGATATCAGGGGGGAAAATGTTGTGGGAACAGAGGCAGACAATCCAAGGCTGCACGGGCGCTTTCTACACATCACAGGTAAACCGACGTGATCTCCAGGCTTGCATTTTACCGGCTAATCGTCCTTTAGATATACATCCGGATCCTCACTACAAACCTTTCAGTAACTCGGACTCGAAACATGAATGTCACAGGGGGAAGGGACATGCAGGGTATTTGGGATCGGCTGGCTCCGATTGTGACGCGCCATTTGCCCTCGTCAACGCTACGTTTAGATGGATAGAAGAAAATTTAAGCAACTCTATTGATTTCGTGGTGTGGACTGGTGATTCAGCCCGGCATGACAACGATGAAAACATTCCACGCACCGAGAAAGAAATTATTTCACTGAACCAGGCTATGGTTGAGAACTTTCAAGAAGTCTTTTCCGAAAAGAAGAAAAGTGATAAACACTTGCGCATCCCAATCGTTCCGACTATTGGAAACAATGACATGATGCCGCATAATATCTTTCGTGCTGGCCCAAATCGTTGGACAAGGATCTACGCTAGCATGTGGAACAGGCTCATTCCCGAAGAGCAGCGCCATTCCTTTATACAAGGCGGGTGGTTTTATGTGGAAGTCGTGCCGAATCGGTTGGCCGTAATCAGTTTGAATACTATGTACTTCTTCGACTCCAACAATGCTGTTGATGGGTGCAATCATAAATCCGAGCCAGGATACGAACATATGGAATGGCTCCGGATCCAACTTCAATTCATGCGGGATAGGAACATGAAAGCCATCTTAATCGGACATGTTCCTCCAGCAAGGACGGCCTCAAAAAGAAACTGGACCGAGTCATGTTGGCAGAAGTATACTTTATGGTTGAAACAATACCGTGACATTATTGTTGGCAGCGTCTTCGGCCATATGAACATTGACCATTTCATGCTTCATGATTTTCAAAATTTGAAAATTGGTGATCAAGGAGCCATTACACTCGAAGGCGGTGATAGCCATACTTCTGATGAGTTAACCACACAATCTAGGACAACCTATCTGCGCTCTCTTCGGGATCTGTGGGCTAAATTACCATCCCCGCCTTCTAAAAAGGCTAATCCTCACCTGGCAGGCTGGATCGAACAAACCTCAAAACTCACTGTCAACAAGTCCAAAAAGAAATATCACCGCCAGATCGGCGGAAGATGGGCTGAAAGATATGCCCTCTCTTTGGTATCGCCTAGTGTCGTTCCCAACTATTTCCCGACTTTAAGGATTATAGAATACAATACATCAGGATTGAGCGGCTTAGACTTATGGTCCCACCACGATGCGGATGATGGTGATGTATTTGAGGCTCAGGCTTCCCTTAACTCAACTCCCAACATTACATTGGAAAGTGAATTGGAGCAGTCGAAGAAGAAAGGTCGAACGAAGAAGAAGAAGAAGCACAGAAAGAAGAAGAAGAAGCCTCCTAAGTTCACCGTCCCTACACCACCTTCGAGTACAGCGCCTCCAGGGCCCGCTTATTCAAATCAGCCGTTCACCTGGTTGGGGTATTCCCAGTACTTTGCCAACATCACGAGGACCAATGCACAATTAGGAAAGAAGCCCGTGGCAGCGATAACCCCAAGCTGGCGTGAATACCAGCTGCAGAAAGCTGAAGATCCAACAAACACGTTCGGTGGGGACCCTTTCAAATTCGAGGTTGAATACGACACTCGTACCGACAAAGCCTTTGGGCTAAAGGATATGACGGTTAAGAGCTATTTAAAACTGGCAAGAAAAATTGCGGACAGTCCAGAGCTAACTCAGAGTTGTATCAGCCATGGCTCGTCTTGCGGTAATCTCGTGGCCGGGAAAACGGCTGAATCTGAGAACGAGAATTTACCCTTTTTTCTGCCTGAAGAGAGTAAAGGGGTTGTCTCCATCTCTCGGAAAAATGTATGGAAATGGTTTTTACGCCGAGCATTTGTCGGGTACTTTTCTGACAAGGAGTTGCATGACTTAATCGATGGGGTCTAAATCGGCCAGGCTTATTTGCTGTAATTGACTTTACAGCCTTTTGTTGAAACGTTCTTCTTCGAATTCCACCTTGTGGTTTAAATATTGGTCCTTTGTGCTTGAAGGATTGCATTTACTAGGTGTTGCTTGGTTGGTATACATTTGCTTGCCTTTTATGTTGGGACCCTTTTCTGGTGTGACATTTTTTATTTTGAGCAGGCTTATGGGTAAAATACTTGCATATCTAATTTCTTCTCGTCTTATGTGCATCTCTATACATTCCCTAGAAGTCAACAAAACCTCACTTTGTGTTTTTGTTCATTTAGTATCAATCCTGACTGCACGCTCTTCCGTCTGACTACATGCTCTTCTCACCGCACGCTCTTCCGTCTGACCACATGCTCTTCTCACTGCACGGTCTTCCGTCTGACCACATGCTCTTCTCACTGCACGCTCTTCCGTCCAATCCCCACTCCAATGTTATGTTTTGACAAATTGGCAAAGACATCCTAAAATTATTCTCTGGCGCATTTCAAGTGAATCAGTGATTTCATTATGTCTTTTATGAAGATCTGTCAAGAATCTTCTAGCTTTTTTTCCATTCAACAGCTATTTCACAGATCTCGGTCGTTTCAAATAAAGACTGCTGTCTGCGGGTTCCGCACTCTTCGCCGAGCAAGACTAGTGAATTCACATTTATTAACTGCCAGAGAGCCAAAACTTCTCTGAGATTCCCTTCTTCTCACTTCATAATCCGCTTTGTTACCAGATACAAAAGATCTTCCACATTTTTGTATCAAAACCCTGGGTTGAATGGGGCAATGATGGAAACCTTTCAACCCTAGGCAGGTCTCTCTTTGATGTTTCCATAGCGGGATATCTCATTGTGGATAGCCTGCTTTGTTGGGCTGCCAGCATAGCGCTGCCCCTTTTGAAATGCTAAACTTATTTAGGTTGCCATCCCAGTGGCCCTGGGCATTTTTAATGGCCTGAGAGGCATATGTTTGTGCTGTGGGACGGCAGTTGCCAACATCCTGAAAAGGAGCCACGCCGGCCTGGTTGGAGGAATGGAAGAACGGCCGGCGTTTTGTCGGATGGCGAAGGTAGGGCTGCGATTCTTCTGCATAGGGAATCATTGCGTGTTTTCGAGGTAATCTGCTGGAAGTTCTAGTGAGTACATCTGAGTTTTTCAGTCTTTGGGATTACCTGAATATCATGGGAATGGTCACTGTCTCAAGAACCAATTCTTCTGTCCTATATGGTTAGCTGATCAACTTCTTTGGCAGGCAAATGATGCTGAGTATGGCACTCATTATACGCAGGGTTACCTGGGCGCGCGATTCGAACGTTTGACTTCTTTCATGGGCTGGTAAGGTGAAAGATGTCCGTTTGTCAGCTGCCCGCCTCCAGAGGCATTGGGAATTACCCACCAAACAATGATAGTGTTTGAAGAGGATAGTCGGTACGTTCCCTTCCTCTTTACAACTTTTTTGACAGCAATATCACACATTCCCAGCCCCTCCAGCCATAAAGCTATAAAGCCTTCTCCCACATCCAAATACTCGAAAGCATCCCAGTTCTGCATTTTAAAAGGCAAAAGCAACGCTGCAAACAGTTTAAACGACATATCGCTAAAGCCTGACCTTTCCCACAGCCTTTCGATAACTCATATATTGAACCAGATGGATTCCAACACCCAGAGCGGTTCTCAAGCTCCCAAGGTATGATAACTTGCGCAAAAGACTCTTCACTTTATTTGATGGCTGAAGATATGAGATAATTCGTGAGCTAACTTCATGTAGCCCAAGGGTATGAAATCAACGTTCCAAAGGACAAATGTGTTCCTCAAATTAACATTGTTTAGGGATAAAATGGACGACACGGGAAGAGAATTTTCTTGTCATCCGGTCCATGGACCCAACCGTCACAAATGACTGGTTGTTAAGGAACATGCCTCAAGAAAATGCAAGGACAATCAATGCCGTCACCGGGCATTTCAACGACATGCGAATGAAAGGGAGGCTCTCTCGAAGCTGGAGAGCAAAGCATTGGAACCACGATAGGCCGTGGACCGTTGAAGAAGACGCAGAGATACTTTTATGGCATGTGTCAGGCCGGGCCAACCTCGATCCGCAAAAGTTTGTCAGGAATGACCGCGCGGGCGGTGCGGTACTCGAGCGAGAGAAATATCTCTGTGAAGACGCGGAGCTCGTCGAAACCGTTGCACGGATCGAGGAGCGACTACGGCTGATCCTGCTTGAGCACGACATGATCGACACCGAAGCCGATACAGTTATGGCACGACAGGCAGCCATAGAAGCCCGGCGGGAGGAAGGGAACGGCCTTGTGGAGATATATACTGCGATACAAGACTCGCTAAAGGCACGAGAAGCTGATGCGGAAGAGCATACTGGGCAGGTTTAGGCTGGGTAGCAAGTAAGCTTGAAAGGCCACTTTGCCTGCCAGAGGGTAGTAGGAGATACAGACGTCAAGTGCGAGGCTCGTCATGTATGTAGAATTATAATTAACTTTGCCTCTAAAGGAAAAAAAACCGATTACGGTCCACGGATCCCAATCGTCAAACTTTCCTTTTCCCATGGTAACAGTACGGACTAACATAGTCAATGAGGACGGAATATCTTCAACAAGCACCTTGACAACCATCAAATTGCGTGTGATCCCTTAATTATCTCCCAAGAGCCATATCACCAGCTCTATTAAAATTTCAGCATGATACGGAGCAAATGTGCCACAATCCTGAGAGGGCAAGAAAGCAGTGACTTTTAGCCGGAGCTAAAATGGCGGCCCAAGACAAGGAACTTGGTGGCCTCGGATGAGGCGCACACAGATGGTTTTCACCTGAAGGACGAGCGGGTGAAATAGAAGGGAGTGCTCCGTATCTGTGCTATGTCTACGGAGTAGGACAATCATCGAGAAGAGATAGACGCCACGCATCTGGGTTTGCTTTTGCGACGCTTGAACAGTGCATCAACTTTGCTTGCCCTTGGACTCTTGGAGTGAAGGCCCACTGGTGATGACGATATCCCGACAGATGGAAAAAATAGGTGGCTGGTAAACTGTCCTGCTGCCTGAGGCATTGCCGGCGGCGCATGCAAGGTTCAAGGAGGTTGGGTCACAACAGGCCAAGACGTGGCGGGCTGCGTCGAAGTGGGAAACAAAGTCCTCTGGTGTGGCAGAGCGGAAGGACAGGGCGAACCTGCTCAAGGGATTGAGGAGGTCTTTTCGCCCTGTTCAAGTGAATTGCGACATGCGCCTTATCCATGCTGACACAGCGCCATCAGGGCGGAAGCGAACTGGAGTCCACAGAGGATCCCAGGGTTGAGGAACGGACTATTCCCGGCCTGACACGTAGAACTGGCGGTGTCCTTAGTCCTGATCGATTGCATGAAACCTGCAGGACCAACTCACGAGAATGCAAGGCTAATCCGCTTCTTGGGGTGTCAAGTTCTCTGGGTCTGAGCGTGCGAACCTGCTGGTGAGGCGCTGCCTTGCTGTCGTCGAGTGCCATGTGTGATGCTTCTGACATTTCAACGGCCACACGTTGCTGAACTTTGGTTCTTCTCTCATCTATATTTTCCACAAGAGCTGCTTGTTCTCCTGTGTCACTGTTAGGCTTGCAGATCAGGAAATCCACGGAATCGTGAAAAAGAAGCAATAAGTTTAAACCTCCGGCGAAAATTTCGGGGCTCGCTACAAGCATCGCCAGCATTTCCCCCGAGATCTGGCAATCCCAACAAGATATCCTCTTCTTTCACAAGATCAATGGATGGCTTTCGGCCAGAGTCCTGTGCAAAATGAAGCTGCGACTCTGAAAATACTTTGACAATCTTGAATTTAGGCCATTCCCAGCCCTGGCATGCGCCCAACTCATCGCTCCCACTGTGCCTAAATTCCGCCGGATATCCGCCCAATCTCGACTCCAACGACACTCAATTGCAGACAATGAATCGCGAAATCCTCAAGACCAATATATTATACCTCTCCTCGACGTCGCTAATTACCGATCGGCTCAATTCCCTCTCAGCGCGCCCCATTGGCTGCCATCCACGTTCATCCGACGAATCATACTGATGCCCCTTGGTAGTTGAACGAACCTGTTGCAAAGGTATGCCATTGGACTAGGTCCCTTCTTGAAACTCTAGCTGATATATAGAAGCAAATAGTTACAGTTGTCGCCAGCTCTGCTTTCACCTATTTCTTCTGTACATTACTCTTGGATTTCCCTGCGCGATTTTCGTTATATACAGGACGCTTTGACAAGGTCTCTCGCCCTCGGGCGTTTTTCTTCACGGTTTACGGATTACTGTACTATATGCGCCTTTAATACGTTTATTCTGGATTCTTTTTGATCCTCGCTTCGACATCGCGGAGACGTTTAATAGATCGATGGTTTTCGACCCTGTATACGGCCTGTTGAAGATTACCATATTCCTATCAGCGGAAAACACTTTTATCGCTTTCAGTTTCTTTGAATTAACCCTTAATAGCGGCTCGCAACGAGAATTGTCGGTCCTTTAGCCTTGAACTGCCTAGACAACTGATTCAAAACTAGCCGCTGAGCGTTATACCAAGATCGGGCTCTGTCTGCCCTATCACAATCTTGCAGGCACTATTGATTTTATTTTTTCCAAAAATAACAGTTCCTGGACTGCTTTGGTCCGTTGGGAAATATCATAACCGCCGGGGCTTGACTGATCATCGCGGGTAGTGAAGGTAAGCAGCTTCACTTTTTCCCGATTTGGTCATTTAGCCGCCCGGGATTGCAGACCCCAGCAAACATCCCTCAAATATTTGCGCCATGCATGGATCGCAAGAGGCGAGTTCTATATTAAGCTCATCAGACTTTCGCTCTCGTTTGCTTATATTTGACTCGGCTTCTTTCATTTATTCCTTCCAATTCTCATTCCAATCTTCACTTGCCATTTTCTCACCTACTAGTTAACCATGGGTTCTTTTTCGAGCGAGACCGTCGTGCATCTAGCGCAAGACCCTGACCATGCATCAGAGCTAATCAGCCTCTCCTACCAGTGGAAAGATCAAGCGGAACCACCGGCATTCGCTTTATGGATGGCCTCCTCAGAGGTAGACCAAAAGTTTTTGGGCCATTTTGCAACCGCTACGAGCCACACCAATCCCTTTCTCTCTGGGATGTTGTATAAGCTCCTCGGCCTTTCGGTGGTTTTGTCAAAGAAGCTTCTTCGAGCCCGCAAATCACGTCGACTTGATCCTACTCGAGAAACGAAATCGTTACAACTTTACCACCACATTTTATGGCTCTCTCGCGAAGGATTAATCATCGTGGAGCAGTATATCCTCCCGATGGTTGCCGATTACATTGACCTGAAAGTCCTATCATACAAACTCCAAGCCTCGTTTTATCATATCTTCGTTCTCTTTCATAATCAGCCGAGGATCAGTCGCCCAGGGATTCAAACTTTCCCCTTTTCGACTTCACATCTTGATCTCCCTAATGGCACTCGAAACGGCCAGAAAGAAGTTGACATTAATAATCGTCCAATCTCGATCGTTCCCTCGCCACCACCCGACATGGGCGGCCCCGTAGGGGGTGGGAAGCATGCTCAATCCCGCCCTCCAGGCCTTGGAATGCAACCCGATAGCCCCAAAATTGCAGCATCCTTTATCCTCCCGGCACTTGATTACACACCTCGTGCCACTGCATGCTTTAGCTACGTGGCTCTTCTTGCCGACCAACTCCTCCCGGGCTCGCACCCTATTAGATTATCAGTCAAACTTGAATACGCAGCGTATCTATACGACTGTCTCCACGATGCATCGGCTTGCAGACGACTCGCTAAGCAAGCCATTGCCGACGTGTACAAGGCCCAGGAAGGAATGGACGATGAAAGCTTTGAAGATGCAGCGGAACTTGTTGGCATTCTGGGCAAGATGGTTAAAAGAGGAGGGAAAACGAGCAGTGCGGGTGGAAGCAGTGTCGACAAGTCGTGGAGTGATGGGACTCATAGCACCCCGACGCGCACCGCAAGAAGCGGAGATAACACACCTAAAATGCGCCAGAAGCGCATCGCTTTGGGCTTGGAAGGTTCATCACCGGCGATTGCGCATGACCCAGTGATGGGCCACCCGATTTGATAGAGGAAATTTTCTTCTCTAGTATGTTGCGAGATAAAACAGAGATACCCCTTTTAACAATTTCCCTTTTCCTCTTTTTGCCTGTGATTTCCTGTTGGCGCGGTATTGCACTTAGAAAACAGACTCTGCTTCATCTTCTGTACCAAAGATTTCTTATTGACCTCTCTGGCAGCATGCTGTTGCTGCCTTTTTGACTCTGCAATCTCGTGCATTCATCCAGATGCGGCTACATTGTTGTGAATTGATGCATTCCATATTTCAGGTCTAGCGCCAATGGAACCAAAGTACAGAATGTTGCCTATATAACATATTTGCCCCTGTCCTTTCGACATTGGAAGCGTTTAGGCCTGAATGGACACCAAATGCTTAAAATAGTCCAGGGAAAGCCTTTGGGATTCTTTTCTTACGGCCGTACATCAGACGGTGGCTTGAGTTTGGCTAACGTCGGCATTGCTTGAAGACGATCAGCCAAGTTTCTTTCCTACAACTACGAGTAGACCGTTCAGGCGTACAAGAAATTTTTTGATTCGGGGGGACAGGGCGATCTTAACGGCGAGTAGCCCGCCATCACCACCTCGCTGCTAGAAACAGACCAAGGGACGGATAGTTCTAGCGCAGGTCTGAATATGCCTGTGAATGAGATGCGCAAGCGGCTATGTCCAGTCGATCCAACCAATGACTATAGCCAGGATTGGCCCACGCAGCGAAGGATGTCAAAAGGTCCTCGCCGGAATCGCTTGAGCGATAGAATCATTTGGTACACAAAGCAGGGAAATTCGACCACTGGCATGGTTAGCCATCGAGAAAGCGGAAGGGAAGTCGGTCACTACCTACGGGTCGGGGAAAGGGCCGATTTCTTGTGACAACAATGGCTCTCACTATATCGAGTACACCTCCTGGACTGGAAACATCTCGGGTCTGTACAGGATTATCGGGCCGCACCGAACTGAAAACCTCGGCACAATCGGCTTTGGACGCCCGAGGGTCACAGTTAACCACCAAAGTCACAACGCAAAACAAACAGTATCCAAGGAATTCACCGACCGTTTTCATTCCGGACTGAAGATTTCACCGGCGCTATCGATGTGCTCCGGAACAGCGCGCACCAGCCACTCAATGGCGAGTACAAGCCAAGAAGTAGGTACAGGCACCAGTATAACCCAGCAAACTATTAACATATATTCCAGTTCAAGCTGTTCTAACTGCAAGCCCGGTCGTCGACCGTATGGTTATGGACGCTCTGATTCTGCGTCACGATCCATTACCCGCAGTCACTCCTGGTTCAATGGCCATGGATCAAAATCAATACATATTGACCGAGATCGCCGTCCCAAGTGATGAATGATCTTCTCTGTTCATACGAGCGGCTTCTCGGATAGCTAACTAACAATTGATGTCAATAAACGCAGATTTTTCCATGATGTTAATAACCCCCTTGGCCACAAAATCATCCCCCAGGCAAATTCATGCGAAGGTGCATCTTCTTTGGGGTTACATTTCAAAATTATAGACATAGAAATCGCATTCAGTGATTCAAATCAATAAATGCAGGGGGAGAGATGCTTGTATCAGTAATTCTCTTTGAGGTCAATCATAGAAATAATGAGTTGAGATTGAATTCCTGGAGATTGAGCATGTAGTTATACAACCGGCAAATATCCATTTCCGCCGCTTCATACCATCATATGGTTAGCCAACTAAGCACTATGTCATTCATTCCTCTCTTTCGCCAAACTAAACATATTGAACTTGCGATTGAGCTCAGTTCTGCGCAAAAGTCGTTTCGCGTCATTGTGCCACAGCTCCACCCTCACATGTGCCTCGGGGGAAGGCAGCTTGCCAAGGGTGACACTGGCAACTCAGCAGCAGAGAAGATTACTCTTTACCCTTCAACCGCTACTCTCCGCGTGAGAACCACACTAGGCAAATAACGCCGTCGATGCGGCTAAACGGGCGGTTAGTCAACAAGTTACTCGGGCCTTGAACGTTTACCTTTCCTCGGGTGAAAAGCGGAGATGCTACACAAGGGCACCGAATATCAAATATAAACCATCATGACATAGCATTCGCGTGCGTGGATTTCATCCTGCCGCTCTATCGTCCACGGTATAACGGTCTTTCTGAAAACAATTCGCTGCTGACTTTTAACCCTCACAATGGCAACTAATTCGGTTAATCCCGTTCCCTTCTCTGAGCCTCCATATCTTTGCGGACTCCCTTCCCCGTACTACTCAGAGGCACATCGAGACTTTCAGAAAAGATGCAGGGCGTTTCTATGGGAGAATATGAACAAGTATGCGATGGAATGGGAGCGAGAGAGTCAAGTCCCGGAGCACGTTTTTGAAACATTCGGCAAGTATAATATGTTGCTACCGAATCTACCGTCTCCGCTTCCTGTGGGCTGGCTGAAGAGATTGGGCATTCATGACATTTTGGGCGTGAAGGTGGAGGACTGGGATATCATGTACACCATGATATACTTGGATGAAGTGCGTTGGTTCCCGCTGGTTGCTACCCCGACGCTGAGCCTAGTGGCTGACTTGTGTGTTCGTGATAGATGGGTCGATCCGGATTGCACGGTCCACCTAGTTCTCTAACAGCTGGCTTCGCTTTCGGCATCCCTCCGGTTATCAAATTCGGAAGCAAAGAACTGCAGGAGAGATTCCTCCCGGACTTTTTGACAGCCAAGAAGCGAATGTGCATTGCCATCACTGAACCAGATGCGGGAAGCGATGTTGCAAATATCACCACTACCGCCGTGAAATCTGCAGATGGAAAGCATTATATCATCAATGGCACAAAGAAATGGTGCGTGTGGCCCTTGCCTACTTACCACAGAAGTGATTCTTACACTTCTCAAGGATTACGAACGGTATCTGGTCTGACTACACGACCATGGCAGTTCGCACCGGCGGTCCCGGAGCCTCCGGCCTTTCCATCGTTCTTGTTCCACTGAAGAATTACCCCGGGGTGTCCATGCGTCGATTCTACGTTAGTGGCCAGACCGCCAGCGGAACCACATACATTGAGCTCGACGATGTCAAAGTCCCTGTTGAGAACTTGATCGGCGAAGAAGGCCAGGGCATGAAGTACATCATGACCAATTTCAATCACGAGCGCCTTACCATCTCAGTCGGTGTCACACGCCAGGCACGAGTTGCGCTGAGCGCGGCATTTGAGTACTGCTTGAAACGAGAGGCCTTTGGAAAAACATTGATGGACCAGCCCGTTGTCAGGCACCGTTTGGCTAAGGCGGGTGCAGAATTGGAGTCAATGTGGGCGTGGGTTGAGCAGTTCTTTTATCAAGTCAAGCACATGTCCAAGGAAGAAGGCGATCGTCGACTTGGAGGCCTCACTGCTCTGGCCAAGGCAAAGGCGGGCATGGTTTTGAATGAATGTGCCCAGGTTGCTGTGTTGCTCTTTGGAGGCAATGGGCTGACAAGAACCGGCCAGGGAGAGTTGGTTGAAAGTAAGTCCTCATATTCTCACTCTGACCTCTTGTTTTATGTTTTTTGCTAACCTCGCCTCACGTAAAGAAATTTCTCGAGAAGTCTGGGGTGCTCGCATCCCCGGCGGTTCGGAGGATGTGCTGCTTGACCTTTCAATCAGACAGCTTGTTAAGATCTTCAAGGCCGAAACCAAGAAACTGGGGGAGTCCAGGCTTTGAGGCTGCCTTTTATCTAATTATTTATTTCAGATATGTATATACATTTGCAATCAATATTCCATGTGTTACGACGGTTATATCCTTTGATAATGTTTTAATTTAGCCCTGAATGTTCCCTCGAATGAACCAAGTAGTTAGCAAAGATGAAGATCCTGCTCCCATCATTTGTCACCTCAACTCTTGGAGTTTATGGGCTTCCCGTATAATGATATGCATCTTCAATAGTTATGCCACCATTGGGCAACACGCTCTTAGTTGATATGCTCTATAAGCCAGAGCACTCTCCGCTGGACCATTGAAAGGTGCCTATGTCTTCACGGTGCCCGGACTGAACGGTTCATAGTTGGAACATTCTTCTTCATGGCCTATGGTCATAAGCCTTGTGAAGATTTCATCTCAAAGATCGAAGTCCGGAAGAGTTGGATCGCCAGTTTCAAGACATGGAATTCTCTGAGATGAAAGCCAAATCGCAATGGTCGACTGAAACGGACTAGGTGAGAGAAACATGGAATGAAACAGAATGTAGAGTCTGCTTCTAACCAAGTCAAGGGTAGGTTAAATATATCTTGTCCTGTTCGCACTGAGAGAGGTCGCAAGTCTCCTAGATCTAGTTATTAGTGCTGCGGTATGAAGGATCAATGGACAAGTGGTTATTTTAAGAGGTCGGTTTGATGGGCACTGAGAACCACTTGCCAAGAGGTCTTCACTCCATCTTCTTCCAGCCAACACCCGCAGACGAGGAAGAGGGCCAAATGGAGCAAGGCTCCTACGATGTTTCGAAGCAGCACATCAAGCACGCTGAGCCCTGCAGTCCGACCAGGCCTGAGCAGGGCAGCCAACTAGTTAGCTGGGGCTTGCTTTGATTGTTGGCTGTTTCACGCCATGTCCCTTTTCTGCATCACCTCCGATCGGGCAAACTCGACACCTTGCGCTCAGGATTGCCCGCTGGGAAGCCCATCAAAACAATGCTGTTTCTGTTTTAGTGCTCAAGGGCCAGAGCCGCGTGGCTCATTGTCGGAGCCCTAGTATCAGGGTCCCTAGTTCTATCGACTGCAGATGCTGTCGTTACATCCTGCGGCTTCTTACATATGAAGCCCCCAGAGCCGTACATCATGAAGCAGAAGGGCTTTTTGCATTTCACCACTCTTTTATCTACTAATTCTTCTATTGAATGAATTTGCGGCGGGGTCTCGACATGAGCAACGCCCTTTGGCAGAGATGTGGATGCCTCTGCAGATGTCTGTGAAGACGCGAGTGCTGTGCTTCTTCCTCCTAGGTCTGGTTAATGGACTGCAGCACCAATATGAAAGTATTTCCCCTGGAACGGTCGCTGTCTTTATAGGTTTGCTTTCTCCCCGCAGATGTCCAAGGCTAAAGCCGACCATACTTATCAAGACACATAGATCCTTTCGTCTCCCCCAATCGCACCGTAACCCGCCCTATCTCGTGCACGAACGGCAACCTAACACCCCTATGTTGCGACGAAAGCATATACAATCCGATAAAGCATAATCGTCGATTGCGAGATCCCTTATCAGACCCGGCTTTGGAATCTCCCTTCGTCGTCCATCCCGCCTCCAAACCCACCAAGCACCGCACCGATTTTGATCACCATGGTACCACCATTCCGCTAATCCTCCCCATCTCTGCGTCCTCCAGCCCTGCTCCGGCTCTCAGTTCACTGGCAGTACAAAGGGCTGTTCCACTTGCGCCGCACAGTCTATCGCGTTCATCAAATCCGAACCCTATTGAGCGTCCGTTATCACAAATCGTCTCCTCAGAGGTTACATCCGGCGGCGTACTATCAGATAAGACGAAAAAGGAAGTAAAGCGTAGCTGCTTCGGCCTACTTGTCTGCCTGATCGTCGCTGTGATCTGGCTTTAATAAAGGACTCCCTTTCACACCAGGCCGGACTCCCCGAAGCATATTCCTGGAAAGGGCGTATTTGGATATGTATGTTCTATGATTTAATGACGATATGATGATATTTACTTTGTGCTTTGATATATTGAAGGAGCCGGTTCATATCGGCACGTGCATGTTTGGTATTTATATCTTAGTACTCAAATGGCAACACGCAGAAAATTATATCTTTTCTACGTAGTTATATATTTGAAAATATCTAGCTTCAACTTGTTTTAAAGAAGACACAAAAGTGTTCGTCAATTCAAGCTCAGGAAAGAGAGTGGTTACCTAGGTAAACTATAGTACACTATTGATACAATTTTCGACTACAAAACAATGATCCCATCTAGCCACTCTAGCAAAAGATTCCAATGGTATCACAAATTCCTCCAACAAAATCGAGAGAAATCAATAACCCCAAGCTCCATGGCCCACCCATATCAGAATAAAGCGAAGCTACACCAACATGCTACCAACTGGCAAACAAGACTCCAGTTCCAATGGTTTCCTCGCTCTCAATTTCGTAGATCAACAGGGAGGGACTCTAGCCAGGTCACATCCCTTGCGCGTTGAACCTGCCCATCGGCATTCCCTTCCTTCTTAACCTCCTCCTCATCGTCATCATCGTCAATCGACGTCACCGTCGTCGCGAGTTCTTCTAAGAATTCCAAACACTTAGCAGCCAACGGGCTGAAGGCGCAATATCGAGTGAGAAGGTCAATGCATTGGTTCCAACCTTCTTCAACGGTGTTTTCCTGGAAGTCTTCATAGGCACTAGAACTCATACGGGCACCAAGCATGGTCGTAGCACAGCAGAATGCATATCCTATGTTATCCCACCAAGGAGGCACTGGTCCGACATGGTGCGATTCTTCATTTATCTGCTCATGTTTTGTCAATATCTCGATGATTTCTTGCGCGGAAGCAATGCATTTGAGGGCAGCGTCCGTCGCGATCGTGTATATGAGAGGTGTGTCGACGCAATTTCGTGTAGTCTGATTCATATCGCGAATCTGGCTAGAGCCGCAGATTTCCGGATCAGCCGCCAAGATTGCCAATAGCGGGCGCCAGAGTAGTATTCGCATATGGAGATATCGGATGCGGAGGATAATGTGTTGCCGTTCTGCAATGGAATTCTCCTGGCGCTGGCCATTTGGTTGGAGGAATGGCGGCAACGCAGCATTCCAACTGCACAGGAGTCTATCAACTTCTAGCAATTTCTGCGGATCAAAACATTCTATTACTTTCCGCGGTGAGCGGCCCTCGGTAATGCGAAGCTCTTCCTGAATAGATAGGATATCCTCATATTTTTCATATAAACGAGAGGAGGATGTAAAGAATTCAACAATTGAAGGTCTATCTTGGTCAGACACCGGCTTTCCGCCAAATATGACATCAACATATTCCGTTTCAAGAGGGATGGGCAACGGAGCTTGGAATGTTGGAGAGGGTATTGATGCCTTTCCATAATTGATGGCAATTATCCTGGAAATGATGTGAGCGTTGAGTGGAGACACGTTACACGTTAGAACTGGCACCTTGGGGGCTTACCTCTCCTGCATAATACAACAATGCCATACCCGTTTTGCAAGCTCTCTTTCCACTCTTTCCTCCAAATGATGGCTCCCGGATTTGAGATGAAGATGTAGTGATTGTGAAACCCGAATAGCAATGCCAATCGATTTCCAGGCAGCGGCTAAATTTCCAATTGCATGCAAGAATTGGGTAGAAATGATGTAAGCCTGAACGCAAGCTAGATCTTCCCCATCCAAACTGCCAAATCGTATAAGATTTTGAGCTCTAGCGAAGTATAGACATGCATCATCGTTTTTGGTGGGATCAATAGCCAGACACCCGAGGGCTAACATCACATTCACGATGCCCTGAACAATAGCTGAGTCGCCCCTAAAGTCTCTTGACCATAAACTCAAATATTTGGTCTGGAAGGTTGGAAGATGGATGACTGGGAGGTTGACATATTCGCGAGTTAAGTAGATCGCCAAATAACGATCCGCAATTTTTCGGGAAGGAAGTATCAAATCCCTAGCATGGAGTCGTGGCTTTTTATTTTTTGTGTTTGCCTCCAACCTCTTAGCGATTCTCCGTTGCTCGTTCCGCGATAATTCAAAGTATCCAGGCTTGGACGTATCTGTACGCTGAGCAACCGCTTCCTTCAACCCTGCCAAAGACATTGCCCTCTCTGGATAACGGTCCGAGTTTCCCGAGACCTCTGAGTATTGGACTGAACTTGCGGGTGAAAAAGATATCACTGGAGCTGCGTTGGACCGTGGTGGAGTTGACGGCTGAATGGGAGCTTCGTTTTCTTTTTCAACTATCGATAACGCTTCAACGTCATTCTCAACGTCCTCTTGCCTGGGATTGCTTTCTGGTATAACATCGGGCGTAACTTCGCGTTCCTGGTCAATGATGTCCGCACCATTTGGTTTGGCTCCTAAATGTGGTGAGGCCGAACATTGAACGAAAGGCTCAACTCCTTCCTCCACGCTCAATGAATCCTCCCGTCCAAGGTGGCTTTCGGGTATAGCATCGGAGGTATCTTCGCGCTCCTCTTCGCTCAGGTATGCATCATTTGCTTCAGCTCCCAAAAGAGGTGAGGCCAAACGCTGGCGGGATGCTCCATCTTCTTCCTCCACGCTCAATGAATCCTCCCGTCTCAGGTGGCTTTCGGGTGTATCGGCAGAAGGAGCTTCGCGTTCCTTTTCGCTAGTCTCTTCACCATCCATTTCATTTTCAAAACATCGTGGGCTCGAGTGCGGAGAGGGGTCCTTGGTTTCATTTTCAATGCTTGATGGCGCATCGCTATCCTCGGAGCTCTCCTTTCTTAACTGGCTTTCGGGGATGACGCTGGGGGCTTTTTCACCCTCGTCATCGCTAGAATCTGAGTTGTTGATACTAGCTCCCAAGCGAAACGGTGCTGCAGCTTTTATGATGGAAGATAAAAGAGACATTTTCGGTTGTTTCCGAGGCCTGGTTTCACTGTCTTCGGTTGGTTCGTTGTCAGATCTTGGATGTTTGCGAGGCCTAGGTCTTTCATATTCTTTGGGCTCGTTATCAAATCGAGGTAGTTTATGGGATTTAATTTCGGCATCTCCGCTCGGTATGCCGTTAGATCTGGAATCCCCGCGAGGCGTGCCGTCGAAATGTCCGTTGGGTATGTCGTCAAATTTTCGACCGAGTACGGACTCGTCTAAAGCTCTAGAGCAGTCACAAGGCATTGGTCAGAAAGGAAAGGAGTGACGGGTCTCAGAGATTATGTAGAGGATCAACTTACAACGAGGGGCGCGAAGGGGTGGGAGCATCATATTCACACTCGAATGCGAGTTGCCTTTTAGCACAAGGGCCACAGGCTATAGCACGTAAGACACCAGAAAGACCGATTGAGAGGATACGATAACCTGCCTGGTTGTTTCCTGTCACATTTTCTCTTCTTGATTCTGCATAGTGTACATGCCCTGCCAACGCCGGTTGACAAGGTTAGTGGAGTGCTTGACGGGTACTCGCATTCCTTATTCTTCCTTAAACACTGGCTACAAGCTACTGAAATGTCAGATTATGGCTTCTTCGTGAATCAAAATATCGCTGCTGACTCGCAATCAGATCCGATCTCACCTGGACGACCGCCATCACATTTCCTATGGCCTATGCGGCAGGAATTACACCGTACTCCTTTCGGCGCCGGGGTACTCGATCCTGCAGGCGTGTTAGCTCCCATGTCGAGTCATCCACGACGCGCCTCTAGCAAGAGACAAATCAATCGAGACGGACGACCTCAACACTTGACCGAGAGCAAGCGTCCGTCAGCTGCAAGCTCTCGATGGCAGTAAACAAAACGGCGCTAGTCTCTTGGCATTGAAGGTATTCTGCCAGCTAGCGTGGATTATATAAGCACACTACTCATGGCGGTAAGCAAGCACTCCATACTCTCTAACTACACCTCTTGCTTCTCCGTACGGAACAGAGGAACCGATTTACAAAGCTTTCTTTTGATATAAATTAGTTGACAATCTAATTTAGCACATTCTCGATTATGCTCCGGATGCCTTGAAAGTCAAAGGCTACTGTGGTTATGTTTTTCAGCTTCAATTTCGATTGAAACTTACATGCTGAGAAGGCACTGAGAGAGGCTTTCTCACCCCGAGTACTGGCAATTGGTTATGGACCAGCTCAAAAAGTACCAGCTGGACGAGGCCGCAAAGGCTTTCATTGCCGCTATTGATCGAGACCGCGTTTGCAGCCTGGCATCGTCATTTCATCGCGAAAGCTGGCCATGTCGCATATTTGGGGATGTGTCCAAAGGTGGTTACAATGCATGTTTTCCCATAGTTTTTATCACTCCGGAAGGCAACAAAGCAGATAGATGGATGGTCCGAGTTCCGCTGATCCCTCGCCTGGCGTTCCCCGAAGAGAAGATGCGCAGTGAGATTACTACAATGAAGTAAGATTGCAATCTTGTCTAACCAAGTCAACAGCCGGTGCAACTCATACATGCGATTTCTTTATCACTCTCCATTTCGCACCACATCTATATGTGAATATACCTAATCAAAAAGTCTCTAGGTATATATCTGAGAAAATCAAAATCCCCGTTCCCCGAATCTACGGCTACTCAATGCAGGGAAACAATATTCTAGGCCTTCCCTTTTTACTGCTAGAATACATTGAGGGCAAAAGCCTATTAACTATCCGCTTGAACCAACTCTCCATAGACGAACAAGAGCATCTATATCCACAGCTTAGTGAAAGATATCTCGAACTCTCCCAACAGCAGAAATCCGATCGCATCGGGGCTCTAACACTAGATCAAAATGATGATAAATGGGTCTTTTCCCACAACCGACCACTGTCGATATTTGTCAATGGCCAGGTACTGGGCGGGCTCGATGCATGCCGCCATATGGGACCATCTTGAACCTTATTTCAACCGTTGACTACGTCTTCGAAATACTGCATTCTTTGCTCATCGACTTTTATGCCAGGCGAGATAGTATATTCCACCAAACTGATGCGGAATATTATCTTTACTCGCTACATACGGCTCAGGTAGTCCTCATGGAATGGATAGACCCAGATACCAACCGCGGTCCTTTTATTTTGATGCACGGCGACCTACACCCGCCCAATATCATGATAGATGATAACCTTAATGTCGTCTGCGTTCTGGACTGGGAATGGAGCCACACAGTCCCCATGCAACCTTTTGCCCCTCCTTCCTAGATCTCGGATAGAGCACTCATATCGGCCTGCAGCGATGCGGGTACGCTTCTCTATTCAGTGTACGCTTCGAATCTCAAAACGCAAACTGACAGTGAAAGAGTACTGTGAATACAACCCCGACAATCTGAATATGAAGATCTTCCATTAACGAAGCTATGGAGTACAGCCCTAGAAGATAACGAGGTATTCATCGCCCATGCCCTTCTAAACCCAACGAACCTTGGGGATGTGTACTTCGACATTATGGACCACATATATTTTGGACGCAATCGTGAACAAAGAGTGCATGACTTGATTAAGCATGACAAACGAAAACAGGCGAGAGACGCCATTCAGCAGAAGCTAATAGACCTCGAGGTATTTACAAAAGAGCTCAAAGAACTGGGTTTGGAGAAAGAAAAGCCTTTGGACATGAGTTTAGATCGAGAGCAGGTCAGAGAGTGCAGAGATTCTGGTCAAAAGCTAGAGAAGCCCAATCCGCAAACGACCCTGCACAACGGCTACTTTGAAACAAAATATGGCAGTTATGGTCCATCAAGCCAGGCAGCCAAGGGTTCCTTGTCCGCGCTTGGCGGTGGTCACTAATTAGTATCGGTGTCGCTGCAGTGTACTATTCAGCTGTTAGGCGCAGGTGGGTATAACTGGGCGTCTTGGGAAAGGCTGCTCCGGCCGGCCCATCAATCTTCTTTTGGCTCAGTACGGAGTACCTAAGCTCATTATCGCCCACCGCTTTTGCTACACTCTGCTCTTATATTTTGCTTGCTCAGCTACGCCAGATTTGTAACCACGCATTTGCCTCGTTTGGCTCTTTGCATGGTTACATACGGGCTCAAGCGTTGTCCAAAGATCCTCTACGACCGATTAGCTATGGGATTGTCGCCAGGTCAAGGGTAAGCAGCCCAGATGCGGCTTTGCTGAAGCCGGAATCTCCCGAGCGATGAACGCCATCATTCCCTGATGGAGAATCCCGAGGAGAAAGAGAATTATTTCGTGTCTCTCTAGCATCCGTCTCTACAAGTAACAATAACGGAGGCTGAACATACGTAGAATATCTTGTCCTCATCCTGTCTCGATATCACACGAGGTATGACTCCCGTTCCTAACTGAAAGGCCTGCTCACGCCACAAAACTCGACATATGCATCCTGGATACTCTCCATATCTAACCCTCGAGTCTTTTCAATTTCGAACCTCCAAGTTGCAAAAGGTCCAATGGCTGCTTCGGCCTTTGAATCCGGATCTCCAGCGTTCAAATACCCAAGCATCTGGGAACTGAGTGCTCGGTTTTGAGTACAATCCGTGAGATCCTTAATGTCACGATTCTCATACTCGAAATCGAGCCGCATAGGCTGAGATGAAAATCGCCACACTTTCTTCTGCTCGTCGATAATTTGCTCGTTGCCCATCATCGTGATCTGGACAGAGACCAATTCTTGTTTCAAATCGTTTTCCCCTACCTTTAGGCCCACGACCCAGAATCGAACCTGGCTGAGGCGAATGTTGTTCTTGAGATGAAATAATTTTGCCTCTGGCTCGGTTTTGCTGTTGGCGAGCATGTGAGGCTTTAATGTTATCATCACTCCGTGGATCTGAACCGACTCGCCTGTCTGGCTGTCTTTCCTCTCCCTGAATTGTTTCAAGGTCAGTAGCTCCCCCTCGGTAAGGCGATACACCGGCCCCATGTGCCCATCTGACGGCCATTTCGATTTGACCAAGTGAGAATATTTTTCCTTTGCAAGGACCCATTTTTTTTCAACGTCCTTAACCCATTTCTCGAGTGCGCTAGAATCATAAAGGGGGCCATCGCCTCGAAACTGGGGTATATCCACCAGTCCCCAATATTTTACGGCGCGCGCTGCCATATCAATATGTAGCATAGTATCGAATTTCAAATCATCGCGGGCCTTTCGTAACCAAAGACATATTATCGGCAAATTTGCGTTGAGAGTGAGCTGTTCGCCGCCCAGAGTTTCCATTTGCTTATCGCAAAGTGCTTTGTCCTGATGGGCAGTGTTAAGCAGCTCCAAAGCAGAGTTGTAGTCCATGACGGCTGAATTCCGGTTTTTAACTAATTCCATGTAGTCGTCAAGTTCTTCTTTCAATTTATCCCCTTTTTGGGCGGGAATGGCGTCTTTGAATTTCTTCAATAGATCTTGAATTTTATCTGCCTCTGCCATGATCTTGATAGCTCCAGGATCGTCAGGTTCAAGAGAATGGTCGCTGCGGCTTTGGAATGCATCCGATAGGGAAAACAAAGTCTTTCCGGCATCACCCAATTCGGTTATGACATGATCCTTGTGTATACTCATCCCTGAGGAGTCTTTTATCTCGGTATACGCTTTATGGGCAACATTAGCCCCTTGGGTCTGTATTTCAAACAGTCAGAACTTCAGAATGTACGGAAAACCCTACCCAAGCTAGGAGTATATCTGCGTTAAGATCCGCCTCAAGGGGCCTTGGTTAGGGAAACACTTACAGCTGCGGTAAACCAAGAAGGGGCCATTGCAAGTGTTGCAAAAGCGTCAATAATCATACCCGCATCGACTTGGAGGCGATTCTTGATATCTTCCGCTACGACATTCAATGCTTCTTTGACCGCAACCCGCTTCTCCTTCAAGTAAGGGGTGAATTGAGTGATTTGATATGCCGCCGTTTGCAGTGGCCCGTTCGAATCCTGGAGAATTCCGATGCGGCTTTCAGCGTGGTCCCTTCTCCTCTCAAACATTGAGACGCTGCCGGACAGAGAATCGGCAGCTTTTGCCTGGCTTTTCAGAGCGTCCATGTAAAGCTTCTCTTTAGTTTCGAATTCTTTCACAGAGTCTATCAGTGAATTGATTCGGCTGTAATAAAAGTCATATGTCAGGCGCGGAGCAAAGTCCTCCGTAAAACCAAACAGGTCCTTTCCCTTGAGGATCTGATTCAGCATACTGGTTGCACGGGAATAAATTGAAGTCAATTGATCTGCAATTTGTAGGGTGATCTGGCGATTGTCTTGGAAGTCTTTGTACTGATCAAGCAAGTTGGAATCCTTTCCTTCAAGAACTCCGTCCTTCTCAGTAGACCATAGAAGTGGGACGAACTTGAGGCGGTTGACGATCCTCTCATATAGAAGTCGCGCCATTCCCCGACTTTTACCATCCGTAGCGAAATACAAACTGTTTGCCCTATTGAGAATCATCTGGTGGTGTTCAGGTAAGGCGTAGGCGTGATTTACGTTGAGAGTCTCGAGGGATCCGTCAAAAGAGAACGGGAAGATTTGGGTCTGCCCGGCTGATCCATCGATTCCCCGATCTCCGACATTTATGCCCGTTTGATGCCCGTTGCCTCCTGCACCAGCGGTACCTTTCCATCAAAAACATTAGTATGGTGAGACTTATAAGTACGGCAAGTGTTCAGTTCGGAAATTACCTCCTCGCGTGCTGCACACAGTATTTGTAATTTCAAGTTGCTGCTTTCTCATGGCTGCGACCACGAGGTTATATAACGGTTTCAAATTTTTCTTCAACTCGGCAAATGGCAATTCAATGGGAGTCGTTTCGAGCTGCAATGCGTTCGTCAAGTCTTCGTCTGACGTTACGCTACCCGGCGCAAACCACGCTTCAACTGTTTTTCGGGCATTGTCGAGAGATTCAGCACTGCCGCACTGAATAGGGTCCTCGTCTGACTCTTTGCCAATTTGCAGAGATAATAGCCTTTGAACATGTGCATTGTAACTCGTAACAACTTCTTCGATTTCGTAAGGAACTTCACGGGGTTTGTTTGGTTCAGGTGATAAAAGGGCATCAAGCGCACGGGAGAGGAGCTTTGCGGCTTCAAGCAAAGATTCCGCATTCTCAGCCAATAGCTTAAAATTCGACAGTCCCTCCCCTGATACAATTGCTGGCTCTGCAGAGGCTAATGGCTGCACAATATTATCCTGTAGCATGGCAATAGAGTCTGCCCAGGACCCGGAAGCGGAATCTACTTCGTGAATAGATGCCGCAATCACTTGAGTCAAGTGCCCGTAAGAGAAACATATGAAGCCTAAGAGCATGATCAGATCAGGTAGATAACTATTAGCATTGCGGAGACCTACCGCCATTTCCCCCGTCGCCTCCATTTCCGCCAGATTTGTCCTTTGCAGATGTATTCCCTCCTAAGCCGCCTCGGCCTCCGTTCGCCTTCAGTTTAAGATTTTGGGCAACTTCAGGGTCCATCGCCTGGACGTAGAGACGGATACTTCCTGCATCCCCGCCTGTACTTCCGGACAACCCATTTCCTATCGTTTCTGGGTCTTTTGGATCACCCGGGTTGCCCGAGACATCTATAACCCGAGTGGAAGACCCGATGCGGAGGGTATGGCAGCAAATATCAATACTCTTCCCTGGAAGTTTTATATCTCCCGGAATCTCAAGGGTTTCGGCGCAAATTATCACCCGTTCACCATTGAAATCAAATGGCGTTTTGAGAACGTATTCCCCAGAACTACAGACTACCGTCGTTTGATTGCGCGAGAAATGGAAGAAGTTGTCGTCTGGAACGTGGACGAATTGAGGAACCTGGAGTTCGTCAGGGTCCGACATCGCTAGTTATCAATATCAACTCTCCCTAAATGAATGGTCAACAGTCGCACGGTAGAAACAGACTGAGAGGAGAAACAGATTTTGAGAACGCACCTTGCACAGCGCGCGCGCTCAGTTCCTCGTCAAGCGGCATCGCCGAACATTTTCATCCCTTCGCTCAGCCCTGCAAGCAAGCTAAGTCGCATCCTTGCCACCAAAAGCAATTGAGCCGAAGAGTCACTTGCACGAAGAGCCAATAATGTCGCCAATTCCAGCGGCCACAGCAAGGCCGGGGCAAAACCGTTCCATGTGATGCCAGAACGGACCTACAAGGGAACGCTCTCGGAAGTTAATCATGCAGAGTGCATGCATGAAGAAATCTATCCTCGTGGCAGCGGGCAGCGGGCCGTTGCTGTCTGGACTGCTCTGACCAGCTTCCACGCGATGCGAGCAGTGTTGCGATTTGTTGCGAGAATGGCGTCGGGGAGAGACACCATGCATCGAGGGGCCTGGCTGGCCAACGCCCTCGTCAAACAAAATCAATAGTTTTTGAGGCTAGATTCAACATCTCGCTTCTGCTCGCCACAGGTGTTTTCAACTCGAGCTGACCATCGTGATGAGCCCGCTATTTTTCAACGAGCCTGGCGTGCTCCTGGCCTCGCTTGGAGGGTATCAGTCACACGGGCCTCCGCGGACAAATGGCCGTTATGGCCATCTCGAGCAATACGGCGTTGAATGGTTATAAATACGGCCAGCGGACTCTTTCGGTGATAATGGCAACCAGAAGACCCCCGTACGGCCAACACGCTCTCGATCGATAGCAAGAACTGACGCTCAGGCGAGAAGATGGCGGTAAAGACATTGTCCCTTTCCGAACTGCGCCGGGAGTTCCTGGGAAAGGATTGCTTGCAGGGTTGGGACATCCTCGTTTCCTACCACACATCTGTGCTGAACGAGATTTTACGACAAAGAGCCTCAAAGATAGATGGCTTGACCAAAATCCCAGAGTGGCCAGCGGTCTGGGTGGGTAAGTTTGCTTGTTCATTCAAATTCATTAGGATAGCTCGTTGACTCCATGGCTTTAGATCCCATCACCTCTGAAACTGTGACATCTACAGTGTCCATCTCATTGTCGAACCCTACTATCAGTTTTAAAGACAGCCAAGCATCTGTGGTCGTAACCTTCCACTTGACCGGAGAAAGCCGTCGAGAAAATTCGTCCGCCCCTGATGTGCTTCCTCCTGGCTTACTTCTCCAGCTGGATACAAAACTCGTCGATGTCCGCGGCACAGTAGCCGGCTCTGGCGCCGCAGCAGAAATTCACACCTCCCCCTCGGAGAATGGAGAAGCCCCGTCGAGGATTTCAATCCTGGAGCCTGGCACCGAACATGCCCGGGCCGTTGCTATCGACTTTCGTTCGGGCACCATTACTATCGTACCCGAAACTGGGGTATCTCTGTCCGAGGACCAAACGGTCTTTGTCAATTGCATTGCAACGGATATCCAAGAGCACTTTCAAAAGTCTGTTGGCTTAGACTGCTACCTGGGAAGCGTCTCAAACAAGACTGCCACTGGTACTCTCAGCTCCTTAAAGCCAACGACATTCAGCTTTTCCACCATTGCCAGCGATGCACGCACCCCGGGAGTTCTGTGCATGTGGATTGGCGTAGAAGGGGGTGCTGGTAACTATACCGTTCCTGACGAAGGCCTTCCTTTGCAAATGAAAATCAACACCACCGCATACAACCCGGTTCCCAAGGACCATACGGCAAGCATCATATTCAGCCACCATATCATGGCAAACAAATTCTTCCTTGTATGTCCCTGGCAATATGATTTACCACTCCGTTGCTAATCAGATCTTGTAGCCCGCCTTAGCAGCCAGCAATATGAGCAACGCCAAATGCGAAACCGTTCTAGGGAATCCGGGGATGAAATTTCTGTTCAACCTCCCCTCACTAGCCCTTCATGTGGACAAGGTAGACGAATTAGGCTCCAATATCCTGGTCAAGTGGCATCGAAAACTGGATGCGGTTGATTTCAACATGAAAGATTCCAGTGTATGGTTGGAGATAGGGGAGAAAGTGGCCATCAACTGGTCCCACGAGGTGAAGCTTAAATGGTCGTTCTATAGAGACCCGACGTTTGGAAATGCCGAAACTACCCAAGGCGACATTACCATGACCTTTAAAGTGGTAGAAAGCGGTGATTGGAAACTAGCTGGTAATAAAGTCGGGTTCGTAATCCGTTTCCCCGAGAAGTTCGGCATCACGGTCGTTGCAAGCGAGAAGTCCGATTTGGAGAAGCTTTTTCTGGAATCCGAGCAAATTCCAGAGGAGTACAAGAAAATTTCCATGGAGATTCCAGTGGCAGATGTGGAACTGGACTCGATGGATTATTTCTTGACGACTAACTTGGTTTTCCCTGGATACACATCTTTCGTGCCGGGCAACCCTGACAATGGTCTTGTTGTACCTCGAGATACGATTATCACCGGGGAGATCAAAACATGGGAAACGAAATCGGATGTTACCGCGAAAGGGGCTGAGGTTCAATCGCTACCAGTCTCATTGGAGGCCGCGAATCAGATCTATGGGACTAACGAGTCAGCCAACGAACCGGGAGTCACCGCCCTTACGAAGTCAACAGATGTGGCGGCAGCAACTGAGGACATTCTAGCAAACGTAGCAACTCCCCCTGTGCAGAGCCCGCCCATACAAGTAATTACAAAACCCGCTTCACAGCTGCCGAAAGACCTTCTGGACCCCAAGGGAGCATTCTTCAGAGATATTACAAGGGCATCACTGGACAAAGAAAGCCCGTTGCGAGCAACATTACGCGTCCTGGATCAACACGGATACGGCCAAGTAACTGAAGCAGAAATCAATCAAATGCTCAACGTTGCAACGCCGAAAGTTGAGAACAAAGATCCGACGACAGAAGTGAATAAAGGGAGAATCCTTCAAGAAGGAAATGCACAATCTTCGCTGTTCTCGCTAAACCTGTTTAGCGGGAGGTATATCATCGACGGTTCCTCTAGGGAACTGATTGTGAATGCCCATACTGGTAGAATCAAGGTTGACGGAGTTGAAGCCGTTCCGACATTTTCAACAGACCCAATCACGCATATCACCACAACCACATGGAACGTACCTTCGAAAACATATTCCGTGGTTTTTAGTAGCGATATCCTAGATGATGACACTTTCCAACCCAATTTTACTGGAAAAGTCAACAATGACGATATCTCTGGAAAGAGGAGGATTTTGGACAGCAAAGATAAACGGATTTTATCTGCCAACGCCAGCGATATCATCACGATACTTGGGTTTAGTGTAGGACACACTTTGACCTTAATCGGCCTTGGCCTTGCCATCCGCTGGCGCCCAAGGGATAAGATTCAACAGGACCCTGCTCAACCTGAACTGAGTAGGAGAGTATCCCGGGAAGAAGCAGAGAAACTACTTAAGCAATCTGAAAAGGCCGGCGCCGCAAAGCAGGAGATAATCATAGAGTTAAAAGATATGCTCAAAGATAACTCGGAACACAAGGCCGATGCAAGGGCGAGCATGGCTGATGTCGAAGGGGTCTTCATGGCTGATGTTAATAAACTTTTAGAAACGGAATCAACCCGGATACGAGACAGTTTTCAGGGCGAAGCTGTTCAACAACTAGCAGAAGGATCCGGCGAGGCCTTCGAGGCCCAAGTAACGACTATTAACGAGATGCTCAGGCAGCGAGTGGAAACGTATGTGCAACAGAACATCAGTCCAAGTATCCACGAAAGCTTGATGGTTTGGAAACAAGTTGGAATCATGACTGAGGGCGAAATAGGCGAAATCGCCAAAAATTGTCTGAAACCACTTATTGAGCGGCAGCTAGCAGATTTGACAAAAAAAGAAGCTGGTAAACCCTCAGTGGCTGAAGCAATAGTCAAGTATACTGCGATTGAAAAGCACGTTCTTGAGCGAGAAGCAGTCTTTAAGGATATTGAGGCGGCCACACGAACCGCAAGTGAAGTGGAGACCGGGTTGAACAAGACATATACTGAAAAGGAAACGGCTATAAAGCAAAAAGAGACAGCGAAAGATAACGAAATGGACGCGGAACGGAAGAAGGTGCTGGAAAGGCAATTAGAGACGCTGAAAAAGGAGTTGGAAGCAAAAAAACTTGAACGCGAAGCCGCTGCCAAAGACGCCTTGGAGAAATCGAACCGCTTGAAGAAAGAGAGAGTGGAGCTGGAGAAGAAGCAAAAGAATAGAGACCTGGAACGGAAGAAGAAAATCGAGGCGGTGGAAGCGGCCCTCAAGAAGAAGCATCACCATAGATAAAAGGTCTTCTTCTCCCCGCCATCGTCAAGGGCTGAATGTGTGATCCTCAAGAGGGCTGGGGGTTAGAACCATTGTGAAGGTCTGAATAAGCCAGAGGCCAGCCGTTTTGTGGTCGGTCTCAGTGATAGTTCCTCAGGTTCCTTACCAATTAATGTCCATGTATCAGATTTCGCTATTCATATCAAGGGCGCATTCTCTCTGTAATAGACATTTGAGTTAAGAGTCATCCTTGACCTAGTGCATTTTTTGTATTTTTGCAGATTCACGTAGCTCAATACCTGCGTGGCTCGGTTCAGGTATCACAAGCACAAGACAAAATTGGTAGCGAGGCATGGTTTGTTTTGGCAGTCAAAGCCTTTCTTGTTGAGCGACGTCGGGAATCCAATAGTCGACTAGTTAACTATTTATTTATCCCCGCGCAAGTGGGTTGGCTTCGGCCCGAAGTCTGTTAGTTCCGATCAGACCAGAATGCAAGCTTATAACAAGCAATATCCCCACTGGAACTCACCCTCACCTACTCCGTATCCTGATCCATTAGAGAAAAAACAGCTACTTAAAACAATGCAAGCCGCAAATAGGTTACGAACAGCGCTCCAGGCCGGCCAGGGCCTGTCATTCGGCGCATGGCAGATGTTGCCAGGGGCCAACCATGCTCGCATAATGGCCCGAAGTGGCTTTGATTGGATCTGTGTTGATACTGAACATGGGAATATCGCAGGTACGATGCTTGAGGCTCAAAGCCGTGCGAGTCACATAAGGGATTCAAATAGGAGAGACTTCACACTGACCCCCCAAAACGATACCAGATGCCGAAATGCACGAGGCTGTCGGCGCAATTGCTTCATTAGGCGTCAGCCCGATAGTCCGTGTTGCCGCAAATGAAGGCTGGATGGTTAAACGTATGAGCTCGCTTTAGGTGAAAAAAGCGGATCAGATGAAATAGCCACTGATGTTGAATTCAAGGTGCTCTTGATTCCGGGGCTCATGGGGTGCTTGTACCCCTACTCGAAACTGTCGAAGATGCGAGAAAGCTAGTGGAAGCCGCAAAATTCCCACCCATGGGGAAAAGAGGCTTTGGCAGCCCTTTTGCCCTGGGATCCTTTGGAAATATGTCTAGTACTGAATATTTGCTTCAGGCCAACGATGCTTTGCTTACGATTGTGCAAATTGAAACAAAGGAAGCTCTAAAAAATGTGCGTTGTCCAAAACCTCCTGGCAATGGGTCTCCCGCTATCGTACACGTGGAAAAGAAATAGCGCCCGTCATAACTAATACAAGTGGATGTGAATTCAAGGTCGAGGAAATCGCCAAAGTTCCGGGTATAGACGTGTTGCTTGTCGGCCCATATGATTTGGGAAACAACATTGGCAGGCCAGTGATAGATGGTTTCCACCCGGAGCTGGAGGCGGCGATCGAGCGCATCCGCAAGGCTGCGGTGGAAAATGGCAAAAGGGCGGGTATATACAGTTCAAACGGTGAAATGGCGAAGAAGTTTGCCGAACAAGGGTTCCACATGGTATGACCATTGCTCGAATCCCTTCCGGATCGATCTTTCTGATATTTGGTATAGATCTCTGTTACATCCGACGTCTCCGCATTTGCGACGCAATTTGCCAGTGCGCTGAAGACTGCGAAGGGGGCATGAGGCGGGATGAAAGACGACTTGATGTAGGAACTAGAAATTTGCGCAATCTATCAATTTTAACCATACTACTCCGTAAATGTATAGCTTGACTTACCGGATCAGTTTGACTGTTCAACTTCATCCATGGCCTTTTCTAACTCCTCTGCCGTAAATCGATGGAATAGCTTTTTAGCTTCCGAGAGAGTCTCTGGATTTCCGCTGGAGACGATTGATTTTTGAATATGTAAAACAGGCACTTCATATTGATATGCTTGTTTCCATTCCTTGTTCTTCAACACGTCCACCTCGGAGTAGTCGAACGGTCGTCGGCTTCGGACCTGGCCCAGTGTGTGCTTGACGACATCGCAGAGGGAACAATTCACTCGCGTGAATAATGTCAGTCGAAGGTTCTGCGAGAGGAATCTGGTCGCACGCATAGTTTCCGCTTGTTCGGAGCAAAGTCAATTGGATTTGTTGATGGCGACGTTGCGGCTTGAATTGTTGGAAGAGAAAATCCAGAAGCTTCGACGGCTTGGGGAGCTTTTGTTCCGCTGGCACTAAAAGTCCCGCCCTCAATCCATGTGCCCGCGATAATACTCGTCTTTCTGGTGGATGAACATACAGTCTACATACAGGTTGGCCTCTTGAAATATAAAAATGCCTCTAAAGTGTGTCCACAAAGGTTGCGGGAAGGAGTTTGAGGACCTCGATGAGCCATGTCACTACCATCCTGGCCCGCCGAAGTTCCATGAGGGGCAGAAAGGTAGGTAAATGCAAACAGCTTCGTACCAGAACTTGCGCTCTTGTCTACGTGTTTTACACGGAAATAGATGCTCCAGGCTCCTCTTTGAACCATAGCGGCTAATTGATTTCCGTTCAACCAGGCTGGGAATGTTGCAAGCCGCGAGTTCTAACCTTTGAAGAGTTCTTGGAGATCCCGCCATGCACGGTTGGAAAACACTCGGCCGTGGATGACACGCCAGCAGCAGAAGCGCCAAAAGCAGGCGTGGAAGACGAATTAGCTCCTGTTCGAAAGACTGTCCCGATCTCCCAAACGAGACCCAGCCATCCACCCTCGACTCTCGGTGCTACTGGTGTCCAAACGCCACCAAGCGGTTCCCCCGCACCCCCAGAATCGGAATCCGATGACCCGTCACTAGAAATTCCCGCTAATACGGAGTGCCGTCGGAGAGGCTGCAAGGCGACATATAATCCCGGCGCGTCCAGAGATGCAGAAGAATGTGTGCATCACCCCGGACAACCGATTTTCCATGAGGGGAGCAAAGGATGGAGTTGTTGCAAAAGAAGGGTGCTGGAGTTCGACGAGTTTATGAAGATTCCCGGCTGTGCGACGAAGGCGAGACACCTGTTTATCGGCAAGGGAAAGAAAGAGGAGAAGGTTGATACTGTTCGGTGAGTTCGTCGAAGCTCCAGTGGCTGTGAGCGCTCCTCTTAACATATTCTTCTTTTCTTGTAGCACGGATTTCTACCAGACTCCCTCCACTGTGATGGTTTCATTCTATCTGAAGAAGATTGATAAAGACACGGCGAAAGTTGACTTTTCCTCGCCGACAACGATCAAGTTTGACCTCCCAACAACCGACAACAAGCGATTCTTGGACACATATGAGCTGTTCGCGCCTATCGACACACAGAAATCGACGTATAAGATCATGGGGACGAAAATGGAATTGACGCTGGTCAAGGCTGATGGCTCAAGCTGGCCTGTTTTGCGGAGCAACGATCAGAGGACCGGCGAGATCATCCAGACTGGGCGAGCAACAAAGGCTTGAAGAACGTATGAGTGGAAAATGTGATGATTATGAGCCACTCGTGCTTCGGTGCAGTTTGAATAACTTTCTGGCAAGGAATGACTGAGGGCTGGTGGTAGGTCACTCCATGGGAGCGAGGACAAACGTCCAAAAGCGTTTTTGACAAATCTTGTCCGTTTGTGAAAATTCGTAATATTGTTCTATGCTGAAGAGTACACTATAATAACGGAATCGCTGCCAGAGTCAGGCTAGCTAGCAAATCACAAGAAAATCCTAAATGGCAGAGATATCAAAATTCATAATGTCACGCCTCCTCCATAGACGGGACTTCACAATCAAAAGTCCCGCCATGCAAGATGTCAAAGACGCAAGTCGTCAAATCAACTGTTTTCTGCGAAGCCGGGAACGGAAGGAAATCCACAGAGAAAAGCAGAACAACCCTCAGCAAGCCGTCATTGACGGAGCTCCGGTATGAAATTTACATGGTCAATGTAAACCTCTACTGATGATGGAGAAAAGAAGAAGAGAAAAAAGAAGCAAATTTTCAGTGCGCGAGAAAATCTTTTGTAGTGCTATGCACGTGACTCGGTAAGACTGCGCTAGTCCTAAACTAGGTGAGCGTATTATATAATAATCTGTCCCTCTGCGCCCGCTCATTGGACGAGCCGTGTAAAATGAGCCAATCGGAGGCGCGTCTAGACTCGCCCAGGCAGCGTGGCGCTAACTGCATTGGCGCAGTGGGCCCGTGGAAATAAGCTCCTATTCGTCCGCCGCAGAGCCATGGGAGTTTGTCCGGGAGCCAAACTTCGGCTAGAGCCAAAATAAGCAATTCTGCCTCGTTCTCCGCGCTAGGCCATGTTGCCAGTGCGCCAGGAACAGCATCTGGAGCACGAGACCAGGTTTTCCCTCTCCCCTCTCCCCCTTTTCGCCTGTTCGCCTGGTCCGGTGCTCTTGGGAATTGGATGAAAACACACATTTGCGCCTGCTGCTGTACCTGGTATGTTTGCTCTGTTGATCTACGTCAAGGATAGTTGGGTGTTGAGGGCCAACTCCTCCAGTGGAGAAAACCATGTGATAATTGGTCGCTGTGTTGTACCAACTGTGCCCGGCCGCCCGTTGCTTCTCATACTTCATGCTGTTTGCTAGCTATAGAAACTCATTCTAATTGATGCTGGCAGTGTGCGTGGAATCCGTGCATATTTATCGGCGTCTGACCTGCCCTCGCATTGTTCGCCCACAGCCCCTCGCTCTACCTCCCCCACCTTCAACAGAGACCTGTGACCGCGATGACTTCCGGCCATTCGACCCAAAACGGAGGCCATGTATCCGTGAGGTACATTCCTTTGTCGTATAACCATGCCGATTCTCAGGCTTCTGCATTGAGACTTGTTCTTGCACTGCGCCCGGAGTGGGAGCATGCTGAAGGCAAGATTGAATTCGTGAGATTCACTGATGGTATCACAAACACGGTGTGTGCTTCGACATGGTGCCCGAATATCCTGACGCGTTCGTTGCTAATGTGCTGTGCAAGCTGTTGAAAATCATTCGGAGAGCCCCGGGTATGACCGACGAGGAAATCGACAGCGAAGCGGTGTTGATGAGAGCTTATGGTAATCATACAGAGGTTCTGATAGACAGAGAAAGTTCGTTTGAACCACTACTCTAGGCGAATGGTGGACCAACTAACTAATCTCCGATATATAGAGGAAGTTCGATCCCACGCGTTGCTTTCGTCCAAGGGTCTCGCACCGCCCCTCCTGGCTCGATTTAAGAACGGCCTCCTGTATCGCTTTATTCGTGGACAGGTAGCCTCTCCGCATGACCTTACCCAACCACCTATCTGGCGCGGGGTTGCGCGGCGACTTGCCCAATGGCATGCCGTCCTCCCGATCAGTGACAGTACCACTAACCCCGGAATTCCAGAATCCGTGATCGAGGGTGCAAATGCCCATATTAACGGAGATGCCAAATCTCCCGAGAAAAGCAACGATGATATTACACCCGTTAGAACGCAAGGGAAAGGAACACCCACTCTTTGGACCGTACTGCAAAAATGGATCCTTGCCCTCCCTGTCAATACGGACAAGGAACGTGAAAGGCGTAAACGACTACAGAAGGAATTCGAAAGAATTGTTGCAGAATTGGACGATAAATCAGGAATTGGCGAAGATGGGGTAGGTTTCAGTGCTCTCTTCCGCGTCGTTTTGAGTTGGGCTAAAACCGAACCAGCTGGTCTTCGCACATTGTGACCTTTTATGTGCCAATGTCATCCGGCAGCCAAAATCAGCAAGCGCCGTTTTGCCCGAGGATGATTCGGTTGAAACCGTCAGTTTTATAGATTACGAGTACGCTACACCATCACCGGCGGCGTTCGACATCGCAAACCACTTTGCGGAGTGGGGTGGTTATGACTGTGACTACAACATGATGCCCACACGCTCCGTTCGCCGCGGGTTTCTCACTGAATACGTGCGAAGCTACAGTAAATATGCAGACCTCGGGAAAAGCGAACAAGATGCTGTAGAGACTCTGTTCCAAGACGTTGACCGGTTTAGGGGAATTCCCGGCTTCTACTGGTAACTCTCGATGTTCACGCTTCAAAGTATGGATAACTGACATGTGCGATAGGGGTGTTTGGGCATTGATTCAGGCCACGATTTCCCAAATCGATTTCGATTATGCAAATTACGCTGAAGAGCGCCTCGGAGAGTATTGGGCCTGGCGACGCGAACAGGATTGCTCTCGCGCCCAAGCCGGTGAAGAGATGCCACTTCGAGAACGCCGCTGGGCGCAAGAAGTCTAGCCAACTTCTTTTTGGACACATCCCTCCGATGGAGAAGAATCTTTTTGGAACTACTTTCCTTGCTAACCGGCCATTGGCCCCGTTTTACATTTTTCCCCTGTTCTTGGTTGATATTTCCGACTGCCCGGGTGATTATACCGCGGGAAAGCTGGAGTTACACGGTGTTGAAGAAATTTAGAAACTCCGTTATTTTACAGCCTTCCAATACGATATCTAGTATACGATAACTGCCTCGCCCTTCTTGATACCCTAGAGCCAAATAAATACTGACGACTGTTTCAACAACATGGTTGGTCCGTCGATTCACCCAGTTACTGAAAATCAAATATTCTGGAGACGCATGCGTTACTCGGGGGAAATGGCACGGCCAGTCGGAAATTTTTGAAATCATTGAAATGGCCTGGATGTCAAGCTTTTGGGCTTCACACCTGCGGGACCTGTAGATCAACCCCAAATGTGTCGAGGCAGTCAAAGGATATCATTGCGTCTTTTGTGCTTTTCAAGATGAAAATCTAGATCTATATATTCTAGCATACAATTTAATATACTCACTGGAAACATGATTAATACCCCTCACTAGTGATATCATCCATTATGCAGGTTTGCTTTTCTTGCTTCGCCCGACGGACCGCTGGTTGGTTACACCATGGGTCAAGAAACACGCAATGGCACGCAGTTAGGATATATACACATCATCTGAAATATCCGAGGGTTACCCAGGTTCATCATAGTTACCCTGTACCCCTTTTGGATTATCTGGGCCGTCATGGTTCAACAGAGCTTGATATCCATGGACGCCATGACTCACTGAAACCATGGACTTGTGTGGTTAGGCCTAGAACAAAAATCACTCTCCAGCCGGCAATCATAAACATTACACTCTCTAAGGCCATTGGATTCAAAATATCAAGTCAGCATTCAGCTAAGCTACATGTCACCAGCACAGGAAACAAAAGTTGTAATATGTAATATTCCACAATTGGTCATGTATGTACAGAGCCAAAGCTTCATTCGAGAAAAATATGTTCAGTGGGTTCAAATATGTCCAATGAAGTCAAGGAGAGAAATTCAAAAAAGCAAACAAACATGCAGATCTTCCTGGCCTGGTGAATGTCATTGACCTCATCGGCCAATACTTGCGATTCGCTGTGAAATCCAGCCCGGATCAGCCAAACCAAAAGAACCCGCATGCGGAATTATATCCAGTCGAAACGAAAAGTTGCGTGGCCCCCATGACCTTGCTCATCGCTGGCGACGTCAGAGGTTTACTATGTGAAATGGTCAGTCAATTTGTATCGGATGAAAACAAGCCATAACTGGCGCCGGGATTTTTTTTCTCTCTAAATTTTAACCGTAACAATGAATAAAACATTAATGGGTTCAGCGATATTAATGTCAGAATATCAAATCTGAACAAGAAGTGAAAGAAGTGTGCGTGATCTCCACCCAACCAACCCGAAGTATCATTGTGAAGAGGAACCGAAGCATTTTCCAGCCCATAAGAATACAGAAGCCAAAGGGAAAAAAACAAGGGTAGAACATAGTCTTCCTAGACGCCACCGAGAGCCATCATAATCCGTTGTAAAGCATCGAGAGCAACATTTGATCACATCACCACAACAGTCCAATCACAATAGCGAGGATTCCCGTAGCGGAGAATGCGCTCACCTTCGAAGCATCTCCCTCGAACATCGGAGGGCCTGTAGGACGGCTTGGGCTCCCACGAATTGGAGTTCCAGTTGAGCATTTTCCGTCACGGCACGGAAGACCAGGGCCTCCGGGGTTGGTTGTCTTCAAAACAAAGTTTCCGCAGTTAATGCGCGTTTTGTTGGCGTAGTGGACCACGATGGAGCGGTTTCCAACGAAAGCGCCGATACCAGGAGTGATCGCGGTGTAGCGGTCAATATATGCCTTCTTGTAGCGCTCTTCGCCCTCGATGCCCTCAATGTTGCCGTATTTGCCGCTCAGGTCGCCGACCTGGCAAGTTTCTGGCTTAGAAGCGTCGCATGGGGGAACTTCTCCACGAATATAAGGATCCAGATGGGCAAGAGTCTTGGTGCAGTTGCCATCCTCAGGAACGGGCTGGTCATGGACGTGGTACGCTAAAGACAAAGTATTAGATGCAAGGTCAACATGGAAGCAAGTGGATGGTCATCACTGACTGAATGGGCCTCCTTCGGCGGGGAATCCAGTGAAATCGACGTTGTAGATGATGCCACGGCCGTCAGGTGAACCGCTGACAGTGACAGAGCCGCGAAGGTTGGTACCTTCTTTGGCGAGGAGGGTAGCCTCATAGACAGTGCGGAAAGGGTTGTTTTGAGTCTCATCGGCATCCCCAAGCTTTCCAGTCTCTGCCACAACACAGGCTGCGCTCAGGAGCGAGCAGGCAAGAAGAGCTTTGGCATGCATCTTGAATCTGAACAGATCAACAAAAGGATAGGGATGTGCGTTGCAAATGGAATGCGACCCTGGATGTACGGGAGGAGGATCGGGATGGTGCAGAACAGTGATATTAAATAGCTTCGATAGGGTTTCTTGATGTCGACTTGGATCGAGATTCGAACAAGGGTGGGTGGTATATCCGCAAGGTATAATAAGAGCTGATGGATGCAGTTACAGCAAGGATACAATCGCGGTTCTAGAGCTGCAGGCGAACAATGGCTTGATCCAGACGGAGAGTGAGAAAGGAAAAGAAGCTGAAGGGAGCACAAAGGCCGATCCCCATTAAATAAGAATGAACCGCCGGGTGGCTCCTGTGCGCATTCACTGCAGAGAAAAAGAAAAAGCCCAAAAATAGTGAATGGAAGCTCCTTTCACCCGTGATTGATGTCGCCTTCCCGCCGTCCATCACCATGCAGTGGTGGCTGGGACAACCAAGAGAGACCCCCAATCATCGCTGTGCTCTTTGCCCAAGAGACACATTCATCAAACAATGGCTCCGGTGAAGATATCCCCATTGACCAATCCGGCTGGGCCTGGTGCAACCTGAGCCGTGTGGATGGATCATCACTGGGATGGCGGTATTTTTAGGTCTGTTTCGGTGCTGGAGCTCAGTTTGCCTATCAGCATCAGGAGCCATGGCTACGCTCTCTCTGGCTGCAGCGATCGGCAGCACCCTGAGCAATAGCAGGGTCTCGTTAAGCGCCAATGCCTGGGCCAGGAACACTCCTTTGGATGGGACGCTGGCACAGGCTGCCCTGCTCCGGCCGGCGGCGGTTTCGAAGGCAATGGCGCAGCTCTCATTGATTGTCTTCCCTCCCTTGCATCTGCGGATTGAGCTCGCTAACATACACAATCGACTGACATTGGACAGATCCCTGACACCAACCCCGAGCATCCCATCAAATAACACATACCAAACATGCACGATGCTGCATTTTGTCGCCATCTCCGGCTTCGCCATACTCCGTACCCTCTGCAACATTCTCCGAGAGACGTCAATTCTCCTAAGCTTTTTCCCTCGAAGACCAGCATTCCGGCACGCCCCAAGACCAGGTTGCGGTATCTCCATTGCCCTCCCTTGTTCCCCCATCCACATTCTCATTCTTGACATCGTCCTCCGTCTCTAGGCAATAGCAGAGCGGGAAAAGAACAGCTGTACTCTGTACACATGGTTAGATTAACCAATTTCGGAAACAGGGCCGTCATCCGCCGCGACATGTGCACGCTTGAGACCTCCGGGGCTGCAGCAAACAGCCAAGTGTTAAATTGCCATTCTAAGCTAAGCTCTTGGACAAGAGCCGTTGAAAGTGAAATACGGCTCGCAGTGAGCATGCCAGCAAAGAAATATGGTAATGCTACGTGACATCCGGCTACAAGACCCATCGTTCGTCGCCCCGTCCCCGACCACTATTTGCGGGCATCCCACCACTGGCGACTGCTTGGGCCCTTCCCATCCTCCAACTGTGAACTGACTGCAAGAAACTGACACGTGGTTGATGGTCTGGTGATCTCCCGCCAGTCGGTTTTGACGTCCAGATGCAGCATCATGAGGGACAGCAGGGATGCCCCAGATTCTAAGCGTAGCATCTCGACATGTCCCCAGCAAGGGTTTCCCTTCGTAGTGGCGCTATCGAACTTTCCGGGACCTTTGCATCGGTGAGACTTTAATATTAATGGCTGTTGATATCAGCTTCAATATTGCTGTTTTCTTACTCAATCTCTGAACAAGGTCTGTCCATATCATCCGCGAGAGAAAACAAACTTTGTACATACAATAATACTGATCTTATATTGAAGCTATACAAGTGAAGCTGCATACGGAGTATAGTTGTCAAATTGGCTTTTTGACCCTGCTCGAAAAACAATCCCCCATGACCCTGTCGACCCTTAATGCATGCCGTGATCTGATCGCTCCCAGAAACGCCAGAAACACCAAAGTCATGTCCCGGGCGCCTCGATAGTATTACCGCCTTTTCCCAACTCCTCGGTAGATAAGAAGAAAAACAATCCCGTCATCAAATCACAAAAACCCATATGCGCATACAATCATCAGGAGACTGAAGATTATCAGTCACAAAAACCATGCGTCGATCCCCCTGCCGAGTGCGGAGTGCATGAAGTTACCATATCAACCTCATCGTACACGAGACAAAGTGTAACGATCCTACCCCGGCTTGCAGTTCGAACGTAGCCTGGGACACGGCGAAAGAGGCGGAAAGTAAAAAAAAAAAAAGACGGCTTGCCGACAACACATTTAGATTAAAGGAGGAAGTAGGACCGGAAAAGAGAGTCGTATCATCTCGGAATAGACTTTCGACGGTATCTCGAAAGTTCGAGATACCGTATCTCGCGCGGGGGATGAAATGGCGTGCTCACCGGCCGCTGCTTTCGACCATCATACTCACATCTTTCACGGGGTGTAGCAGCATCGGGGGAAGACACATGCGCCCCTCGTTAGCGAGCTCAAAGTCTTCCCCGCCATCGTTGTTCACTTTGTACCCCAGCCATCGAGTCCACAGATTCGACGCATGGCCCGCGGAGTAGAACCACGTCGTCCCTTTGAAGTTGTGCTCTCGATCCCCGAATATAGACGTGCGCGCTCCGCCACTGGCGCCGTTTCTGCCTCCGTTGAAAACCGACTCCAGGTACGTCAAGGGCCACCGCCGGTCAATGTAGACGGAATGCGGAGCATACACGGCCTTGAACCCGTGATGGAGGCAAGTCGTGGCAGGCCACATTTCGGAAAACATCGTGTGGCGTTTTAAGCTAGTCTCGCGGTGCATCGTTTGCAACAATTTGCGGGAAAGGCGAGAGGCGGTGATGATTGCTGCTCGTCGGGGCGGACGCTCACTCTCCTTGTCGTACCCGGTGACGTCGTCTTTGAGAAGCCAGGTTGTCCCTTCAGGATCGAATAACGGGTTTAAAACAATGAGGTCAGCATCTTCACCCACACCCCATTCATACGTATCTCTTTCGTACGTGGTTGGCGGTATGCCTTCGTTGTCTACCTTTAGGATATCCCGTTCTGATGCAGGTCGTTCTGGGCCCCAAATCGGTTTGTCTCCTTGGAGCTCTCCAAGCCGATAGCCTTTAGGCTGATCTTTCTTCACCGCACTCCACATATTATTTGGGCTATTGGTCCCGATTTCGGTTTGTACGCGGACCATTTGTCGGAAATCTTCCCATGATCCGTGCACTGCGGGGATGTAGAACCTTGAGTTCCGTTCCCACAATCCCTTGCGTGGCTGTCGCTTTGACCATTGTGCGAGCTTCTCCATCAAATGATACCAGTGTCCCGTATACCGTATGTCCACTTCCCAGTTCCAGTAGAAATCGTATTCCGGGTGCCGATGGGCAAAGTATTGCAGCGGCATAAACGTGCTCCTGTAGACCCCATGAACCGGGAGGTTTCGCGCAAATGACTCCTCCAGCCCGCCATATATCAATCCCATCTGCCTTTCTGACCACAGGGTGCCCATCCCTTGAAACTCCTTTGGGAGAGCGGCTTGCAGGACACGATCGTAGATTCCATCGTCGGCCCAAATCTGAAGGTTATCATCTTTCACGTGGATCAGGAAGTGGACGAAGTATTCTCCGCCAGACATCAGGGAGAGTTCTGATATCAGTGACCGCAAGTACAAAATGGTCTCTGTATTGTACTGGAAATCATGCCACGTACGAATGATAAAAGCAGTCCGTGGAAGGCGGTTGGTTCCAACTGTGGCATTTGTGGAAAATCTTTCTCCTCTTAGCTCTTTTTTATGTCCTTTTCCTGCTGGAAAAGCCCGAAAGTTCTCCCTTCCCGAGCCTGGCACGTCTGAGAAACGGTGTTTGTTGGCAGAAGCACAACGATCTTGAGCGTCGGCCCACTTCACCTTGCGAAAGTCGACTGGCGGAGTGTGGCCCCAAATAGATTCTACGCCAGCTCTGTCCCCCTCGAGTCCAGCTCCACTGCCTCCAATCTGAGATCCGTACCCTAAGCCGTAAGGACCTAAACGACCGAATCGATCGAAACAAACGTCGTCTTTGATTCCAAGCAATTTGGTCGAACCCATTATGGCATCCGGAAACCCTTTTGGAATACCATTGTAGTGACGAACGTACGGGATTGACACTTTCTTAAGGGTATCCAGGAAACAGTCTTCCTTATTGCCATACTTAGCGACGTATTCCGGAGAGGTATAGTTTGGATAAGGATCGAAAACAAAGGTAGGAGCCAGAGAGCTATCTTTTTCATTCTTATAGACGTTTGGTAGCGAGCTTTGACCGTTCCCCTTCTTTTCTTCCTCGTTATCATTCGGGTATTCGGGCACGTTTTCGGTCCTCGATACTAGTGTCCTGATACCGCCATAATAACGCGTAAGAAAGGGAAATCCTTCCCACTGTGGTGGCTTCGATACCAGGTCTGGTCCTGGAATCTTGAGTTCAACTGGCTTTATAAATGCATGCATCAAGGTAACCCGAAACAAGGCGAAGACGAACAAGACCAATGCGCAGAAAACGCCCAAGCAAAAACATCTCATGACGGTGTGGGGGAGTCGATAAGGTCGAACTATGCGCTTTTTCCGCGGAAATGAGGGTTTCAGCATGGGCTTCGCGGAGTAAGATGTGCTATAGGAGGAGTCGGAGAACGAGGAGGACTCTTCATCGTGTTCGAAGGATGTTTCTCGTGAAGGATAAAAGCGTGGCTGCTTTTCCCTGATCGGATCGTCTCGCTTCTTCATTTTGTTTTATCTTGACAAAATCGCAGTGAGCCGTTGTCAAGAGTTAGGCAAATGCATCGGAGGGATCGGCCACTGAACATTCCACGATTGTCCCGACACCCAAGTAGTTAGTTACTGAAGGAGACTCGACGGGGCGATGCGGATGAAGAGCAAGGTGTTTCTCAGATGTGTGGCGGGAGAGCTCCTTGGGCCAGGAAAAGCCGTTCGAGCCGGGCGTTGAGTTCCAATCACGTCCCCTCCGTCGCATTCCTTCAGCGAACCCAAACTCGGAATCCCTGATGTAAACACGCGCGGCTGTTCTGTCGCAAATCCACCAATCCGCATTCTGATCAGAGCCCCGCAGACTCCATATTGAAACCTAATTGGCTGATTGGCCGCTTTAGCCGCGGACAGTCTTTCACCACGGCAACCAGTCTTGGCGCGTAACTAAGCATGCTGAGTAATTGTGCGCTAGACCTGTCTCGGTCATTCAATGTACCTATCTTAGCTCTCTTAATTCACTTGGATTTAGGGCTCCTATACTTGCGGAATCACCATCAATATGATGCAGATAGCGAAACTGGTTGCTGTCACTCCTCATGACCATCTAGCAATTCTCCATGTGCCCACTTCTAGGCTTTTCAAATATGTTCTAGGGTCGGGCGGCTCATCACGTCCAGCGTAGAATTCAAGATTAACCCCACAAGCAAGTCCTGTCGAACCAAGCCTGGAAAGATTGAGACGGACAAACCCATGATACGATGCTTGGTTTTGCCGTCTGTCTAGGGATGCCGAATATCCTCTAGTGGTGGTGTAGATGACTGAGCCCAGGCCACATCATGCAGGCGCCGGCTGGACTCCCAATCAAGTAACCTAACGATGATAGCTAACACTTCCGGTCCGTTTTCAGTTAGCTGTGCTTGAAGATAGTAGTAGTCCACTGGTACCAGTAAAAAGCATGCTCATGCATCGGATCAGTTTTCCTGTGGTCTATACGGAGTACAAGCAGCAAGAACATACTAGAGGAGTGTAGCGCATAAAGGATTCTGGCGGACCGTACGGAGTACAACATGCCTAGTTAATTAGCGTGGATAACAATAAGTTTGCATCTCCATACATAGACAGTAGCCCATTACACTTTGACCAAGCCTGGGTGAAAATCCTTGGAACACTATCATAGCCCTAACGAGGCTGAGATGTTTCACAAGGACACTAATAAGAACGGATAATGGAATACGAGGATGCATAGGTAAACATTCTCCCGAGTTAGAAGAACCGAGCCAGTATCCCCAAAACAAGCGCACAGAGGACGGCGGTCAAAGTAAAGCATCTCCCTGCTCCCAAGACGGAAACGAAAACACCTCGCTGCTGAGGACCTTTGCAAATCTCAACTCTCCTCCCTCTTGTGACGTTGAGGAGAATCGAACGTGGATCAATGGGGTTGCTTGCCGTGGATCCTTGGCTGATTCTTGCGTCACAATAACCGGTAAGTTGACTAGTTGATGAGCAAGCGAGCAACATGGTTCAATGGCAACAAACCCGAGAGGTTCTTCATGCTTCTTGCTGCTGAGCTGCTGGAAGAGATGAATGTGCCTACACATTGCCCAAACTTTTATTATCCCCATGGGTAGTTCAAAGTATTCCATTTTTCATTCTAATCCTCAACGCGCTCCTCTGCAGATCTCCAACCCGCCTCCTGGGGAAAAAAAAGCATCGTGTCTGACCTTCAAGCCGAATGCCGTGGAAAGAAGGAGAGTGGCGACCCATGATGGACACTCCAGCTTGACCCATTGGGAAATCCGGTTGCAATGCTGGTGGCGTGGCCGTACCTGGAATGTCACCTGGGCGACATATAATGCAGAGTATATAGTCTGGAAGGTGGCCTAGGCCAATAGCTAAGCTGCAAGCATTCACAGCACCGACAGCTAGATCACACGCCTTACAGGAAGTGACGAGCCGATGAGTTGTGGTTGCGTCGGCATGACTGGTCAATCGCTACAGCTGGACTTCCACGTCGGTGCCTTAATTCGAGCCGCTTCAATATCGCACAAATGAGTTTTGTGATACGGTTTGCTCGAAGACCTGATCATACACTTCTCTTTCATACCTTGGACTCTTCAGAGAGCTCCCCTGTTTTCGAGCTTTGAGGATCTCTGGGTAGAATACTTCATTCGTTACTTCCTTTCTATTCTCCAACACAACAAACCGGCTACTACTACTCCTCAGTCTCCGGAAGCGAAATGGTATGCAGAACCCAATGGTTTATCTATTCATGCTCACCAGCTTAATCTTACAGGCAAACTCCCTACCAGGCCAACATTCCTACTCTGGATCCATGGCACTCTTTACTGGAAACTCTTACATTTCTTCGCCGCTCATGTTCACCCTGTTCTCCACGGTATCCGTGTTAGCTCTGACGCTTTTTATTCGGAGAGTGCGGTCTGGATACCATGCGTTTTTGGCTTTGGGTCCAGGCGGCACGCCTTCAACATTCATGGGATACCTTCGAATCTGCGTTTTGCGCATTTTTGCGCTCAGGAATCCACTAAACCCGCCTCTCCTGCCCGTTAACCTCCGTCCACAAACTGGCATCCTGAAGGATTTACCGAAAAGGAATTCTCCTCGACCCAAAGTTGCTGGGATCGCTCCCCAGCGTCAAGTATCACAGCGAGGCTCCGCATCCATGTACTCGGCACTTGCAGCAGCTATCAAGGACATATCTATCCATAATTCTGACCACTTGTATCTCGGAACCTCTTGCTTTGAGAAACACAGCACCGGCCTATTCTCTCTGCCGACTCTAATCAACCAAGTCACTTGCAATGGCGAAGTTTGCCATGCCCATCCAAGTGATGGCAGCCTCCACCTCACACTCCACCCCGCAGACGTGAAGTATGTAATCGAGAAAGGCTGGGGAGAACGCCATCCCCTGGCAAGAGAAAGCTGGTGGTGGAAACTTCGATTCGTACCAGTCGGTTTTGTCATGATTTATGCGCCACAGACGATGGAGGAATTGCAGTGTGTGATTCAAATCATCCACGCTGCTACCTGGTGGGTAACGGGAATGGAACCACGCTCTAAGGATTGTGCATACAAAACTGCCGCCGTTGCGAAAGCTCAGGGGAGAAGGTCCGATGACTCTCAGCCGGCGATAAATGTTGCGAATTAACAAGTGAATCGAGGATGCAGTCCGCATATACCGTGGAGTCAATGGGAGCGGGACCTACGACTCGAACAATGATTTACGGCCGACTTATGATGATGAGTAGTACGCAGGAGAGCAAATCGTATTTGAGTGAGCGATTATCATTTTTTATAAACAGACATATTGAACGCGGTATCATTTCCTTTTGTTTTTCCACTAGGAGCTCTTTCTCACGGTTTCTCCGTTACAGTCCATAATTTCTGATATGCCCTTACAGATTCCCTAATCAGTATTTTAAATATCGTATTTTGATAGCAAATTAGCAGTTCCCTTGGAGGATTATTGCCTACACCTCATTAAATCTGATTCGAAATCAGGGCCCAAGAATATCAAGGTGCTTATCTATACGACTTCTTTTATTACTCTTTAAATTCTCAGTGTTATCGAGAGTAACGGTGTAGAACATTTCCATGGAGAATGAAAAACACAAGTTACACATGTCTTAGCCAGATCTCCTGCCTCACTAAAGGCTCCCAATGATAAGGGTAGTAAGTCCACCTGACTACGGTGCGGTTTAGACATTCCAAAGAGTGTCGAAAAACTCCATTGCCCCAACTGATTTCTAATAATGTATTTGCATCGGTGATTGGGTACTTTTGTACGAGACACATGATGTACGTTCGTTGGCACGAACAACAGACCCAGTATATAGATAGCTAAGGCAGGGCTTCAATTGACAAGGAGTAAGGTTATAAAGGAAAAACACGACAAGTATAAGAGGTAAAAACACGACAATCGTACTAGGCGGGAAGTAAGAGATGACGCCGGGATGAAGAAAAAGGGACCCTATCAAACGTGTACCACCAAGCCCATATTTCTGCACCGACGCAACACGTAATCCCAGATATGGCATTACACATCAATCATTTGTAGAGTAGCATCTAGTCATGTCCGGACTTCTTCAAGGCGTTGGCCAACCATTCAAGGCCCTCATAAAGACCGTCACCAGTTGTAGCACAGGTAGATTGGATATACTTTTCAGGCCTCTGTTAGCGATGACTGTCTATAAGCGATATGAGAGAATGAATGTGGCTTACCCAAGCACGTCGTGTCAAGCTCTGCAAACCGAGTTGCTGGGTGATTTCAGCTGGGCTCATGGCGTTCTGGAAGTCAATAGCGTCAGCGGGGACTAATCAAGCAATTACGTTGGTATCACACACCGGAAGATCTTGCTTGTTGGCAAAGACGAGCAGCAGGGCATCACGGAGTTCATCTTCATTAAGCATGCGCTGGAGTTCTTCTCTGGCCTCAACAACACGGTCACGATCGTTGCTATCGACGACGAAAATGATGCCTTGCGTGTTCTGGAAGTAGTGTCTCCACAACGGTCTGATCTTGTCCTGGCCACCAACGTCCCACACGGTAAACTGAATGTTCTTATATTCAACGGTTTCAACATTGAAGCCTACGATGTAGGGTTGTATATTAGCGCTTGTCCTTTCCGACGAGTGGCCTCGAATCCCTCGGGTGGCACAGACGAGCACTTACCAATTGTGGGGATAGTTGTGACGATTTCACCGAGTTTCAGTTTGTACAAGATGGTGGTCTTTCCGGCAGCATCAAGGCCGACCATCAAAATTCGCATCTCCTTCTTTCGCCATATGCTGTCGAACAGCTTTGAAAATGACATACCCATGCTGGCGGTGTTGTTGTCGGAGCAATCTGAGAGCAAGATCTAAACACGGTCAAACGCAAGCCAATAGATTAGCATATACTTTGAAAAGCAATATGAATTCACATCAAAACGTATGCGAGGAGAAAGCTTGTGTGGAAAGCTGCCAAGTGGGCTGAAGTGGGAGGTGGAGGGAAAGTGAGGTGACAGTTAAGGCATCCAGGGGGACGGGACAGGTTGCTTCCTCCACGGATTCGACCATTAAGGACAGCAGCAAGAAACAGCACAACTCACAGGGGGCTCTGTGGCACTAAAACCAGGCAAAAGCCAGATGGACGCAAGGGGGCGGTTGTGTGGAAAAATACGAGTCTCCTGGCGGCTGGTGGTTGATAGTTGTTCTGATGGAGATTTGAAATTTTGGGGAGAATGGCAGATCGAGGAAGTTCAGCGAAGCCTTTGTCACTCTGCCACTCTGGGACTGGGCCAAGGCTGTTCTGCCAAACTAGCCCACCACACCAAAAAAAACGTGATTCAACCGCAACCACGAACGCGATGGCGAAAACAATGGCTTTGCTCCAGCGTGCAGGAAACACCACTATAAATATCCGGGCCCTTCCACGTTGTTTCTTCTGCTGAATCGATGTTGCCTTCGACCAGCCTGGCTCACGACAAGAGGCCACTCTATCGCTTCTGAGAGGCGCATGTGAAGACCCGAGAGTTGCTAGCTCTCCAGGCTCCCAAGTTCCAAGGGCAGAACGGTTGAATTGGCCACTTGAACTTGTTCTTTGGATCGTGATCGAGTTGAGCTGAGATCTTTTCGCTTCTGCTCTTCGATTTCTGCATAGACTACATAGCTAATAGAACACATTGCATTTTCCCAGGGCCCCTGTTAATCCCAATATATACTCCTTCACCCGTGCCAATCGGAATAGGATACTGAAAGCTACAACGGAAGAAATTGGGTCTAGAAAACACCGGATATCATCGAATCGCTCAGACGGACCCCTGGATCAATAGCTTGTCGCCCTGCGTTGGTGGAAAGCTTGCCTTGCGTCCATATAACGCTTTTTCAGCGTCTGGTGCGTTGAATTTCCACCAATGAGATTGTTGATCCATCCAAATAAATACAGTCCTGTGATAGAAAGGAACATAATTATTCCAAAGGAAACCCAATAGTTCTTTGCGGTATAAGAACCTTTGAGGCCATCAATCTCGGTGGAAAAATAGCTTGTTAGCAAGCTCACTGGTAGAAAGAGAATTGTTACTTTAGATAGCAAAACGGTGCTGCGGGTCAACTTTTCGACGGCGTTCGAGTCTTTGATTGCGATCAAATTGAATACCTGGATCCCGTTAAATCGTACGTCGCTTCTGAGGGAAGAAGCCCGAACTTACTAGAAATGTGAGCGTCTCTTTCTCGTTCAAACACTCTTCGATTTCGCTCAGGGCATAGAGCCTGATCCGGTCAGCAAGTCGCTCGACCCGATTTAGCGCTGCAGCTTTCAACTGCACGCCTCCGCTCTGTCGTGGATTGAATTCATCTTCACTCTCATCGTCTGGCAATGAAGTCCAGGTGTGATCTCGGGTGACATTGAAGCGATGCTTATTCAGACCCCGGATTTGGCTTGCCGTCCGCTGGCTAACGCTGCGGGTTTGCTCCTTCATCTGCCACTGCCGATTAAGAATTCGGGTAGCGATCAACTCGTAGCTCTGATATAGTCGTTTCAAGACTGCGAGTTCCCTTCCTACCCGGTGTAAGTCCGTTATCAAGTTGACTCGGGGTCTTTCTAACATGTTGGTCCTCTAAATAACAGTCAGCACAGTTCAAGCCGACTTTCCGAGCTGCTCTAGAGATCTCTGACCAACTTCTCAAGGGCAGCACTGTATGAATGCTCCCGTCCGATGACCAAACTGTAGTTGGTCGCCCAATCGTCAAAAATGTAATAAAAAAGCAAGCTTGGCCCCTCGCCTTTCTTGACCCTCACGTCTGTGGACTCGCTAGAAGAGTTTCTAATATGTGTTCCCAAAAGAGGGTTCTTCTTCTTGTTTTCTCCGTGTTGCTTTGATATCCCAAACAGGACCAGGCCAATGTTTCGCCGTATTATTTTCAAAGCTGCTTGTCTCTGCTCCCGGGTTAAATTCTCCTGTGCGAACGGATTTTCTTGGATGGAAATGACGGTTCCTAGCTCGATTAGCTGTGCTACAGAGGAACTCGAAGTTCTAGCATAACTGTACCATCAGTGCATAAAATCAGCCAGGACCAGACTCGCTTCCCATCAGGTCGACCCGGAAGCTGCTTGAACGCGACACCCGGGACGACATAAAGAGAGTTGTATCCAATGCACAGGTCTCCTATGGTCAGCAAAGCTGCAAGGTTGAATGAGGGAGTGGTGAAATGACTGCCATGACATACATTGACTTCCGTAATCGACTGACGAAAAATGCCAAATTTTGTCAACCAACTGCGAGAATGAAATGCCACCCATGTCAAACTCTTGTTTTTCAAGAGATCTTGGGGCATCCGCCGGAACCATCTTCTCAGACTGGTATCCGGCTTCAATGTCGCTTGACTTCGTGGTTTCCGATGAAACCTCTGTCTCGTCGACGACTCCATTCGGTTTGTCGCATGCAAGTTTTGGGGATAGGGGCGTTATCTTCTTTTTCCTTGAAGGATCCGAGCACATGAGCCCTCCAAGCCGATGCGACATCCCATAATGGCTGGTGAGAGCCTAAATACATCAGCTTTTGCCGCTTGATCAGCGGGACTACCGGCAACAGTACCTGTACTAGTTCCACTTGCCGCTCTGGCGCCCATATGTGACTGTCCGAAATATATCAACAGCTGATATAATAAAACGCAAGTGATCTAACCGCTATTTCATCTTACATCCATCTAGTTTCAAAAGGCCTCGGTTTCTATTCACTTCTTTAGCGCTTCCGGTATGCAACCGTATTTGGCATGAAGCATGCAAGTATATACTTCGTAGGGGATAACCATACAGTTTTATCTAGCAAAGCAGAGAGCTCAGCCTTATCCACATCAAACGCACCCCAGGCACCATTATCGTCAAAGTCAACCACAAAATTACACGTCTCTTCATTTCCAAGTTGATATTTGCATTTTCTGAAATCAGAGCTGTTATCAAGGTTGCAAAGCTTTCCGAGTAGCGATTCGCAGTCTGGCAGTTTGGAATAATAGTCTGGCGGGGATGGCTTTTGGCTTGCCATTGCGGGGGAACGTGGGAAGAGAAAGTCAATTGTCGAGGGGGAAGATAGGGGTTGGCTCGAGCAGACGAACTTTGTTGTTAGCCCTGGGAATTATGAGCTGATGGTATGAGATGAAAGTGGAATTAAATATCTCTTATCATCAAGGCCTTATCAACCTGCCTTGCGGCCATTATTATTGATGCCCTTCAGCCTATGCTTAAAAAGCCGTGGTCAAGCCTCGCGTTGCCCGGCGCTTAATTTATACCAATGAGACGGCGCGACGAGAGGCCCTTGATCCTTTCTCAACGACAGGGGCGATGGAAGCCAATACGAGGCGTCCGATGTAGCCGTATTAGGACCAAACTATGATCGTCTATTGACTCAGGCATTTTGATTTGACTCATTTGGCTCAATTCCCAGCGGAAAACATATAAATATCGTGCCTTCACTGCACAAATGGCGAAGAAAAAACAAACAGTGGTTCAGGTGTTGCGTCTCTTTCATGCATGAATCCGATTGTGCCCCCAAGGGTCCAAAATAAGAAACAAAAGGCAAATCCCATCAACAGGCCCCTGCACGGACATGAAGCCCGATCCTGCAGTCGTTGTCCGAGTGCCCCAGGGCACGGGCATCCCCTCCACAACCCTCAAAATACTATGTCGACGTTTCCAAAAGGCCCGTCTAGCCGCCCTCCAGGCCGATCCATCTGCATTTTCGTCGACTTACGAGCGAGAGAGCCAATTTGACGACGCTGCATGGGCCCAACGATTGCAGAACCCGGCGGCCCAAACGTTTGTGGCGCTTGTTAAAAATAGAACCGAGTTCCCCCCAGAAGGGCAGAAGCGCCAGGAGGAAAGCAAGGGTGAGGATATCGATGAGGTTATTGAGCTGCTGTCAAACCATGAATGGATGGGGATGATTGTGCTCGTCGGTCCAAAAGCGCTTGCAGCCGATGGCTCTGAATCAGCTGCTCCGTGGAAAGCGTTTGCATCAATGGGGCCGTCTTCAATATTGGATATGGCTTCGTTGATTGGTGCAGAGGCTGCTTATTTTGCAGCATCAATGTTCGTTCTGCCTGGGGCACGGAGGCAAGGGTTGGGCCGCAAACTTATTACCCACGCTTCGGAGGTCGTGAAACGGGACTGTGTGGCATTTGGGGCATCCAAGTTGAATATTAACCTTTTGGTGGCCGCGGAGAACACTCCTGCTATCAGCCTGTATCATAACTGTGGATTTGAAGTTGTTCCTGGAGCAAGTCCAGCATCGCGTGGGGTTCAGGAAACGGACCTGGCAACTGTTGCGATGGTCAGAACCACTGAGATCATGACAGGCTCCTGATCAAACTTATTAAAAACAACAACTGCTAGTTATCACTTAACCATTCTTCTCTAGTTAAAAGTTCAGTCCGCGAATCTTCTTCGCATTTGCATTGGGATGGAATTGTGCGCTGAGCCCAGGCTTTGCATGTGGCATGGCTAGCTAGGGCTGCGCTAAACTGTATTAGGCTAAGATCCGTCCACAAATCTCGGCGAGACAAGCAATTAAGAGACCTTTTTCCCTTCTGAAATTGAGTACACATCAAGCGCAAAGTCCTCACCATAAGAAATACTACTCGGCGTATTCTTCTGGAAGACTGTATTCATCATGTCTAAAGTCACAGTCGGTAAGTACTTGGCCGTATTGGCCTAATTGCAACGTTCTAACAAAATTTCTTCTAGCTGGCGTGCGCCAAAATGTGCAGCAACTTCTGGATTATTCCAACAACCAGAAGAAGAGAAATTTCCTCGAGACCGTCGAACTCCAGATTGGCTTGAAGAACTATGACCCCCAGCGTGACAAGCGTTTCTCTGGCACTATCAAGTTGCCATCCGTCCCTCGCCCTGGAATGAGCGTCTGGTATGTCGTGGTCTTAAGAATCAAAGTGACTTGATTTTGATGGACTCGGGCTGATAATATGGTTGTGATGGATAGTGTTCTTGGTGACCAGCACGACATTGACCGTGCCAAGCACCACGGCGTCGATGCCATGTCCGTTGATGACTTGAAGAAGCTCAACAAGAACAAGAAGCAGATCAAGAAGTTGGCCCGCAAATACGATGCCTTCCTTGCCTCCGAAACCTTGATCAAGCAGATTCCTCGTCTCTTGGGTCCAGGTCTCTCCAAGGGTTTGTAGAGCGCGTATCGATGAAGTTAAGAGCCGAGTCTTTGCTGATATTGTTGATTATAGCCGGTAAATTCCCTACTCCTCTCTCGCACAACGAAGATCTCGCCAACAAGATCAACGATGTCAAGTCCACCATCAAGTTCCAGCTCAAGAAGGTGCTCTGCATGGGTGTTGCTGTTGGAAACGTTGGCATGACTGAGGATGAGTTGATTTCCAACATCATGTTGGCCATCAACTACTTGGTCTCTTTGTTGAAAAAGGGATGGCAAAACGTTGGCAGCTTGACCATCAAGGCTACCATGTCTCCTCCTAAGAGACTCTACTAAGCCTCTTCTGCGTCTTGGATTGTAGGGCGGCAATAACACCGTTGAGGATGTGTATTTACGACCAATTGCAATTAACGAATGAAAATGAACATTGCAACTATTTTGTCCATCGCTGTACACTGTACAATTTTAGCACATTTCAACTGGCCAAACCAATTGTTTTTGTTATTATGTAAATGGGTAGCCTTGGTATATAATACATATATTCTATCAAAGTTCCGTAAGGCGCCTCGCTTTGCGTTGTACGCGACTATTCCATTCCTTCCATTAGATCAGTTTTATCTAGAATCATGCCCCTCATACCCAAAATTTCCCTCAAACTTTCCCACTCTTCACCTTCTTCCTCGCCTTGCATCCACGGGTCCTTGAATCCCCAAGCCACAGCTATCTTATCCATCGCCGCGCGCTCTTCTTCCCTCAGCCAACGTTCCCGGAGTGGCATCCCCGGGAGCCAGACAACACGGCGCATCTGATCGTTTGCAGTGGCGATAGCCACCAACCCAACCGATGATGTAAACGTGATGTAGGCTAAAATTGCAGAAAATGCAATCCACGTCGAGGTAGTTGGATTCATGGTATTCTGAAAGGTCGAAGCATAGGTGGCAGCTATGTAAGCTGCTGGAGGGGCGCCGACTAATCCCATTAGAGGTAGAGAGGCCTTGCGGAGGACCTTCGCTCGGCGGAAGGCCGGGGTGCAAAATGTCTTGTCGACGATGGCGAGGGCAAGGGGAAGATTTTGTTGCTCGATGGCTATGTCAAGGGCCATGTCGGCAAGCTCTTGGGGGATTGCATTCTTCGGGCTTTTGGGATTAACGGGATGATATGTAATGGTCGAGCCGCTGGCTTGTGGTGCGGGTTTGGATGCGTAGAGGGAAAAGACCTCGGGGAAATGATCGGCCTTTTTGAGCTGAGATTGGATCACGGTGTATCCGTGGAGTATATTGGGTGATATAAAAACTTTCGGATCGCGCACTAATTCATCAAGCATCGACGAGATTGCAATTGTCGTTCTTTGGCGGAAGTTTTTGTTCAGCGTCCTTTTGGGTTTCGCGGGTGATTTGTTGGCGTTGCCGTTTTCGTCTTCGAGGTCAAGGAGCGACGATGTCGCATTATTATCAGCGACTTCAGTAGAGCCCTCATTATCCAGCAGCGCAATCTTGACAATATTCTTGCACCGCTCCAGCAGCTCCACGACTGTTTCTTCAGAAGGCAATGCCGTCCCAGTGATTATCGCATGTGAATCCCGTAGCACGTCTCGAAGCATAAGGTCAGGGTCATCTTTCGACTGAGCAACTGCGGTGCTTGACGCATAACGATATATCGAACTGTTGCAAAGGCTGAAATTGGCTAGGTAGGCTTTTGGTTTGTGAGCAGCTTTGGGAATTTTGCTCAGCTTTCTTGCGAAGAGTGGTGCTTGGAGCTGCAGGGCCAATTGCCTCGACGCGCTGGAAAACTGACAGAATTGGCAAACGGAGCCATGAGCCTTCTTTGGGGCCCTCAGTGCAATTCGCTTCATAGCTCTATCTCGCTGTATAAGGCTTCCAACTCTCGCTTCGGTCCCGACGATGTTTTGAAACCGCTTTGAAGCAATTCGACGTTCAGGCGTGGCTTATCTAATCTGCTTATCCGCACCGCCACAACTGACGAGAACTCGCGGTTGAGCAGTCGATCATCTCGACATCATGCTCCTTTCCTGGTGCCTAACTTGTTGATTGCTAGGTTCCTGCATATTTTGCACGGAAAGAATCTGATATCTATCGACGCAACTCTACACATTCATTTGAACGGGAAAATCGTTTCAACACCTTTCCGTTGATGCATCAAACGAACTAAGGCGCGCTTCAATATCGGACCTCTCTGTTAGGTACCATGCCTCCTCCGCCAGCTCCTCCACCTCCACCCCCGCCGCCTTTGCCAGGCTTTGGGGGTGGTGCTCCTCCACCGCCACCACCCCCTCCAGGAGGACCACCTGGAGCTGGGAATCTTCCCAAACAACCGCCTAAATCGGTGGCTAAAGACCGGGTAAGTGATATAACTGTACTTGGTGGTTGAATCGCACGCTAATCATGGTTGCAGTCTGCATTGTTAACAGATATCACGAAAGGCAGAAACCTCAAGAAGACAGTGACGAACGATAGATCCGCCCCGGCGATCTCCAAAAGCTCGGGAGGTTCAAGCGGGCCTCCTGTGGGGGGCGCGCCACCCATCCCTGGAATGCTGAAACCTCCTACTGGATTGGCGCCTCCAGTTCCTGCGGGCGGTGGTAATCGAGTACGGAGTAATAGTGATAGTGGCGGAGGCGGTTATGGAGGTGATGGTGCTTCGGCTGTTCCAGCGGCACCGCAGCTCGGGGGATTGTTTGCCGGCGGAATTCCTAAACTAAGGAAACGGGGTGGGATTGATACCGGCGCCGCTCCGGATGCCGCATACTTAACGGACACGGAATCTCCGGGGTCGAAGTTACGAGCATCAACTGGAAGCGCCCCAAAGCCACCCACTGCTCCTAAGTTACCGATTGTGCGGCCGCCACCTCCTCCATCCGCAGACTCACCAGCACAACCTGTCGTGAATCCCTTAGTTGCAAATCTTAGAAAGCCACCGCCTAAGCCCTCTTCTCGACCGTCTTCAACGTTTTCAACGAAATCTGCTCCTGACGTTCCACCGCCACGAGCGCCCACCACCTTTGCCAGGTGTTTCGCGTGCCCCTCCTCCACCGCCAGCTTCTACTCGAAAAGTTTCCGCTCCTCCTCCACCTCCAGTCCCCCCTCCCTCGTCGACTCCCGCTCCACCATCTGCTCCCCCGCCACCTCCTACTACTTCAGCCCCTAAACTTCCCCCACCTCCCGGTCCACCAACCGCAAATGGCGGTCAGGTTGCTTCTGCTGCTTCCATAGCCATGCAGGCTGCCCGAAATGCCTTTGGCCACTCACAAACTTCGCATTCTTCCGCATCGACAGCACCTTCTGCTCCTCCGCCACCTCCACCCCCAGCGTCCCCACCCTCTGCATCCTCAGCACGCACATCGTCACTTGTCTCTACACCACTCTCATCCCGTCCTTCCTCTTTTGCAGATCACCCAGATCACAATACGCGCCCCCCACACCAACCACCTGTCCGCTCCATGCTTGATCCGGCCGCGTATACGCTTTCGAACGGAGCTGGATCGCAACGGCTAAGTTCTGGATCAACTATTTCAAGCAAAGGCGGGCACTCTGGAATTGTGATCCAAGACTCAAGGTTTAAGTTTCAAAATGAATCGCACTTGCCGAAACCTAGGGATTTTAGAGGCGGACAAAAGCTGTATAGAGCAGGTCGAGGGAGTAGTGTGCCGTTGGATTTAAGTGCTTTGAAGTAAGCAAGGCCTATTCTTCGGCAAGGTTTTAAGCACGGAGTATGGTTTTCATGAGATAGGGCAGGCTCGAATCCTCTATCATGGCATTTGCGAGCAGTGGGACTAAGGCTGCTGTTCTTATGGTCAACAACAAACGGTTGCTATATACACTGGCACTGAGGAAATTGTTCCAGGATTTACCGGTGGCTTTTGCTGGGTCCGTATTTTAGAGCGTTCGGCATGGGTGAGGTGGGCTTTACTGTTTCTTGTTTTCATTACATTTGGGGACTTGGTCAGGGTAGGGCTGGATAGTAGGAATATTTGATCTGCAGGCTCTACTACAAACTAGCTTCTTTCAATTGACTTGCCAGAATGCATCCATTCCGTTTCCTCACAACAGTGCTGCATATGATGGTTGGCCGAAAAGCACTTGATGTTGGTAGGATGACTAAGCACCAGGGATAGCAGATGCGGATGCTCTCTTGAACAACTTCACCAGGCACTAGTTGTTTTATTGCTGTTGAAAAAGATATAAATTACCCGCACAAAGGCACTTCACCACAGTGACTATGACAGCATTCTTGCTCTGAAGATTTCGCAAACTCTTCTGCGGTTGTTCAGCGGCACGTAGGGAGCAGCTTGTCTGAAAATACCCAAGGTCAATTCATTGGATGCGAGTGAAAGTGCTCCCGCTGTCCAGGCAGCATTCGTTATAACCATGTCTCTCCAGGCCTATATAAACAGTTGGTAACCCTATAGCTCTTTCATTACCCAGATACTTTCAGCATCCCCCTTGTCCTTCTCGAAAAGCAATGCTGACAGATTGGACTTGATTACACAGAGAAAGTCCTTATTCTCACAGTCGACGGCCGTACTTTAACGGGCACCCTCCTTTCCACGGACCAGCTCACAAATCTCGTCTTGTCAGAAACAGTCGAGCGGATAATTCGACCGCCGGACGATCCTGAACCGAGCTCAGAAGTTGACCATGGGTTATACCTAATTCGCGGCGATAATGTAGTTATCTGTGGGGAGATTGACGAGGAAGTTGACGGGAAAATCGATTGGTCAAAGGTGAAGGGCGAGGTTATCAAGGGAACAAAGAACTTTTGAAAGCAATCAAAGGGCGCTATTATCTTTTTTCGATCACAGGTTCGCTGAGGCAGCATGGTTCCTTCAATGTGGTCCCCCGGGGTTTAGGAGCCATATTTTCGCACACCAGGTGCGGGTTTTGGGGTTTGCGTTTCTGCAGTGCAAGGCTAGGAAATCTGCGTAGCGTCGCCAAACGCTGCTTGATATGGGTCTCCGCAGTTCCATTCAAGGAGGGCGGATCTATTCTGCTATGTGATCGGGGCTTCTTGAACGATTTCAGAGAGCTATTTTGGAGATGGAGCAGCTATGGCAAGAGCCCAAGCGCCGCGAACGCCTAGCTCTAGCCCAATGGAAGCGCAAATGTTTTTGGATCCAGCATATCGACCCGAATGCTGCCTGCCTAATATCCTTGAAAGCTCGTCGAATCGGACCAAACATTTTCGAGGCATCAGGGCCGGGCTGCCATACTTTTCCCGTCACAAATTAAAAGAAGACCCATACGGACCCGAAAGCAATGGAAATAACATAATAGCAGCAAACACATTCCGTTTCACAGTCTCGTAGTGGCGTCGCGTGCCTTGTCTCCTTTCCTGCTTTTCACAAGACACATGCAGATTCAATCGTGCAAGGTTGACGCGTATTCTCGGCTTAGCCTTGATACATGAATTTCATGGGTGTAACTATCCCTGTCTGATTGACGGGAGTTCTCGGTGTGCCCAACAGCTGAAAGGCTCAGGCCGCTTGGGTGTCAGAGAAGCTGCATGGATCCCGTTCATGGCGATGGGGCCGCTCAGGCTCAGTCGCAAATTCACGCAATAGTCTTGGAAAGGAAACAAACGCATTATATTCGTCACCTTTCCCCGAGCCACAGGCATTGATTCCAGTTGCGACGAAACCTTGGACGCAGTGCTTTTCTGCCTTACATATGAGCCTGTAAAGGGGCGGAGAGGCGTGTAATTCTCATACACCAAAACCTGGGATTCGATACCGGCCGACTAACGGAAATATTCGGCTAATCCAGAGTCGGGGATGCTTATCTTGCAGGCTGGCCAATGGGGGTGCGGCGTGGTGCAGTCTGGCCCCACTGATCGAGTAAGACTGTAACGGTGACGTACGGTATTACAACCAACCAGACTGTCGGGATCCACTTCCCCCCCCCCCCGATCGGGCTAGTGCGTGGGTGCCTTCCCCTTACCAGGTCGGGGCTCCTATTAATAGGGAACCCTTCCATCTCAACATCACCCACTCTCTCTCTTCTGATTCCAGGTCCCCTTTCGCCCATTGTTTCGGTGGTTTGGCCGTCAATTCTGCAACTGCATACCTTTGGCGTTCTGTTTCATCAGTCTCGTCTCGCTGGGCGATCGACGACCGTTGCATGCTTTTCCTTCAAATTTCAACGGGTCATTCTGACCTCATCCAGCCCCTCCCGCACCGAGATATAACGCCGAAGGGAAACATCCGATCAACTTCACCCATGTTGAGAGGAAACAGCGAATACAACTTCAGAGTCCCCGCAACACAATTCGGACTAATATCCGTAATGCCCGCCTTCGATCCGCTTGCCAGCGACCTGTCGAATCTCGGCTGCTCCCCCGTTTGAACGCTGCGGAATGTGGCTCTACAGAGGGGCACAATCTGCAGTGTTCTATTACGCTTCCTGCACACCTTGCGGCGAATACCTGTACAAACGAAAGCGAAGGAGAGAGGCCGCCCGAACCGTTCGAGAACCAAGTAGAGATGGACTAGTCTCCGATCAACCCGTCTTTTTCCATCAGCCGTTCCCTTTTACTACAAACGCGTACTGGAGCGAGGAGATTGCTCTTGGCCCCGGCCCACCGTCGCGAAAAGGGCACCGGAATGGCAGTCGCACCAGCAGTCAGAGGAATTTAGCATCTCCGGAGGAACCACACAATCATGAGGCGTTGACGGAAGCTCTACATGGAATAAAGAAGGATAAGGATAAAGATGCGTCGAAGAATCCCATTGGAGATGCTTGGAATAGAATCCGTTATCAGCGTGAAGATGAAGTTCTATGGGGAGTGGAAGTGAAAGGGTCTTCCGTGGGACTCTCTGGCAGGGGCCGATCAGGCACACATTCGTCTAAGTATTACATTGCCCGAAATCCTGAAGTCAACGATCTCCACCCACCAGTTGTCTGTGGTCCTCGAAGCAGAGAAGAAACCAAATGGATGTTACAACCTCCTCCGAGCGCGAAGGTTATGGCGGGAAAGGTGCGATCCGTGGCATCTGTACGGCAGAGCCGCAATGCCAGCCCGCGAAAAAGGCCGTCGGCAATTCCTGAAGAACGCGAATCGTCCTTGGACATTGCAACCTCGCATACGGGACTTTTACCATCATCGAATCAATCACCTCCACGGACTTCGCTTTCGCCCATTCACGAGCCCCAGTCTATCCCCTAATTCCTCCTCCCCACTTCCGTCACTTGATGTCAACAATGCTTTTCCACGTTCGTCAGCAACCCCATTTCAAACTCGCCGTCCCGCCGCTCTCAACGATCGCCTCGAGTTCTCGCCTATCTGTCAACACTCCAACATCTGAAAACACACATTTAAACCCATCTCCTACGTTGAATTCCCGCTCCAATTCTCCCATTCTCCAATCTATCACCCGCGAGCCCATAAAGCCACCAGCACAGACATTACTTCACAGAAGTGTCACTGCCCACCTGGAAGATCGCCCCTCAACGAACGAAACAGCGGATAGCGGAAAAGCTTTCCACCCTCGCACCCCATCAACTCCAGCTTGGGCGGCTCTCACACATACAACTTCCCCCGACTACGATATCAATCCGTACTTTAAATTGCCACTACAGGTGGACATTGATGATCTCACTGAGGATGACATGAGCGACCTGGACGACTTACGGCATTTCCGACCGTATCGGTGGAGCATGGATATATAAAAATTTCACTTTACTACTTGGAGGGGCGGAAAAAGCATAGAAAGTCGTTTTTATTCTGAAAGTCAATACCCTTTTATCTTTGCCCTGTCTGCTCGTGTTTCGCTTGCAATAACAAGCCCTGCGGCTTTCTCTCTGTTTCGCCTATCCTAGCACATGCAAATCTAATCGTTTTTGAGCGTTTCTTCGAAGCGAGACTTCGGCAGCCCAAGCGGTTCTTCCGGAAAGAATAAGCAAAACTGCACTGATTATCGAAGTTAGATAATACAATTGGTAGAATTCTCCGTACTTTTTAGCCAACATGCTAGACCTTCACTCCGGACAACTCTTTTCGGTAATTAATATTTGGTTGACCAGAAGGATGCCAGAAACAGCCCTAATTCACTGTTACCTTCTCGATATGCAGAAGCAGAACCTTTTACCCAGGACTTTCCCGTCAGACAATTCCATAAATGTCCAAGCTTTAAGCTGCCAATAAAATACAAATATGGAATAGTGTTGTGCAGCGTTCGAATTAAAATGCCGCAATCCTCAACAAAGGATGGACGGCGTCCGTAACCTTTCCTGTCCCCACAGCGAATCCGAAGCGAGAACTTTTGGACACATCTCAAAGCCTCGACTAGGCGGGATGGCGGAAAAAGTGACATGGGGGAATTGCTTGATTTGCAGTGATTTTTGGATTATAAAGGGAATAAATTGCATGCTTGCTGTCCAGTCACCATGAAGGGAGTATGGTACATGTTTCAACGGCAAAGAGCAAAGATCATGTTAAGTTGCAGATGCATGGTTCCGTTTTCCAAACTCCATATCCAACTCATAACCTTTGAGTATTAGCAACTGTTTTTTCTTCTTTTATCCGAAAATTGTTTATGTCCAAGCTAGCAGATGCACTGAAAAGGCCGAACCGCCCACAAGGGAGGGATCGTGTATTTTGTTCAGCAGTTCAATTCAAATATAGTTCAAGTTAAGGATTGGATTCAGGACATGAAGCTGGTGTTAGAGATACATCATCTTTCCTCTCAGCTATGGCTTGCTCATGCATTTCATCATGTCGCATCATGATCCGACACCTTCTAAAATGAGAGTGCAAACAGTCCTTGGGGGGCGGCTAAAGTATCATATGCTTGCAATAAGCACAGTGCAAGTGACTGAATTAGTAGACTTTTTTCTTTTCATCCATGCTGAGCTGTCCGGGACCCATGTTCACGAGCAGAAGAAGACCACCACTGGAAAGATGATATTAGTAATCGCTCACGTACGGGCTAAACAAGAGTGCGGCCGTTCTCAGAATGCAAACAAAAAGAATACTCACACAATGGAGAGAGTCTGGAAAAAGTCATATTTGGCAAAATCCTTATGAGGGTGCTTGGAATGGAGCTATGCTGGAGTTAGCTATCTGTTGTTTCATACTGCTTTCCAGACGTACGTACCGTCCAAAAGTTGTTGACCAGGATATTGAAGATGCTGAGAACCACAACCAAAATAGTGGCACTCCACTTGGCCTTGAATCCAACAACGACCATGACGCAGGCAACGAACCCAAGAAGACTGACCAAAATGCGCCAGAAACCCCAGGTTCCGGAGAAAATGAACCCAATAAACAGGAAGATGAGCAAAACGCGCCCAGCAAACTGGACATACATCTTGCGATCTTTCTCTTCAAGCTGAGGAAGGCCAGCGGGGACAAACTTCTTGCGAACCCACGAGTCTGAAAGGACCATGAGAAGCCCACCGATCACACTGAGATTGCGAACAAAAAAGGTCAAATCAAGAACTAGACCGTATCCAAGAGCCTGAGAGACAACAACTCCAAGCAGACCGGCGACGGCGTATTCACTATGTTTACGACCAATGACAAAAACGGAACAGATCAACATGGCAATGACGTTCGTGAGAAGGAAGATGTGAGAAACTCCTCTCGGGACTGCATGATGAAATCAATCAGTACTCGACTTGGACTTCGACCCCCGCCCTGGGAGGATTTCCCTGCAGGGCAACGATAAGAGACTCACAGTGTCTGAATTCGTGAAGATATGCGAGCTGGTCGGACCATTGGGTCAATATCCGTAGGGAATCTTCAAGGAAAGTAACAACGATCAAAAAACGACCAATTGCGGGAAGATATCTATATCAACGCCAAATTGCGGGTTAGCGGACATGCTATGAAACAGAAAAAGCGATCCCGGTGCTCGCCGAAACTTTTGCAACCGGGGGTTAAGTATTGGAAGAAAGAGGGAATCCCAGATGACATACGGCTTCACAGGGTCCGAAATAGTCTCCAACCAGTCTTCAATCTTGCTGGTGTGCTCGCGAATCGCATCCAGGGGACTCGGGTCGTTGGTAACATCAGCCCTCCCAGGACTAACAAACGGGTTGCTGTGGCCCAGATTGTAACCGGCGGTACCGCGGATCTGCGCCATGGTGCTTCGCACAAGCTCAATCAAGCTGGTCACCAAGAATTGAAAGGTCGAAAAAGGGGAATTCGTCAGAAACCTCCTCGCTCGTGGCGAGTTGCGGGGAAGGAAACCAAGATCAGACCGATGAAGTGTTCCTCCTCACAAGGACCACAGGGCGAATTGCACTGGGTACGCGGTCTAAGAATAGGGAGGAGCTGAAGAGGAACGAGCTGAAAGAGAGAGGATTGAAGCTGTGCGGAGAGAGAATAAGTTGGCTTAAGAATGGGAGAAGCACAGTGCAGCAAGGCAAAGTGAGGTCCGCAAGTACAGGCCACGATGCGATAACGCTTGTTCTGATGCCCCCAATGGAGCTTAGGTGCCAAGCAGCACTAGGGCCGATCAGCCAGGGATCCACAGCGGATTAACATCGGACCGAAGGAATGTCACTCCAGCACAACATTGGTGATTCTCTGTCTTTGTCAAAGGGCTAGCTGTGTGCAAACGATGCATCATTCAGTGGTCAATTACGATACATTAATCAGTAGACAGATCCTGGAGCTGGCATTGACACGGTCACTTCGGCACAAACTAGCCATCGTCCCTCTGGCGCAAGGTGATATCTGGCCACTTCACAACCTCGGAAGCCGCACTACACACAAAGCCCGCAGCCGATCCAAACCCCCCTCCCCTCCCCTGGCTTCCCACGGGGACCTTGCAGGCACAGGGGAAAGATGGGTAGAATCGGCATAGAAACCTAAAGTCCGAGCTGGGCACTATTTTTATACGATGAACGCCCGAAGACTGAGATGTAACTATTGAATGACAACAATGGATTAGAACTAGAGAAGCCGCTGACAGGATCTGTCGCTGAAAGCAATCATGGCTACCATCAATGCTCTCCTATCAATGTACTAGGATACGTTAAGGTCGAGAAAAAATCTTATGAAGAAGCTACCACCGGATTAAAATACATGCAGTAATAGAAGCGACATGCAAGTACATACATTTACAAGCAGAAGGAAAAAAAAGCAAGTATTGATTGAAAGCTGGAGAGGATTGATGCCAGCCGTCAACGAACTCCGAGAAAATCGCGAGCTCAGACTTGTCGTGTAGTTTGGATTCATAAAACATGGGTAAGTAAAACTTGACTAAAATAAAGGGCCGCCAGCATGAATCAGAAGTATTAGATAGAAAAAACATAAAAGCAACAGGCTGAATTTGGCTGCATTCGAAACTCATAAAAGGGCAGGGTGGTAAACTTCTCTTTTTCTTTTTTTGTTTGGCTGGAGCAGCGTAAAAGATGAAGGATGATATGTGTAGGGTATATGATATCTGAGGCAAAACAGGAAAAGCAGATTCAAATCAATTGGCACAAGCACCTTTGTTTCTCAACATTTTAACGGATTTCTTGACTGAGATCAAATTCCTTTTGAAGCTCCACATGCATGTAAAAAGTGTATTGTTTCAGTAGATGCGCCCATGGTGGAATTAGGCATTTTTGGTGAGTGGTATGCATCGGAATAGGAAAAAGGGAGGAAAGAAAATAAATGGCCCTTGGAGATGCCATCTGCTCAGATGCCTAATGCTTATAATGAACTTGCTCAAGAAAGAACATTGGAACTTGCAAATGCATCACCAGAGCTCAAAGACACAAAGTGAGTTGTGCAAGTCAATCTTGATTGTTATTCAGGGGGCCCATTCAGAATCAAGGGGATGACCTTGCGTTGTCCCAGTGTACTCTTCAATAACGGGTTTGTTTGCGAGGGGCTGGTTTAGCCGGGTTTAACTGGTTCGGCTGCGGGGTTTGACGATCTGGGGTTTCTGAACTGCTGGTATCACTCATTGCTACGCCGGGGATGTTGGCTCGGCGTCTCTCTTTCTTTTTGTTTGAAACAGTGGTCCATTCACTTTCACTCAGTGCCTGGCGCATCTGTTCTTCTTCTGGGGGTAAACCGTCCGTCCAGCTTTCAGGTGTCACAGCACTGATATTTTCCTTCTGCTCGTTGGTGGGCTTGAACGTATCAAGAAGTGGCCTAGGAGCAGTCTTAGGCTTGTCCGATCCATTGGTGGTAACGCCGGCTTTCCACGCGTTCGAAACTGGAGGTTTGGATTTGGCCGCTTCCTGGCGTTCGTGATCACGAGCGCTATGAAGCTGCTTCTCAAGAAGGGCGCGTCTTTGAGCTTCTGCCTCTTGAATCATGCGCTTGTTATTTTCCTTCTTGATACGTTGTTGTCTCTGCTTTTTCGTCTCTACAGGCTTGGAGTCATTTGACTTCTTGTTTTTCTTGCTCTTCTGCTCATTCTCAACAGAGCCAGTGACTCGAAGGACGGATGCTCCAGGAACGGGTGTCTCCAACATATCAGAAACATCGCCTGCTGGCTTGGCCACCGAGGATCCAATGGAAGACAGGTCGTCGTCCGCGTCAGCCCCAGTCATTGAAGACGCACTAGTCGAGGCTTGAGCATCACTACGTCCCGTTGTCGGACGAGATACCGGCTTCGGTGCCGGCGCTGGTTTCTTCGCCGCACTAGGCGCGATAGCATTTCCTTCTCTCACTTTGGAGAATTGTTTGGCAAACTCAAGGTTGCTCATACCCTCGCCTTTTTCGTGTGAAGTTGTGGGAGGGGCGGCCGCCAGCTGAACTTGGGGAGTCGGAGTAGGGCTGCCACTGGCACTGGTGGCTTGAGGTGCCTTTTTCGGCTTGCGCTGTTTGGACTTCTTAGTTGGCAAGGACTGTTCTACTCTCTCCAAGATCGGTTTACTGGAGGCTGTTTTTATTTTGGATGATCCTTTCCGATAGTAAAACGCCAGCCCACCAGTGATGAAGAGCAAAATTGCCCACCGCAGATATGGATTCATTGTCAAGGAATACCTATTGCATCGAGCCGTGTTAGCCATGCATTATGATTTCACAAGAGAGCGCGGGAGCGTACTATTGAAACAGCAGCAATACTGTCAACGGCAAGATGAGGGAGATTTCACGTGGCGAATAGCGACGAGATACCGACTGTCTTAGTTCGTTCGTCGAAAATGCTACAAACGTTCGTCTAGTCGAGGTACTATTTGGTGGAGCGGGCGAAAAGCGAGCAGAGCGATGAACGAGGATCGGAGGTGTCGGCTTGAGCGTCTTCGAGGGAGTCGGATGAGAAAAGGGGAAGGAACACACAGCAACGGCGAAACTGGAAGTGCTCCTTTTGCGGCTTCGATGCAGCAGGGAGCGTTATATCAAGCTTGACCGTGTCTTGAGAGAGAACAATTAACTACTGGGGTGACGCCTGTGAGTCCGAAAACTTACGTTTTATGCACCATGCACTGAGAGTCGACTGGAGACTGAGGTCATCGCGGTAAAATAGACATCTCTCGGAGAGCAAACGAGGGTACGGCGAGGAGAAAGAGAGCAGAGAGGAGGAACGTTAGCAATGGAAGTGAGGGAGCTGGGAGGCTTGGGAGTGAATGCGCGTCTTGAGCCAGGGATTTGGAGGATTGTCCCAGAGTTGTTGTCTGTAGAAGGGGGTTGATGGATCGCGGTTGGTTTGAGGCCAGCTATCCAAAAGTGCGTCTGTATCAGTACCAGAAACAATGGAAGCGCTAAACGCTTTATGGTTAAGCGTGATGGGATTCATTACAGTAGTGAAAGGTTCCCATGGCTCTTGAGCGCTAGCCAACTGGGTCCCCACATACAGAGAAACAGTTTCAGTATGGCATGTGCAGAAACAGGTAGCAAGATGGGCGACTTTTTATCTACAGAAGGGATGATGCGTTGCTAACAAGCACCTCTATTGCAAAGATGCTTTTCCCCTCTTCCAGCAAGATTCCAAGGCAGGAGTGAGTTGGCTACCCACAAGAACTATGGGATAATAGCGTGGGAACCGGAGTGGATGAGACATAAGCGACATAACTAACCTAAACCTTGTCTCTCAAGTGTAGATTTGTATAGTCGGTGTCAAAAAGGAGACCCGGACAGGAATTTGATAGGAGCTTTATTTTAAGGCATTTCCGGAACACGATGGAAGAAGTTTATCAGCTTCCTGAATTGTGATTACATCGTCCCCTGGCATAAAGTGCAGTGCGGTGAACAGGTTGATTTGCTGGTTGGAAGAGCGAAAAAAGCAATCTTATCTGAAGAATCAGCCTGCATACGTATTGCTGCTGTTGCGATTTGCTCAATTTGCGCTTTGTTGCATTGTGCATGGTGAACGACCAGGTGAATAGTGTCCAATGATAACAATCGACTCCCTCCAGATTTTCCACGATTCAATTGACATCGAATCATTTCTCCCGCAAAACCTCTGATACATGGGTATCACTGCATCCAGCGGTAACATACGTATCCCAAGTCCATCGAGAGAAAATGTGGGGGTGTTCCCGATGCTACGTTTCTGGTGAGGGACGGCAAGGATCCTGCAGGCATTCTGGTGAAGGCTGTGTTCTTCCTCACAAAGCCACGAGTGCCTGTCCACCAAGCAAGACACAATGCTAGAAAGCAGCTCTTCACTGCATTCACAGAAAGACATAGAATGACCAGGCTAGTGGGGTAGATTTCATGCTACGAGGTTGCACAAAAATATCCAAATGACACAATCGGCGTACATGTTTTCTCATGCCCTCGGTGTAGAACGGGAAGGGGGTTTCATCGACATACCTACCCAGAAAAGGCGGGATACATTGGCTGACCAGAAGCGGACGGCGTGTGGCAGGGGCGCAAGGATTCTCCTTATTCGGCTGTAACAGAGGTGAATCCCAGTGTGATTGCTCAACCTTCTCTCACTGGACAGTTGACGTTGGACCCGAGAGAATCCCGGAAGTTTGAGACATTGAAGCCCGAACCATCGTTTGGAAGATCAAGTCCGTAATGGATAACGCTTCGACAAGTGAAAACTCCGCTTCAGCAGAATATCAAGCGGCAGCCAGCAGACACCGAATTACTCCATCAACTTCAACCACGGACAGCGTGGAGATGCTTGGCGCGCCGGGTTCCGCGCGCGAGGTGATCATTGAGCCCGGAAAAGTCACATCCTCACCGACACTTGCCCCCACCTTCCCCGCGACTCCGCCTCTTTCCTCTCCGCTCCGCAGCCTGCCCCCTCCACCCAACAACATCCCACGTATTACCGACTTGGGTGCACAGCTTCTCATTGAGTCTCTCTTCAAAAGACAGTGTCTTGTTTCTTACATAGCCCGGAGACACATTCGCATCTGGAACGGAGCATATCTGGTTCCACCCGCCGTTCTTTAACCGGATAGACAGGACGGGCTTAGATCAGACAATTAAAAATGGCCCCCAAGAGCAGAGTCATTATTGATACGGATCCTGTGAGGCGATGCCCAATTAGTCCTGGTTCTCTGGCTTTTTATAATGACAACTTCGCTGTACTCTTGAGTACGGAGTATTTTCTCTTCGTTTGAGCCAATTCGTCGAGTAATAAAGGCCAAAGATGGTTCTAATAGCAACTCCCAGGGAATTGATGATATCCTCGCTCTTCTTTTCGCCTTTTCCGCTCAGGCCCAGGAAATTGAAGTCCTGCTGATTTCTCTTACCTTTGGGAACATCGAGGTCACAAGGTTCGCTCACTGCTTAGATATCTCCTATCGGCGTACCATCCCCAGGAACGTACAAAAGACTCACGCTTTGCAGCTGTCTCCAAAATGCAGTATCTATGTTCCACATCATTGAGCAGGAGCTCGCGTGGCGACGCAGTCGTGGATTGCCTGGTGGTTTTGAAGCTTTAAAAGCCTCCAAACCGATCATGGCTGTAGGGGCCGACGGCCCCTTGAGTGGAAGCAGAACATCGGCAGATTACTTTCGTGAGCTCTATCTGAGGTTGATCGGTAGAGAATCGTTCCTAACACATTGTTTTCGTAGACGGCAGGGACGGCCTCGGTGGCGTCCATACAACGGTAGGTTCTGTCACTCCGGCCCGGGAGGGAGCGTTGCCTATAAGGCTAGTATCTAACGTTATGGAACCAGCACCCACATCTGACACCAAGTCAAGAGTGGGAGTCTCTATTTTCGCCTAGCCCAGGCTCTGTGGAAGAGCTGGCTGTTGCCGCACAGCATCATTCGTCATTTATCGCCTCCAAGAGGCCAGCGTATGAAGAAATGCTCAGGGTGCTCAAACAGAATGACCCTGGCACGATCACGATTGTAGCTCTCGGGCCACTTACAAACCTTGCTTTGGCAGCGGCAGAAGATCCAGAAACATTTTTGAGAGCCAAGGAGGTCGTTGTGATGGGCGGTGCTGTGGATTGTCCCGGGAATGTAAGAGTTACAGGAAAACCGGTGTAGCAGAGTGCACAAGTTGAACTTATTTGGCTAGGCAACTCCCACAGCGGAGTTCAATACGTACGCTGATCCCGTGGCGGCGGCAAGGGTCTTTGCGTTGACGTCCCAGATGCCACTTTCGACAATGCCTCCAGCAGAGCTTTCGCCAAACCTGCCAACATACCCGTCAACATTGAGTAAACAGCTCAAGGTCAAGCTCGTGTCCCTGGACGTAACCCGGTCTCACAATTTGACCCGAGGGCAGTTCCACGAGAGAGTCGCGGCAATAGCGGCGGCAAAGTCGCCTCTTGCAGAGTGGACATCCGCGATCTTGGAGCATTGTTTCACTAGGCTGGATGTTATGCACCCCGGCCACGAGGGTGACATGGCATCTCTCAGCCTTCACGACCCGGTGTGCATCTGGTACGCGCTGACTCCAGATTCGTGGCAGTGGATGCTGTCCCTCGACTCACCGCTGGACCTGCGTGTTGAGACGACGGGCCAGTGGACCCGTGGGATGTGCGTGATAGACAGGCGGAATCGGAAACGTCGGGACCATGATGATCCCGATGTTGAGGACAATGGGCTGTGGCTCGGCAACCGATCCGGGAACAGGATCGACTGGGTAGTTGGGACACCGGGAGCCGATATGTTTGCGAGCCATGTCATGGATCGGTTGTTTGTGAAGCAGCAGAATTGAGTCGTTAAAGTAGTTCACAGGGATTTGCAGCTAGGTTACTCTCATGCGTTGGGTGTGACACTGGAGTCCATGGGATAGGAAAAAGGTAATTTTAAAAAGAGCGTACTCTGTAGTTAGTGGTCACAAAATAGGCAATCATCCCTTTCCCGTCCAGATGCCAATGCCACACGTGACCGCCGGGCCGAGATCCCGACGAGCCGCACTGTATTTTTCGTCTGATCTTCATCTTCAATTAATATTCGAGATATAGAGAAGAAGCCGGGGGCCGTCAACCAGACGCACTTCTCCTCTTCGTCGTCTTGCTATTCTTCCGGGGATGGACCGCAGACAACGAGAATCGCCCTTTCGCCGTCTGCGTTTCAAAGAGCAGGCAGCTTCGGCCAATCACACAGCTCAACGGCTCCATGTGAGCTAGCCTGTGCATCCAACAGAACAACTGCCAGCCTATCAGTCGCAGCACGAGGCACGCGACACACTGCCCGAGCTCTCGAGACTCGCGCGCAGGCTCCGGGAACTGCGCTGCTGCTGCTGCCGTCAGGGCGAGCTGGCTGCGATGCACGCTCGCCCGGCTGGTTCTCCTGGATCTCCCGGACTTGCACCCCCCCAGCGCCCGTCGTTGCCCCGGGACATAAAGCCTGGCTGGGTTCCCCCTTCGTGTCCTTGTGATGGGATCAACCGCCAGTATTGGATCGATGTGCTCTGGTCAAGGACTGTTGCTCATGTTACGGCACCATGCATTCGCCCACTATGCCACAGTGTGACCCTTTAAGAGAGTCTCCGTTCCTCCTCTGAGGTTCTCCGGATCTCCCTTTTTTCTTCTTGCTTCCTAGACCATTCTTTTTTTTCCTCATCCCGTTTCCATCGGCCTTGAGGGATTGTCGTCGTGTGCCCTTCTTCAAACCTGCCTTCCCTGCCGGCTTGGCTCACGCGTGATCGTCTCAGGATGCCAAAGCCCCAGCTGCCACTGACGCCGGCTGCATCCACGGAGATTGCAGCGCTGGATAAATGTATCAATTCTCCTGGTGAGATGTACTTCACCCTCCCGCCATCCGCCATGTCCAACAGCGCAGGCACACACCCCACACCCTTCCCTCCGCTTTCTCCCACATCTCCCGAGGCCACGCAGTCGTCTTCTCGGACCTTGCGGCAGAGATCGTCAACAAAGAGGCCTGCTGCGGATTTCACGCTTCCTCCGCCACCCACGCGGACCAGGAAAATCATTCAGGTTAAGCCGAAGGGGCAGGAACAGCCGCGCACTGCGGGAACCCAGGCAAAGGGGAAGGATGGGCAGAATGCATCTACAGACGGACCCGGTTCGAAGAAGAAGCAGTCGAATGCGACGACGGCAGCGGGCCGCAAGATCGCACGCAGAACGGCACATAGCCTGATTGAAAGGCGGAGAAGATCGAAGATGAATGAGGAGTTTGCAACCCTGAAGAATATGATTCCCGCTTGCCAGGGGCAGGAGATGCATAAACTGGCTATCTTGCAGGTATGTTGGCTGTGCACGGCGACTGTAATTGACCTTGCTGACGGTAGTGGATAACAGGCTAGCATTGAATACGTAAATTATCTCGAGCAGTGCATTGTCGACCTCAAAGCGGCAAATAACCGTCGAGACTCGACGCCCACATCGCCCACGTGGAATGAATCAAAAGAGCAAGGAACGGCTCTATCGTCCTACACTCCGTCCCCAGAGTTCAACCCGCAGTTCGAACCCCCCGTATCTCTGTCTCAGACGGCTTCTCCTCGCCCAAGTGGAGACGTCCATCCCCGTTCTTCGCACGCTTCTTCCTTTGAAATCATCCCCATGATCCTTCCCAGCCCAGCACTCCCACCCTCAAAGACACCGCATTTCCCCCCGCGTGTTCATCGCGATACACTCTCTTCCAATACGTCGACCATCTCGTCCATTTCAAACACCTCCGCGGCCTCAAGCACCACGTCCCCAATCATCCCGCAGCAGACCCATGATAGCCAGGCGGGCAAGCGTACGCCGTCGCTCTTGGGTAATTCTAGCCAAGGCACAAGGATGGACGTCGACATGGATCGAGAGGCCACGACGGCACTGTTGATGTTGAATATTGACCGGAGAACATCATCCGGCGGAGCTGATATGTTGAGGCCGGCGTTTCTATCAGGGAACTCGGACGACGGTGGCAAGAAGGGAATTAGCGTGCAGGATTTGTTGAGCCATTGAGCTCTTGGGGTCGGGGTTTACGATGCCAATGATGCACGAGTGTTGGAGAATGGCTTTTTTGGGTTTTATTCTCGGCGACGCGCCTGTTTTGTTGCAAAATGAATTGCTACTAATGACGAATGGATGCGGCAGTTTTGGTCTGAGAGGGATGATTCCTAATGTCGGGACGGTTCTTGATAGCTACGGATTGCGTTGCTATGAGGTGATGGACTCGGGCTGTCGGAAGGGATGACAATTTGAAGTACCAATACGGAGTAAATAGATGTTGATTTAGATTTTGTGCAGGCATTGATATCATATCAGAGCGCAAAAGAAGAAAACAAAGGCGCAAGGCTGTCCAGCTTATCCTAGGGGAATATTGTCAAAAGAAAGAAATAAATCAAAATCTGCAGCTCAAGCAAGAGATTGCGAGTAAGCAGCCCATCCACCAAGTGTCACGTATCTCCCCAACTCCATTCATTCCCGCCAGAACGATCAGATAAAAATCGACAAAGAGCATACCGCCAACATGCTATCCAACAAATAAATCGACGATAAATAGCTTCAGAGCAGGATTGCTCCCATCCACCCCCACCGAGAAAAGCAAACTCCCATAAAAAAAGAAAGAAAGAAGAAGATACCAGCGCAGTTTTCTCAAACCGCGACATCTTCCAACCACGGCAGAACCACCTTCTCCGCTTTCCGCCGACTCGGACTCGGCCCAGACCCCGACGACTCATTCGTGACCTTCCGCTCCCCCCGACCGCCATCGCTCTTCTCCAGCCCCAACACCCTAACCGCCCCATCATCCTCGATCACCACCGCGCCCTCTTCCTCCGGGTCGCCACTTTTCCGCCCATGGATGTTCGAACTGCTCTCCGGATCGACGCTGGTCTGCTGTCTGGCAAGCTCCGTCTGCAGGTTCTCCAGGTTCCACTGGGTCAGGGGAATCTTGCAGTAGCGTTCTGCGCGCCGGTCGCGGTCGAGGATGCGGCCGCGGTGGTATGTGATGATTGACGAGGAGGCGTCGCGCAGGCGGGTGAGGGGTGGTCGCTGGGGTGGGTCGGGCGGAGAAGAGGTGTGTGGATTGGCTGGTGTTGTCGATGTGGTGGGTGAGGCTGCGGCTGCGGCGGCGGTTGAGGGAGTAAAGAGGCGCTTGAGTGCTGAGGGGCGGAAGTATCTGCTTGCGGTGGAGATGCGGCGGAGTGATTTGGAGGGGGATCCGGAGGGAGATTGGGATTCGGGTAGAACCGTTGTTATTGCCGTTGTGGGAGTGCGCGAGGTGGAAGCGCGGGTGCCCGCGTGCACGGGGGAAGAGAGCGTGGTTGGGGAGGAGGACGTGTGTTTGGAGGAGAATGAGAGTGTTCGGATGGGTCGTGGGAGGAGTCTGAGTCTTCGTTTATGTGCTTCAAGGTCCTTTTGTACCGGCGGCGGAGACATGACCCGGCTCATGTTGCTCGTCGTCATACTGGGGGATCGAAAATGTGTATCCGCTGAGCTCTGACGAACATCAACGGTTCCGTTTGCTGGGTTTTTTGCGCCTGGAAAACACGTTATTCAACTTTCAGCATTTCACCGATTCGTCTCTGGTCCACCTCCACAATCAGGCGGAAACAAAAGCGTGTTTGACACTCCTGAAGGGGCACTTTTCAGCAGATCTGTTTCTGAAAAGGAGACCAGGGGCGAAATAGTGTTCACCGTTCAAAGTCAAACCAAGCAAGGTTTCTTCACGGAACCCAACGGCGATGTATAGAAAGAAAAATTGAGACGACACCCAGGTGGCAACAGCAGCAGCACCTGGCCAACGCCGACAGTCAAAAAGCAAAGAAGAAGAAGAAGAAGAAGAAGAAGAGGAAATCGGCGTTGAAATTCCACTTTCGCCTGCGTCGAGCACATGACCTCATTGGTCCACTGTGCCAAGCCCAGTCCCGTGATCGCCTGGCGTCTAGACCCGTTTGGGCGTTGATACTAGGCTGCATTGGGCCTAGTGACACTGGTTGGAGAATGCGGACAAGGGACTTTGTGTGATGCACGAGACAAGCCCGGAGATGCAGCATGCAGTGTGCAGCAGATCTTCAGCAGTGGAAGGAGACAATCTCCGGGTATTCCCCGCACGGCGAGGCATGTCGTTGGATAGTATGTGAATTCTAGCGCTAAAACAAGTCTAATACGTAAATCTGAAGCTGGGATGGTCATCGCCTAAATTGGTCAACTCGTCCTCCGGCAGCGAGTACCGATGATCGCGCCCGCCAGCATCACGGATCTTGTTCTCCCTGCGGCACCACAAGAAGAACGCCGTGCAAGACAGCGCGCAGATCCACACCAGGCCCAAGCTGGTGCCGTGACCAGTGGAATAGTACGGCTTCTCGGAATTGATGAACACGTTACTCGCGACCAGACCACCGCTGTTGCCGAATCCAATTTGCATCGAGGATGCAAAAGACCGCTTGTAGTGGCCGCCCATGTTGTTACTGACCCAGGCCATGACCACAGGCTGAGCAATGAATCCTCCGCATGTGACCATGAAGACGGCAAAATATCGAACTCCCACCGAGACTTCCCGCTGGCAGAGCAAGATCACGTAGCCGACAGTTGCGATGCAGCATCCAAGCATCGTAAACGCATAACGATGGCGCAATCGGTCGGAGAAAACGGCACAGGTGACGGTGACGACTGTTGCCGTGACAAAAACGGGGATAGTCATGACTTGCGCTCGGATAGCGGTCCATCCCAGCTGGTTCAGAATCGTCGGCGTGAAGAATGATGTCGCGTAGCCCGTGTTGACAATCCCAAAATACATGAGGATTCTAGCCAAAAGAACACAAAGGTCAGATATTTCGAACTTGGCTCTCCAAGGAGGACTTTAACTAACCCGAGATAAACTTTGACGTCGAGCACGCAGCGTCTGATTGCTTTCTTATCCAGCCGATCCATTGTCGCTCCCTTATTATCAGCAGCCAACCGGGCGACCAAAAGTTTTCTTTCATCCTCATTGAGGAACCCGGCAGTCTCTGGCCAACTAGGAATGATAAACCAGGACGCCAGGGCAACGACGACGGTGACAATTCCCTCAAGGATAAACAACCAACGCCATGAGCTGTATCCGTTGACGCCGTCCATATTCGCAATTGCGTACGCCAGGAGCTGTCGTAGGGTCAGTAATGCGAGCATTGAATATCGAACCGTACTATACTCACACCGCTGACAGCACCAGCAATGATACTAGCAGAGAAGAAAATGTTGATTCTCGTCTGAAGTTCGTGTCGTTGATAATACATGGAGATCAAATACACGCATCCTAGGATCTTGTCAGATGGTTCGCAGTCTCAAGGGCATGGAGCTGGAATTTGAAATACCTGGAAGGAAACCCGCCTCAAGAGCTCCCAGGAGGAAGCGACAGACTACTAAGCCGGCAAAGTTTTGGGTAAACCCCTGGCCAATAGTCACGACACCTAGAGTAAACAGAGTCAGAACAGGTGTCGTTCTTCAAGATAAAAACGGACTTCCACGCAACACGTACCCCATGCTGCAATGATGCCGGCGAGCCAGGTAGACGGCGAAATCCTCTTGATGACAAGATTGCTAGGCACTTCAAGAAGGATGTATGGAATGAAAAAGATGAAAAGAGCGACATTGTAATCATGATTTTTCATGTTCAGATCCTTCTCTAGACCTTGGAGACGTGCATTCCCGATATTGATCCGGTCAATGAACGACAGCAAGAACAGGATGAAAAGGACTGGGACAACCCAGAGATCGACTTTCCGTAGGAGAGCTTTCTCCGCCGCCGGATCGAATTCCACTTCAGATACCGTCTCTTTGAGACTTGTCTCATGGATCGATTCCTTTGTGTCTGCCATGGTGCGAACAAAGTTGGTGCGGCGGACGGGGAATCTGAGGAACGTAATCGAGCGTGATGGCAACTTGCGACTGCACTGCGGTCGTGAGTTCGTGTCGAGGCCTTCAGGCTGAGAACATTAGATCGCCATCGTAGGCAAGATCTTCGCCAGGGAACACGTACCACGAAGGAATCTCAAGATTCTAGACCCGCCCTGATAGTACGCACTGTCTACTCTTGAATACTTCGCAGAGAGGGCGTGGTTCCCAAGCCCAGAGCGACCCGGCAATGAAGCTGCCGATGGACGCAAGTATGGAAGGGACAGGGATAAAAAGAGAGCAAAAGGTGTCGATCAATATGCCGCCCATTCAAGGGTAGACGCAGCATCTCGAGCTATTTAATATGAAAATATCAAGGATACTGACGATGCATGGCATTATCCACAAAGGAAGTATTCCGCTCCAGAGTCCCCAGCGTAGCAAGATCCCCTTGAACAAGCCAGTCAGCTCTCGCGGGACCTTGCTGACCCGCGTTGAGACCCCGCTGTTCATCTCCGAAAACCGGGGATTTCTGGGGAAAAGAGACTTCAGTACCTGGTTGACGGTAGAAACCTGGGGATACCAGCAAACCCAAAGAGCCCACCACCCGGAGCAAATTTATCGAGCTAATTGAGGTTTGTAGCTCGACAGCGGAAAATTTCCTGGATCGATCATTGACTTCTGCGCCCTGTCCTCAACCTAAACTTGGCTTTACGCCAGGCACCGCGTCTAAATCATGTTGTGTAGTGACTCCTTATGGAAAGATGAGCCCATGAAGTCACAGATCAGTGACTCCCTGGTGGCTGCCCACTGCCCAGCTATCGTCACAGCGCTCTTGACTCCAGAACAAATATGCACAGTTGTCTCGGGACTTGCACGAAAAATCAAAACTGGGTCGACATGCATCTCGAGCAATCCAGCCTGCAAGACGGAGCTCAAGAAATAATGGGAAGTCGAGCGTGCGGCTTGTCCCAATCTGGCTAGGGAGGAGACGGCTTTGATCTCCTAGCCAATTAGACAGCCACGGTCAACGCCAAGAGCACGAGAAGCGGAGTGCCAAGGCTGTTTGTCTATCACTTTCCACAAAAGTAGGGATTATGGGACTGATGAGACTCTCTCTGAGTCTGTGGGTTCATTCTGAATGGTCCGCCGCGATCCGCACGAAGCATCTGCTTGCGGCACCGGAACATGCAAGGCTCTGTTGCCATGCTTTTTTTGTGTTGCCGCCTCTTAAAAAAGTTTTACTCCGTAAACCCAAAAGAAGCCATTCCTGACGATTCCCGCTCGTAGTTATTGGCTTGCCATATTTTCATCACTCTACTCCGTATGTTGGAAAATTCGTGTTATTGAGTATCACCGTTTCTCTTTAATCGTGTCACAAGGGCGGACTGGCGGCATCAAAAGACTTCGCGCTTCAATCGATGTCTCTGTAGAATTATGACGAGCTTGGCCATGTTCGATTAATATGCTCAACAGCTGGCATATCCATTCAAGCCCTTGATTGTTGGTGCGAGTGGCAGCCTCGTCGTTGTTCTCCTCATGCCTACTTCCATCTCTTATATATATTTCGATCCTGGAACTCGTATGATTTTCCAGGATAAATCGGCAGCTCAAATCCCCTGCCTAATCCATGCATGAATTCCGATCTGAGCACTCAATGGTCCTTTCGGCTTGCGCTAGACGTCTACATCAGGGCCCACCAAGTGTGAATTTGAAATTTATTGATCATATCGATTCCGTCTAAACGGCTACCGGATACACGCGGTTCCCATAAAAACCGGCAGATCTGCGAACGGTGAAAGCTTTCGAATCTCCTGCATGACTCTATCGCTCTAGCTCAGGTCAAAATCATCATAGTAGCTGTCTTCATGCAAGCCGCGATCGCGCTACAACAGGAAACACGTAGAAGAACGAGCAGTAACTTGCAATTTCAAAATTTGCCGGCGGGTGTATCTCGGACTTCGTATCACTTCTTTGTTATCATATTTTGTTCTTCGAGATCTCCCATCTGAAGGCGAAGTGGAACCCCAGCAGCCCAAGAGCGCCATCAGAAAGCTTGGGCATTTGAAGCGCAGCTCCCTGCGCGGAATGAAACCGAGTCCTCTTTCACGAGGAACCACTTCACGTGATGCCGGCCATCGCTCTTTGCCGCCGGGCTGTGGGCACTACGGCTTCCTCCTTTGCTTTTCCAGATTCGGCATGTTTGCCGCGCGGATTTCGCGGATGAATTCCGCCCAATTCCGGGAGCACAGGCCACTGCCAAGCCGGAAACTCCGGGGAAGTGTGGGGTTTAGCGTTGAGCCCGGTCGCCGGCCATTCTCGGGCTTCCATTCCTGCTTCTTGCCGAGTTCTCGGGTAGCAACTGCAGCTTGAATCGGAATCCTCCTAGAGTCACGGGGAGCCTGCTATGAGGGCACTTTGCCTGTGCGTCTCTGGATATGCTTGCGCTGGGAGACTGTGCTTGGCTTTCGTAAGGACCGCAGGTTGATGCCCTGGGAACTTGAACCTCGTGTGCGGAATTCTATGCCTGCGTCCTGCTCCGGCATTTAAATGATGTGCCTTGTATGGAGCTAGTGGATAAATGCGGAGAGGCTCAACTGCAATCGGCTTAGACTTCAGCTTCCTGACGTACCTCGTTGCTTGCAGTCTGTCGGATGTCGGCGTGGAGCTGGGGATTCTCTTATTTATTGAGTCCGAGTACGACTTTTTTTTTTTTTTTGAAAGTCCTGTTGCAACTCGTAACCGCCGTGCCAATCTTTCGCACGACCAGCCAGCTGGATGCTTGCGCGTGGCCACTGTTGAGGAGCGGCTAATCTTTCGAAATTTCGTACGACGTTGCCTAATCCATCCCCAATCGTCCAGCCGCTTTTCTGCTCGTCTTGATAATATTTCCTTTTTTTCTGGCACCTTCGGCCCGTTGTCAATTGGCCTTTGGAAATGGGCTATCAGACAATAGCGATTGCCGCTGTGGCATTCGTCTACTTTGTGATCAAGCAGCTGAATAAGACTGATATACCCAAGATCAAGAACCTTCCGGAGATCCCCGGTGTGCCGATCTTTGGAAATTTGATCCAACTTGGTGACTCGCACGCAAAACGGGCTCAAGAATGGGTAAAGCAGTACGGAGAGGTCTTCCAAGTCCGCTTGGGCAATAAGGTATGCAACCCGAATTGATATGTCTGGCGAAACAACCCAAACGTTGAATGAAACACTAAACTTGTCTCTCCAGAGAATTATTTTTGCCAACACCTTTGACTCCGTCAAGCATTTCTGGATCACTCACCAATCCGCCTTGATCTCTCGCCCAACACTACACACGTTCCATACCGTCGTCTCGAGTTCGCAGGGGTTCACCATCGGTACTTCGCCGTGGGATGAATCCTGCAAGCGCCGCCGTAAGGCTGCTGCGACCGCTCTTAACCGTCCGGCAGTCCAATCATACATGCCGATCATTGACCTTGAATCCACTGCCAGTATCAAGGAGTTGCTGCACGATAGCAAAGATGGAACTGTAGACATTGACCCCAACCCATACTTCCAGCGTTTCGCCCTCAATACCAGCTTGACCTTGAACTATGGCATTCGCATTGACGGCAGTATTGAAGACGAGCTCCTCAAGGAAATTTGCCATGTCGAGCGCGTGGTTAGCAACTTCCGAAGCACTAGCAACAACTGGCAGGATTATATTCCGCTGCTGCGATTATGGCCTAGTCGTAACAATGAAGCGAAGGAGTTTAGGGAACGTCGCGACAAGTACTTGTCCTTGCTTTTAGATATGTTGAGAGACAGGATGGCAAAAGGCACCGATAAACCTTGTATCACTGGCAATATCTTGAAGGACCCCGAAGCCAAACTGAACGAAGGTAAAGGATGACATCTGGCAATATCAATGAAGTTTCTGCTGACCGTGCTATTATAGCTGAACTCAAGTCAATTTGCTTGACCATGGTTTCGGCTGGTCTCGACACTGTTCCTGGAAACTTGATCATGGGAATCGCCTATCTTTCAACTGCACACGGTCAAGAAATTCAAGACCGTGCTTACAAGGAAATTATGCAGGTGTATCCTAACGGGGATGCCTGGGAGCGCTGCCTCGTGGAAGAAAAGGTCCCGTATATCACCGCTCTGGTCAAGGAGGTTCTCCGATTCTGGACTGTGATCCCTATCTGCCTGCCGCGTGTTAGTGTCAAGGACATTGAATGGAAGGGAGCGACTATTCCCGCCGGATCTACCTTCTTCATGGTAAATACTTCCATATCCCTTCTTAGGTGCCGATCGTGACTGACAAATTACCGCAGAACGCGTATGCCGCCGATTATGACGAGAACCATTTCAAAAACCCCTATGAATTCCGCCCTGAACGCTACCTCAATGTGTCCGACGGCGCCGGAACGCCACACTATGCTTACGGTGCCGGCAGCCGTATGTGTGCTGGCTCCCACCTTGCCAATCGCGAACTATACACCGCTTTCCTCCGCTTGATCTCTGCATTCCGCATTGTCCCCGCAAAGAACCGCGCTGATGATCCAATCATGGACTGTTTGGAAGCTGGTATCAACAAGTGCGCTTTAACCCTGGATCCGAAACAGTTCAAGGTCGGATTCCGGGTAAGAGACCGGGCGAAGTTGGATAGTTGCATCCAGGGAAGTGATGAGCGGACGAAGGATCTGTAAGATTTGAAACCGTGGGGGAAGAAGAAGAAGTAAAAAGGTGGATATTAGATATATAAAATGAGTATCATGTGTTATGATTGAAAACTAAAAAAGGGGGGAATTCTTGCACGACGAAATAGCAAGATTTGTATGATTTGATAGTTAGGCGTATAGCTTTTTACTTTTCTCAGTTTGAAATTGAGGATAGGAAATAGCATGGACATTCTAGGTCAACTATATTATATTATCTGGAACTGTATATGGGAGTATGATACTATTGCCAATGATGAGTGTCAGTTGACTGGAATCGAGCTGAAGCTGATTAACCAAGAGGCTTTGGCTAGAATCGGGCGAAGATCTGATGTTGAAACAGCACACCATACTAGTAGTCAAGTAGTCGGTTAAGTTAGAGAGCGCATAAACTGTACTGCTATTCTAGAGCTATTTCCTCTCAACCGACATTATCGCCTTCTCTCTAACTAATACTCGAACAAGTAATAAGAAAGAAATCAAACTATACGGAACTGTCGGCTTTCAATGAACAGCTAAGATGCGAACAAATCTGCCACTCCAAACTGCGATAATTCAATCCTTTCTGGCTTTTTGTTGCAATTTTAGTTGTTACTCACCATTGTCAGCGCCGTTCTCGACTCCAATAAAAGCCCTTCCGCGTTCCTGGGTGTACTCTCTCCGTGGGGCTTGAGCATACCATGTTGACATCAAGCTCGGGAGCAAGGACGTTTCCTGGCGGCGTGGAAGATGCTGCGAAGGTTACTCTGGCTATATGCCGCTTTTCGGTGCGAGGCATCTGGGCTCGTGGCATAACGGGGACGACCTCAGTTCCATCTTTGAAGGTCACAGGCTCCCAATCCAACATGGACCTAGTGCCAGCTGTCTGAGCACCATCCCCGTCAAGTTCACCTTTTATGCTACTCCATTCATCCTGAGCAAGCGCAGATGCCTTGTCTGGATTTGATGAGAATTCCTCCAGGTCGATGACTTTCGCTTCCCGCCTGCGTTTGAAGCAGCATTTAATCCGTGAAGCCCAGGGTCGTTTCGAAGCGTCCAATGGGCCTTTTCCTTCTCGCTTTGGCGTTTTTTCTCGTTTCTGGACACAGTCGTGAAAGACGATCAGTCCAGCCACAGCAAGCGTAAAAGCAGCTAACATTGCCGAGACCAGCCAGAAAGCTCGCTTTTCCCGTTCCTGATGGAAGGCACAATGCTTTTTCAACAGATCCTCGTCCTTAGGATAACACATTTTGCAAACATCAACTTCGGCAGTTGTCATTCGAGATCCTGGTTTTGTGCATATTCTCGCCAAGTCGCCGATTCTACAGACGCTTTCCTCGCAGGCAACCAGGCTCGGCGTATCGGCCATGCCAGCTGTATCGGTTGTGTCAGTCCTGCGGATCTTTGATGACCGTTTGACGCGGTTGTGGCTATGGACTGGGGGACGCTCCATGATCTCGATAATGCTTCGACGTTTATATTCGCTAGGTTGAGGATCCGGTGGGCTCGCTAGAGCTGCACATTCACACTGGTCGCCCAAAGAATTCTGTATCAGCTGGGAACGATGCGTCATCGAAAGGTTCAAATAGGGATTGTCTCCTTTGGCCCATCTAAGGAAAGTGAATATTGCTTCCCGGCAAGACCTGATACTTGACCCCTTCACTTGGGTTGACTTTGTAAGGGTATCTTTAGATCCATACGCGATAAGGTCCGTGCCACAAGTCTCGAGGTCTCCTATCAGTCGTCTAAACTGCTGAGAGCGAAGGAGCCTATTGGTGTATATCGGCGATGTACTGCTATAAAGTCTGACTCCGTCTTCCGAAAAATCATCGCTGGATGTTGAGAGAAGAAAGGGATCCGGATTCCCATAGCCTCTTCTGTTCGATTCGAGGTGAGGTTGTGATATTTGCGGATCATTTGCGTCCTCAATCCGAGCAATGCTTACTCCCCTTGACCCTTCTGAAACATAATCGGAGCTTAGTTTAAGAATCGCTTGTCTAAGAAATAGGGGCCTTACGTAGGAATAAACTGGTCGCTGCGAAAACTGTTAAAGTTAGTCGCCAGTACATAGTTTCGTGGTTATAACAGGCATCAACTCGAAACAGAAAACCTCAACGTAGGGCCGAAGATCGGGGGTTTCAAAGAACGAAAATCCGTGAGAGGCGTGGTTCCAAGCCTGAGAGCCTTGAATCGCCCTTTGATAGCAGGTCGTCGAATTATTTGCAAGGTTCCGAAGGAGTCCGTCGGCGAATAGGTTGCTCTTGCCTGCAGGTATCGTGTTGATATGGATGGTGCAAGGCAAGCATAGCCCACACGGTATGTGATCGCCTTCAAGTTCACCAAAGAAGAAAGTAGAAGAAAAGTTATTAGATTGTACTATATAATCTGCTTTCATCATGAAAGGACGGTTGATATTACCCAGGAGCTTCGGTACTTCGGAAATATAGAGATTGGACCAGGACCAAATATCGAAAAAAAGGTACTTTTGCATGAAATAGCGGTGTGATGAGAGGACGCTCGATTAGATAATAATGAAGGGAAACAATGTGAGATCTAGCGCATGTGTTGAATTTGTGCCGGGGTTATGAGTTGGCTCGATTTGTATGTCTGTTCATGCTGAAACCCGGGTGAGTGGGACTGCCTGATGGCCTCATGTGCAAATGAATGGTGAATGTGGTGTGGCGGTTGTTGTAAAGGGCGTTGCTGCTGGTCTAGCAAGGAGGATAGCATCGCCTTAAGCTCGATTGAGCTCCGATAAAAGTCGTCTAGTAGTGTACGCACATTCCACCGACGAAATGCATACTCAAATATCGAATGTGCTTCGTATAGACATGTTATCGCTCGTTTGGTAGAATTCTGTCGCCCAGTAGTAGTGGATCTTAATGGCGCAGGAGGAACTCCCGACTGTAACTTTTGTTTCTCGGGAGTCTTATCCTGCAGGATCTCGCCGTGGCTCAGCTGTAGGAGGTTGACGAGTTTGCACGCTACGGTATAAGTCCGTTCGACATCCATGTATGTGAGTAGCGAGCTAAAAGTCGTTGGGGCCGTGACCTCATTATATAATTGAGAGATATACTCAACTGAATATTCGAAGAGAAGTATTTGATCGGTTTCGCTAATTGTAGGCGAACGATTTGATGGGGACAGCACCAGGATCAGGGTGAAGAGATACTCAAGGTGGAAGAGCGTGGAGAAATGGGCTGGTGTGCTCGTAGGGCAGCTTTGAAACCACGTAGTTGCTGCCGAGCAGCGTTCCCAGGCACACGATTGGGCGGCGGAGGAAGGCTGGCGTCCGCTAAAGAACATGTCTTGAAATGCCGCGGACTGGAAATGGCGAATTTGGAAGAGAAACAATGCAGGCTCAATGCTTCGGAGAAACAGGCCACCCTGCCAGGGTGGTGATGCTGAAAGTGGTGGATTCGGCGGCAGAGGAACGTCAACTGAATCGTCTGAAAACGAAAAGGCCCGGCCTAAAGCTGTGCTGACGTACCTGAAAAGTCACCATTAGTTGGCGATGGCTAAGAGGTTCGACAAAAGATAGCATACCTGTCAAGCGAATACACACAGTGAAAAGTTCTTCTGCGAGAATCCAGAGTAGCTTCATCCAAGCAAGCTACTGAGGCGTGCTCTTGGTGGATACCAAGGTCGGTGCCCACTCGTGCCGCGATTCCACTTAGATACCATGTCCGAAAATGCCGAGGATTGAGTGTAGAGTATTGCGCGAGAAGTAAAATGGCTTGGATTCCGAAAATTGTCCCCGGCCGGAGGACATCCTCAGCATACTCTAACGCAACGTGCACATGAGCCATCGCGACCTGACAGTCTCGATCGTTCATAGTTCTGGACCTTGAGGCAGCGGATATAGCCAGCACCATCCGGAGCGTCCAATGATCGTGGCTATTGGCAAAGCGGCCGTTATCTTGATAGATGGCGTCGACAGATGTCCAGAATTTGACTTCCGACAAAAAGGGCATCAGTGGATGGAAATGGTCAAAGTAGTCTAGGGTGAGGCTCGCGATCTGAGAATGCAACGGCAATTCGATTCGCGGGATGGATCGTGGTATTAGTTCTGCAATGGCAACCGTAAGGAGGAGGCCCGCAAACGATGTGGACGACCGAATTCCATAAAAATCTCTGGAAGTTGCATTCACGGCCCTGGGAAGACTGTAAGCATGGAAAGGCCATAAGCGCGGGATGGGGATGTCAAGGAAGCTGACAAGAAGCCAAAATCTCCCACTAGGTCATCAATGTCAGAGGATTCTTTGCCATAGCCTTCATCTCCAGCGCTTGGAGAGAGGGTGGTGGCCGGTGTTGCGCTGAAGCCATCATTCTCCCGGTCAACCTGTCCCACCATGAGCCCCTGCTGGCGCCGCTTTGCCGCTTCAATTTGCTTCTCGAGTCGTTCACATTGCGCCTCCAGCGAAGCCACGTAGCTCCGTTCTTTGCCCTTTGCAAACTCATCCGTAGCGCCAGAGCAGCCGCTGCTTCTCCCTGCTCTCTCACAGGCAGAGCACGCGGGCAATTTGCCGTCGCATTTGATCTTTGCATTGCGGCATCGGGAGCAAGCAGCGACCGGGCGACTGACCTTTAGAAGTGGAGCATCCAAATCTGGGTAGATGATGGACGCCATGGTCGCCAGCCAGCTATAACAGTGTTAGCACCAGGCTTTCAGCACATGTCCGACGAACAGGAGGGTTTATGGCATCTGGGTCTCATGGCCATCGCGACAATTCAGGCTAACAAAACAAGAGCGATGGCGCAATTTCATTGACGGACAAATTCTCGGGCAACGGAAGCTGGCATAGGCATCATGGAACAGAACCCCACTGGACGAAAAGATCAACGAACCTCGTGCATCTTCAAGCGGACAAGACAAGCGGTGAATTGTCCTTGAGGAGCTCCAACGGTCAACTAGTGCTCAGCCCTACCGGCAGATCCGTCCAACTGACTAGTGGTGATAATTCTGGGGCTGAAGAGGAATCATGGGAGAAGGGTCAAGGTTCCTGTGCGGCCGCTGCACTGGTGGGAGAGGAGGACGGCTAAGTCGGCCAGGGATGCGGTCCTCGTCTGTTCCCCGCGCCAATTGATTCGACGACGTGGTGATTGCGGTGCGCCTGGTCTCGCACAATACGATGCTGCGAGGAGTTTCTGCAAGGCCAATGTACAATTCAAAAAGGTTACCGCTGTGTGAGCCCGATTCGAGAAGGCCGTCTCTATTCCTCCTCAGCGAGTATGCAACGTGGATGCTCTACAGTATAACTACTATCCCGTCTCCCGCTCCGTCATGCTCTTTCTCTTCTCTTCTTCATTATTTGCAGTTCATCACCAAACACTTCCCCGCAAAGGGCCTGTTCACGTGTTTCTCCGAATCTGGCTCGATATGCTTACTAAGCAGTAACCCCTGGAGCTAAGCTATGCCCTTTATGGTATGGCTTTTCTCCTGGGGCGACTAACCTAAAATGGCTAGGTTGAAGGAGAAAGGGGCCGAAGCTTAGTCATAGATTGCTTTCCGACAACACCTGAAGCAACACCATGGATGCGCATATTGACTGACAGCGAGGCTCTGAGGACCAACTGGAGCATGACTGATGCTTACACATCGCTGGCTATGGACGTTCGTGCGAAGATGAATCCACTCGAACGATTACTGACCCCAGAGCATGAGCGATGCTCGGTCGCTAGTGATGGAACGCCTCATGTCGCAGACACAGCTTGGCCCTACATAGCTCGAGCCCAAAGGGGGTTTTGGCTGACGATGACTCTGCATCTAGAGTGTCATTTGTTGGGCCTTTGGCCTAAACGCGGTTGCTATGCCTGCTCTCAATATATCTTTCACGGCGGCAAGTGCATCGAGGACTCGTCGATGCGAGAAAGGTGATATTGCGCTCCGGCACGCAGTCGAGTGCGAAGCGTGCATATTTTTATCTCATTCTCGGTTTCAGAACTGTGGCGCGGGCTCGAGTGTCTGAGGTCTGAGTCTTGCTCTGACTCTATAGGTTTGGGAGTGGGTTGCTGGGGTCCGATCCCTCGATCAAAGCACGAATGGTGCTCTCATACTCATGAGAACAGAGGAAAACCCCAAGAGCACTCTCAGAGACAATGGATGCTTGGTGTGCTCGCTGGAGTCACATAACCGCTTAATTTCTATTACTTAAAATTGGCGGTGTCACAAGGCGGGAAGTCCGCGATATCGCAGAATAAGAGAACATACCCTTATTTTGGATCTTTTCTCTTTACCCATACCGTCTCAGAAAGTGGGTTCCGGTTTTTATATCTCGGAGATGGCACAGTTTTATTCAACTGCACGCCTTACCAAGGCTGACATCCCTACAAGCCATATCGATCTCTGTTGATTGTACATGGATATATCCAGACCAATGCTGCTGATGTTTTATCACATCATGAAACAATCAAACAGAACAAATCACCGCACACTGGAGGTTTGAGATGTCTCGCCTCGCATGAAAAGTGCCCTAGGCTGATTAACCTGTCGCAGGTGTGTGGGTGATACCAGCACGATTACCCCGTTGAACTGTGGCGTCCTCGGTATATAGTTATGGCTTTCTGCTTTCGAAAGCAGATCGTCAAACAATAAACATATCTTTTTCTCTTCCCGAAGTGCCCACGTGTACTTCCAGCCATCATTCACCATGGGGTATTTTGCCAGCGTATTTCTGCTTTTGATCACAGCCTTGCCCGCTGCTCGGGCAGGTGAAATGATCCAAGCCGCTGCGGGTACTCCCGGAATTATCCCCGACGCATACATCGTTGTGATGAATGATGGCATTTCAGATTCAGATTTCGAATCACATAGGGGCTGGGCAGCGAGCATGCACAATAAGGCCGTTCAGAAGCGCGGGAGAATATTTAGCGGCATGACGCGCATGTGGAACGCCACGGAACTGAAGGGCTACAGTGGTTCATTCGACCGGCAGACGATTCAACAGATAGCGAATCATTCCTCGGTAAGGGATTCTCCCATCACCTACTCAAGGACCCCGTCTGCTAAACAAACGTAGGTGGCATACGTTGAACCTGACCGGATGGTCAACATTACTGCTTTTACCACCCAAAACAGCGCTCCATCATATGGGCCTGGGCCGTATCTCTCACATCCGACCAGGCAACAGGGATTATATTTTTGACGATCTGCTGGTCGGGCATCACTATCTATGGAGTCGATACGGGTATCGACATACAGCATCCCGAGTTCCAAGGCCGCGCTATCTGGGGTACCAACCAAGTCGACAATGTCGACCGAGACCAAAACGGGCATGGCACACACACGGCTGGGACATTCGCCGGGACGACCTTTGGTGTAGCCAAGAGGGCTACCATTGTCGCTGTGAAGGTACTCGACGCCCAAGGCGGTGGACGCGCTAGCAGCATAATCAGCGGGATTAACTGGTGTGTAAGCCATGCCAGACAAAATAATCTTCTCGGCAGGGCTGTCATGAATCTCAGCTTGGGCGGCTCTGGGACACGTTCGTTCAATCAGGTCGCTACAAACGCCGCAAACGCTGGTATCTTTCTATCAGTTGCGGCCGGGAATGATGCCGTATGTAGCAAACCCGCTTTCTCACTAAATAAAGATGCAGTGGCTGAACCTGTAGTAGGAAGATGCCGCGAATACGTCACCTGCTTCAGCTCGCGGAGTTTGCACGGTTGCCGCCAGCACTGAGCAAGACACTCGAGCAGACTTTTCCAACTTTGGGCAAATCGGTAAGCACACCAGCTAGCTCTGAACGATCCGCGCGTGTGAGATTGGGCGAGATTGCTGACTACAATTTCTGATTTCTAGTGGATATCTATGCTCCAGGAGACCGAATCATCTCTGCATTCCCGAACAACAGCAGACAAGTTCTGTCGGGCACATCCATGGCCGCCCCTCACGTTGCAGGCGTGGGAGCTTACCTCATGGCCCTCGAAGGGATCTCCGCTACTCAAGTTTGTGACCGGCTCAAGAGGCTGTCCCAGCCCAGTATCCGCAATCCGGGGCCGAGAACCACAAACAGACTACTCTATAACAATAGCGGAGTGTAAGTTTGCACGGTTTCTATCTCTTGCATGGTGAAGACGAGCCAAAAGACGTGATCCATTTTCTCCCCATTTATTCCCCCTCAAAAGCCCTCTAATATCCCTCCCCTATTATTTCTCTCCGCATAGACAAAACGTTGATTTGTTAATTCATTAGGGGATCCCTTTTTTATGGCCTGTGTGTCTTGCTGGACCGAGCTGACGCTCGACGTTTATTTCCTTTATGTTGATGTGTTTTCATTCTTTTGGATGTATTTTTGCCAGAATCTTTAATGATAAATGTTGTTTCATGAAACGTGATCCGGGAGAATTGATGCAGGGCCTGGACGGTTGCATCATCACGGTCATCCTCGACCGCCGTGGGATGCGGGCAGCATGGCAGCATGGCTTTGGACCATGGGTTCCTGTCTGGAAGGTCGTTCGTTCCCCGACGGGGAGTTTATCACAGGCTATTCGCTGTCCAAGCTTTCATGGCACAAATAACCGATGCGGGGGGCCGACTGTTGAATCTTCTATGCTGATAGCCTGATAACTACTAGCCAGGTCGTGTGACGTGGGAATTGGCGATGATAGCGAAAAGGTAACATGGCCAGGGGTGCGAGCCATGCAGGCTGCCGACTTTCCTGATCGCACTGCGTATAATAAGACGTATATTAATCTCGTCGGCCCTGGAAGTCCAGAGTCGCACTTGAACTTGCGTGCTGCACCCCGATGTTCTCGAAGGTGCACCCTGGCTCCTGGCCGACTTAAACTGCCGGCCCAGAAATCTTAACCTCACTTCTCCCTCTGCGTCGAACAGAGGAATGTAACCACCTCTCTCATCACATGTACTCTCTCTCTTTGGCCTACAAGCCCCAAAACACGACAACCCATCGCAATCATCGACAGAAGATCTAAGCTGATCTCTGCACTTGCTAGCTTGCTAGTTAACCTGTCCGATTGTCCAAAAGCCGGGGTTCTCCACGGCCCACAGGGAACTGCCCTGTGTGCACACTGAGATCCGCCTCCAGCATCCCGCCGTCGATGAAGCGACACGGACCGGCTGCAACCCAACTGCAGTCTGCCGACCCCGCCGGTCTAGGACTGATGCGGCAAGTTCGAAGATTCTTCGGCTTGCCTAGTGCCTGGAGCCAGGCTGATGATCCCTGGCGGCCACGAATGATGAAGGACCTCTGAACCGACCGAGGGATTCACGAATTTCGATGCAATCTCCCTTCTTGCCGGGAGGGATGGCTGACGAATTTTCATGCACACGCGAGAATTAAGCCTTTGGCTGAACTCTCCGAGATGGAAGCGTTTCGTTCATCTGCACGTTTCGAAGAGTTTAACCCCCAGTTCAACCTGGGGTTACGGAAAGAGTAATGAATTCGTTCGGCTTCCCACACACTTGACGGAATTCTCGCGGATGCTTGAACTACATCGGGATGCAAGACAACAGCCAACCTGGAGGATCATCATCGGTCCTGGTGACACTCTTTCCCGTGATGATGGCCATATGAAATCTTGGGCACCTGAAACGTGCGCTTGTAAGACATCCTTCCCAGGCGGTTCACATCGGCGACTAAATAATATAATCTGGAATTGGGTTTTCCGAAACATGCTCGCCCTTGACGATCAACAGTGGTGTCGACCAAAATTGGGGCCATGATGCACCGTTTTTGGTTTCGCGAACGAAACAACGTCCATCTTCCTTTCATGTCCGAATGATGTGCGCTTTTCCCGCTAGATGCGCCGCCGCCAGCCCCTTGGTGGAGAAGGGTGAAATTGAAGATGGCAGCAACCCTGCAATAATGCCGTCCACGCGCCTGATCGACTGTTTTATCAAACTTCCGGGGAATGCTCAAGCAATTTATTTCTATTTATCCTTTTCCCATGTGTCAAGGGTCCCGGGAGCAGGCGGTGCGCAAGAGGTCCTCTGTATAAAGAGCCGGGACGATCCTTCAACCAGGCGCTTTCTTTCTCTTATGCTCTTGGAACCTCTCGACGTCCAAGCGCCACACAATCGCTGCGTCTGCGAATTCCCGGACTCTCGAAACACCGTCTCGTATATCGAGGCGTGCTCTCATACACGATGAAGTCTTTCGCCATTCTTTCGACGCTCGTCGCGTCCGTTCTCGCTGCTACGGTTCCCAACACCGTCAGCTATGATGGATACAAGGTCGTCCGTATCCCAACCGAAGAGGACAACCATGCCCAAGTGGTCAAGGTCATTGAGAACCTAAAGCTGGACACGTGGAAGTTCCCAAAGAGGGCTGGCTCCGATGCGGACATTGTCATTCCCCCAGAGCAGCTGGAAGCTTTCAACAAGGCCATTGCCGGCCTAAAGGTTGAGATCATGCACGAGGATCTCGGCGCTTCCATCGAGGACGAGTCATCCACGATTACCGCATACACAGGTATAGCTAAACAATAAGAACAAACAATGAGTTGAGCACGCTAACTTTTTTGCATCCAGCTGGATCTGTGGCTGCCGATGACCGCTGGTTCACTGCGTACCACAGTTTCAATGACCACATGGCTTGGCTCAGAGATCTCCAGCAGCAGAATGCGAACAGATCCGCGCTAGTCAATGTTGGAAACAGTCATGAGCGGCGCCCAGTTACAGGTATCCATATTTGGGGGAGCCGAAGGGGAAAGCCCGCCATTGTTTGGCACGGAACAGTTCATGCCCGTGAATGGATTACAACCATGGTGAGGCGTTAATCTTTTACCATTAAGGAGGTGCCGCTGTCCAGTGTCCTGACTTTTGGCTCTAGGTTACCGAATATATGGCTGCTCAACTCTTGACCGACCCAGCGGCTCGTTCTATGCTTGAAAAATACGACTTCTTTATTTTCCCTATTGTCAATCCTGATGGTACGCTCTTGGTCCTTTCCGACCGATGCCCGACCTCCAACTAACCAACATTAACAGGCTTCGTCTATACCCAAACCCGTAACCGCATGTGGCGTAAGAACCGCACACCCAACGGCGGGTCTAGCGTCGGTACCGATATCAACCGCAACTGGCCCTTCCAGTGGAGCGGTAGTGGCTCATCCACAAACCCATCCTCAGAAACCTATAGAGGTATGTTTCGCTAAGCAAGAAAATCCGTTAAAGCCGCATTGACTAAGTGTTGCGTAGGACGTGCTCCTGGTGACGCCCCTGAGACCAAACTATGGCTCTCCTATCTCCCAAGACTCGCCCAGAGCCAAACTATCAAACAATTCATTGACTGGCACTCGTACTCTCAGCTGTTCATGACTCGTTAGTGTTCCACCCCTTGCCTTGGATTACGCACTCTATTCTAACGCTTTTGATCTCGCTCAAAACAGCATACGGATACAGCTGCACTGCTCGCCCAGATAACCACAACCGACTGATCTCTCTTGCAAACACCTTTGCCCAAGCTCTCCGCGCCGTGCACGGCACCTCCTTCAGAACCGGCCCGATTTGCAACACCATCTACCAGGCCAACGGAAACAGTATCGACTGGGCCGTTGAAGTCGGCAATGTTGAAACTGCCTTTGCTGCTGAGCTCCGTGATACTGGCCGATTCGGTTTCATCCTTCCACCGAACCAGATTATCCCAAGCGGTCAAGAGACCTGGGCTGGCGTTAAGGCTATGTTTGCTCAACTCTAATTGAATCGTCGGATCAAGGAGTGAACGCTGGTAGTGGGGGAGGGACAGGAAGATGATCTTAGATCAGCCTTGGGGTGCAGAGACCCTCCTGGCAATCTAAAAACGGAATGACTTTTCATTCAAGTGAAAAGGCAGTCGGCAGTTATGCATAGTTGCATTTCTAGTACATACTTAAAGGATTCTACAATTTGAATAATGTCCAGCGATACTCCGCTGTGTCCAATCTGTAACTTGATAACGCATGGGTCAAAGGAGTACCGTATGGCAAAGTATCGTTGTTCAGGCTCTTGGAGTGACACTTCGTGAGATGTGATTGACATCCAGCCGAGGGAAGTGGCGAGTGCCAAGCAAAAACCAATCCCATGAAGGAGGATTAAACAGACTGAATCCAGTCACCGCTCTCTAGTCAATCCAGATGTCGCTGGCGCAAACCAAATGCCGAAACGGATCTCCAAGTTGCCTTGGGGCATTCCGGGAAGATGCTAAATCACTCGTGTTTCGGGGAGTGATAAGGCTGTAACCACAACATGGGGGATGCAAATCTATTATTATTCTTTTGCGAGCGGACCAGGTCCTTCCTCCAATAAAAGTATCGGACGGGCATCACCCTCTCAGCTGTGTCCAAGGCACACCTCCAATCTCACATGTGCCTTCATCAACTGTCATTCGCTGGCTGTAGGCAAAACAAGCAATTTCAAGTGCTTCGTGCAACCTTGGAACTGGTACGAAGTTCTCCGTAGCGTCCGTACTCATTGACGGTGTTTTTGAACTCCTTCCGCTAGAGAAGTATCCGTAGAGCTGAGAAATCGACATGGGGTGAAAGCCATTCACGTGGTTTTCCAATTTTTTTTCCAATTTTCCTTTTTGTTTTTATCAATCCGACTGGGGACACCCCCGGTTTTTGCTAGAGGTCCAGCGAGCGATTGGACAATGCTGTGCGACAGATGCGGGATGTTCAGCTGAAACAATGAATCGGCGATCGAGTCGCGGGGGTCTCCAAAGGTATTTATTGCATGGGAGAGATGCAGTTCCTCTTCTGTAGCTTGAAGCGCTGAAGTGATAAATATTCGTTGAAGTTGCGGCTCGCTTGACGCTGACATAAGCACATACCACTGACTAAGCACGCATTAGTGACTAACAAGGTTCGCCTTAGTTAAGCGCCCAGTCCCCACTTCCCGAAGCGGCCAAGACCTGCTGGTTGACCGCGAACGGCGCTCCTTTGAGTCCTCGCGCAGTCGAGGATGAGGCTGTAAGGGCTGCCCTTCGCCTGGTTGTTGTGCCAATGGATACCGGCGACTTGAAACCGTCGCATTCTGCTACTCGCAAGTCTTCGCCAACGACTTCCCCGCTCTCTCCAGACGAGCAGAAAAACGGTCGCATCGCGCATACGCTGACTGCCTGTACGAGGTGTAGACGGGTAAGAGGGGCATAACATCCCTTCCTCATCTCTGTCCTTTCCACCACGCGCCCAATTGGACTGTGATGCTCGTCGAACTAGTACTAACGCGCCGCCTATCGGTCGGGTTCAAGTAGAGAAAATCCAGGTGCGACACGGGAATTCCACGATGCGGTCCATGCCAGCGGAGTAATTCAAAGTGCGTCTACTTTGATCCGGCGAAGAACACGACCATTCCGAGAACGTATATCCTGCAATTGCAAAGCAAAGTCCGAAGGCTTCATGAAGAGCTGGAACGAGTCGAGACGCAGATCGAGCAGTCGCCGGACCCTGAGCTGATGATCCGCGGAGGAGGCCAAATCAAATTCAAGGAAAATGACGAATCAAGATTCTTGGGGCCGTCGAGCGGGATTGCCATTACGCGTTTTGTGATGGAGATGGCGAAACAGAACACAGACTCGAAAAGCATCAAGGAGGTTGTCAACGAAACAACGGCGCAGGAGATTAAGCATGTCTTCACGAAAGAGAGTCAAAAGCCGACTTCGAAAATCTATCCGCTCGTGAGCTCCGTCGCACAGCCGGATCTACCAGATCGAGATCTTACGGATAAATTGGTGGATCTGTTCATGGCAAAGGGTATAATGCGGGCTTTCGCGTGCAGTTTCATCGTGGAAACACGCTTGGCTGACTTTTTGAGTTGCAGCTCAGTACATGCTTCCCACATTGCACGAGCCATCTTTCAGGCGAGATGTCGACGCCGTTTACAGAGGCTCCGACGACCCGTGCCAAAATTTCCAATTGAGGATTGTCATCGCTATCAGTATGCAAAAGTTGAGCACTCAATTTGCCGGACTGGCAGATGCCTTTTACTTGGCTGCTTTACCTTACTTAGATGCGTGCATTCGAAAAATGGATGTCTCGACTCTGCAATGTCTGGTCCTCATCGGGCAATACTCACTGCTGACTCCCACAAGAACTGCAGCTTATTGGGTTGTCGGAACTGCCGTAAAGATATGCCAAGATCTGCGACTTACCGATGAGAGCACGATTACGAGGTCCGCGGATGGCCGACCGCTAAGCTTTCTTGAAGTCGACATGCGGAGGCGGTTGTTTTGGATTATAACGTCGATGGAATATGGTCTCTCGCACAGTCTAGGCCGGCCCAGTGCTTTTTGCGTTAGCCATGATCACATAAACGTCAAGTTCTTTGAAATGGTTGATGACAAGTACATCACCCCCGAAGGCGTGCTGCCAGAAGCCCGTCCTATAATGAAGAAGTGTATTGCCATTCATTTTCTCAAAATGAGGCTATTACAGGCTGAAATCCGGCGTACGCTTTATTTAAGGAAACGGAGCACACCGATTGATGACCAAGACCCATGGTTTGCGCAGATGCTGCAGAAGCTCGATGACTGGGTGAATTCTTGTCCTACAAACGATGAAGGAAGCGGACTTAGTCGAGTTTGGTACGCTTCCCCAGAATTTCTATCACGGACATGTCAGGCTAACAAACTGTAGGTTTGAAGGAAGACGCAATACCATGATTGTCTTTATGTATAGACCGTCGCCCCAGGTTCCGGAACCATCAATACAAGCTGCCCGCAGGTGTTATGATGCCTGCGTGTTCAACGTCAAGATGCACAAAGAGCAAGTCACAACGGGTTCAGTGGATCTAACTTGGATTTGGACCCAATCTTTATGTATGGCTTTGAATACGATCCTATGGTCGCTTTCATACCCCAGCATTCGCCAAGAACATCCGTTAGGCGAAGTAATGGAGCATATCAATGTTGCCATGGAAGTACTTGCTGTTAGTGCGGAGCGTTGGCCAGGTGTCGAATCCTGCAGGCAGCTCTATAAGAGCCTGATTGCTGGGTGTCTCAAAGCATATGGGACCGGAGAGTCGTTCGTCGTGCGCTCCCCGTCCAATCGCCCTTCTCCCGCTTCCTCCTACGATATGACCACTCCACAACCAGTGTCGAGTCCCGACCCAAGCCCATCTGCTACATTAATGCCACCTCAGTCTACCTCTGCTTCTAGAAGATCCGCAACAGTGTCGTCCGAAGGGTCGCATGATATGAATGACTCGATCGAGCGAACAAGCACATATTCCGCGCGCAATAGTTTCTGTGGATCAGAGTCTCAAACCACCATCTCCCACCCGCCTTTCTCACCGTACCTTACAGATTCTATTCCTACACAGCAACCCATAACCATTCCTAGTTGCGATACTCCAACCTCTTTAGCCCAACTCCACAATATATTCGACCCCAGCTCATTCCACAACTCAATCCCATCCGTGGTCCCCGGGCTGCAGAACTGGGATGCAAATTACTCCGCGGCTTCAACGATGGCTGGCCATCTTTCCTATACCAACGCGGGACTCGATGATCCGATGATCTGGACGGGCACCTTTGGCGAACAATACTCGCAGTTTTTCAATCAACCGTTTCCCAACACTGGCTGGAGGGATCGAAGTCTAAGTCGAGAAGAGCAATCAGAGTTGATGGCGAATCTAGTCAACGAGATTCCCGATGTCTCTTATCTCATTAATGAATCTGCTACCTTTTATAATGCCATGCCATGATGAGCATTTTTCCTTTTTCTTTTTGAATCTTTACTAGGTTTTAGCAAGCCGATGTGGCTTGTCTGTCAATTAATAATGCTTACAGTTTCCTGTATTAACAATGAGGAAGACATACTAATTGAATGCAGCAGCAAATGATAATGTTCAAACCATTCTTGCTAGATCTATTGTTGTGTCAACTGTCGTTACTTGACTTTACGGCCGAAAGCAGTTATGACTGCTGTGAAAATCTCATAAAAAGTGCATACATTATTTCGTTTCGTCCTGCATTGAACTACAGACAAACGCTTCTCTGATGAGCTCCCAATGCCTCGTATTTAGCCTATAGAATCTATCTAGAGGTCATTATACGTACATGCACACATACAGGTGTCATAAACAACAAATAAGAAACGCAAAGAGCCCTTGGGAGCAATCTGTCTTATCTGGCGCGTATCCTGTAGGGAACTAAGCTTTTCCCATGGAACTATTCGTTCGCAAATGGGCTTATCACACAGCTGGTAGGGGAAGGGTGCGGTTTTCCTTGTCTGTTTAGAACCGAGCAGTCGTGTTGGATTTTGACAACAGGAGAGCACGGATGGCGACATCAATAAGCCTGCCCACGGGGAAACATCAAGGCCACACAACCCTCGTAAGATCCAGTCCAAGCTAATGACTAGAACATTAAAAGAAAGAAAGAGGAAGCAAATTTCTCCACATCTCTTCCATAGCTCACGCAGATAGCGGAGCACGACCGTAGCAGAACGGATAAGAAGCAAGTAACAGCCTGAAACAATTTGAACCAAATCGCGAGAGAAATAGAACAGATTTCGAGGGGGGGCAGAAAAGGTTATTACCTCGAATACCAATAAACTCACCAAGGCCACCCGTTGAAAAGAGACACAAGACACCACATAGAACTGAGGGAAACAAAAGCATGCAAGCAGAAAATCACCTTGTAATTATAACACCCATGCGCCGACCAGACAACCCCGAAGAAATTGAAACCCAGGTAATAGTTCAAACGCCGATTTTTAGACCGAGGCGGGTATATCCTACGCCATTATGCAAAGTTGCCTCGGTAACGGAATAAGATATCAAAACGACAAAAACAGAATTTGTGTACAGCGAAGTCGAAATCGAAGTCGAAAGTCTGTCCAAGGGCGGTCCTAAAAATCGTCGGTCCCGTGATGGACATCCGCAAAGTAATCAAAGTGATGACGGAGCTGTCAAAAAATAGCGCTCCTTGAGTCTTCGCCACGGCAACTTTTCGTTACGCATACGGAAATAACCGCCGCGAGTGCTCCGTTCAATCTCATCTCGTTCATCGTATCAAAGGTCATCGTGCGCCAACGCCAAACATACCGACACCATAACTGCCTTTTCGTTCCGTTAATGACGGTGGAACTACCGATACATGTTCCTATGAGAGCATCTGCATTAGTTTCAAGTCAAAAAGATGTAAGCGGGCCAAGAGAACCCAGGGTGAAAAGGCGAGGGTCGTCACCTTTTTTCGCTTCTTCTTGGCTGAACCCCTGCCGCTTTCTTCACTATTTGAATAGAAACTGCCATCCAGCTCCATGTCATCATCAGGGAAGCCCTCTCCATAGCCAACAAAGCTGCTATCATTATAGCTTCTCTTCTTGCCCGTACGTTTCGGTCTACCCGATTCGACAGGTGAGATTGAGGTGGACATCGGTGTACCATTTGCTTGACCGGGCTGCCGAATAATGCCAGCGGCAGATGCATCACCAGCCTTTTTGGTTTGCGGCACCGTAGCAGACTGTTTAGCGGGTTTTTCATGCCCTAGTACATCTTCCCAGTAGTCGTTGTTTGGCACCGGCCCCGGCTCCATTTTCATCGCCCTCATGTATAGCTTGTGCAGAGTTGAATCCGGCTCCGCAACTTTAATGTCCTTTCCGATGACCTTCTGGTTCTGCCATTCTTCTTCCGGCCACATTGTCAATTGCCGCAGCCCTCCAGGCGCTCCAGGATCATGTTTAACCGGCTTGTTTCTTCCAGAAAGTCCCAAGCCCTTGATTTTCCCTTCGTATGATTTCCTCAATCTGTTAATCTTTTCGCCAGTAACAGGATCCGTCCGAGCAACGGAGGCCGCCACGGGACCTAATCCGTAAAGAGAAACGAGGTCAAAGTGAGGGTTTGGTCCAGATATTGAGTAGGCTAACCATGTTAATATAAAACAGGCCAAGTTCACAAACCAAACAGTAGATTCGAAGCCTTACAGGTTTTACAAGTGTGAAATGCCTGCCCAAGATCATTTTGGAGGGCTGCAATCTTGGGATGTTCCGAGATGCCCTCATTGCGATCTATATCCATTGCTTCGTCTTCGGCATTCGAACCTGCGGTTTCCTCTTGCTGCCGCTGTTGATCATGTTGGGTGTGTGAGACGCCAGAGTCAGCATCCGTGAAACCCGGCGCGCCTTCTATCTCGGTTGAAAGGCGAATTCCCTTCTCCGATGGCTCCTGAGAATCCTTCGCAATACCACCCACACTGCTAGCCGGTGTCGGGAAGGCGTTCACTGCTGTTATAGCGGACTGCTGCCCTGGCTGTGCAGACATGGTGAACGAGGGAGGAGGGGACGAAGAGTCTGGAGCCGATTGAGGTGCGCTCTGGGCGGGTGACGTCGACTGTGTCGCTGAGAAGCTCGATGCATAGTTCTGGTGGCTGGCGGTCATAAATGAAGGTATACGTACGTGAGCAACTCGATCGTCAAGATGAGCAGGCGGGTTTGATTGCGGTCGTTGATGGTGCCACTGGGGGTTGTGAGGTTCCAAAAGTGGCGAATGAGGGACTGATGGGAGGGAAGCCGAACTCACGCGCCGCAGCATGAGAACGTCAGAAGAGTCCCAAGGGTGAGGCGATCGTCAGACAGCTCAATCAGTCTCAAGAACCCGAGATCCAGAGAGCCGACGATGATCCCGACGTGGGCGTTCAGCATGGGCGACAAGGTCTTTCTGGCGATGATGATGGAGGAGCCTGGGGCCTTTGTCGCCCGCCCTACAAGAGCGGTCTTACCGCTTCGGGCTAAGTGGATGACTCAGCAGACCACGTGGAGGTAGAAGCAAACAAAGCAAACATGAAAGGAGATCAACGACAAGCCATCAACCAACACAAGAAACACAACCGAGAGTGAAGGGAAATCAAAGCAACCTTTATTCGAATCCCACTTTCTGCTGAGCACAAGCACCCAAAGAAGATGTCAATCACCCTTTGAGACACTCGATCTCTCGGGGTGCCCATTCATCATCGAAAGGATTATCAATTTCTCTAGCTCCGTTACAAAATTGCTGGTCCGTTCGGAAACGACAAATGGACAAAAGAAGGACACAGCCGCTTGTTGCTTTTACGCTATACATACAAGTTTTTGTGGTCTGATGTATCCAAAGATACCCTCCCTATGAGCTTTCTTCAAAGCTGTAGAGCTGCATGCTTCTAAAGGAGAGATTGAATGTGACGATCAACTACTGCAAATGCTGGATGTGTTTACAGATTTCTTCTCAATATTCATTTGATCTACATGAAGGAAGAAACGCTAGAGGGAACTTGGCAGAAATCCAAAGATGATGAAAGAAGTCTGCTTCAGCTGCCACTTGGCTTTCTAGAAGTTGCTCATATCCTGCCGCTTTCCCCCGACACAAGTTAATGCAAATCCAGAATTGGTAGGTACCTTGATTAGAACCTGGTGACTGACCGCAAACACTCTCTTGGCTGAATAACATGCCCAGGATGAATCCAAAAAGGCTGCTCTTACAGATCTTAATATGTGCGATGTTCACTTCTCACTGATAGGGTAAATACTCACCGGCCATTAAATGCTATCCATCTTCCACAGGATCCCCATCAGCACTTTGGGAATTTTGATGTTTACCTTGAGCCTGCCCCTGGAAACGAACATATCTATCAAATTGAGAGTTTCATCCCTTCATTCATGTTGCAAAGTATTCGCCCGATACTTGTCAATCTTATGCTCTTTCTTAGGGAAGATAGATTAATAGATGCGCCTTCACCACAGCACCTTGTTATATACAGTTGATATGTATTAGCTCCCATGAACTAGAGTGTTACCGTGAGATTTGATTTCCTTGATAAGTATCACCGCCACTAGTGTTGCTCCTCGCCTCACTCAGAGACGAGTATATGTATGCACACTGCACCGCTGAGCGTGGATTAAGTGTGTATTTCAGTTCTGACGTGTATATACGTATGTATACATTGACAAATCGCATCATATCTACTACATCCCACTACTCAGCCGCTTCCTTGTCAATTGCGTCCGCCAGCTCCCCCAAACTAGCAAACTTCCATCCAAAAGCCACCTTTCCCGTCGCAACATACTCTGCAACCTCCCCACCCATCGCGCTGGCACCACCCTCACCCCTAGCAATCCAAACACTATTCAACCCGACTTTCTTCGCCGGCTCATGATCGTGATACAAGCTCTGCGCGACATGCAAAATATCATCCTTCTCCACCCCTAGATCCCGCTTGGCACGAGATATCAAATACTCAAAATTGCGCAGATCGGGTTTATACGACCCGATATCCTGCGCCGTGTAGACCGCGTCGAAGAAAGGTTCATGTGAGCCCGCGAGGTCACGATGGACTCCGGCTAAGGGGCCGCGGAGGGTTTTGTCAAACGAGGCACGGTCGACGTTCGAGATTGGGACTAGCTTAAAGCGGGTTTTCAGCCGGCGCATTGCGTCGACGGTGTCGTGGAAAGCAGGCCAGGTGGAGATGGAGGCGGCGAAGATGGATGATTCTTCATCCAGGAGTTGGGTTGCTGTTCGATCGTTACATGCCTGGGGTTGGGTGTGTGTCTCGATTGCCAGGCGTTCATAGGCGGTTTTGAGGACCTGGTTGTATGGCAGCTGCGGTTGCTCGGTTTGGATGGCGCGCTCGTGGTTAGCAAAGGCGCCGTTGAGAGCATGGAGGTCGGATTTCAATCGGTGTTCTAGGGGTAGCCGGGATGTTAGTGGTTCCAAAGCCTTGTGAATTCCGGATTCCCAGTCTATCAGAGTGCCGTAAATGTCAAAGGAGAGGAGGCGGAATGAGGTGAGGGGTCGATTTGGGGCCATGTTGACTGCGTAGCCCGAGAGAGCCGGCGAAGCAGATACTGGTATACGAGCTGGTGGCAGTAAAATATCGGCATCCAGATAGAAGCGCTTCTGGTCTAATACTTATATAGTAGAGTGGGAAAGCTCCAGCCTGCTTCATCATGCCATAAGGCGCCCCGCTACGCACGCGGGGTCGCTCAGCTTTGCTGATCGGGTCTCTTTTGGGCTCCCCGAAAAGTCAATGAAAATACAAGACTGGTATTGAGTTGGATGCAATGTAGCCATTTAAAGCACCCTAGATCTATTGTTGAATCCTCGTATATGCACGTCTAGATTTTACCCGCTTCCCCATTTTTCCCTTTTTGCATGTAAACCAACATCGTGAATCGTCACAGTTCAACATTGGCATTGATAATCGTCCTCACAGTCTGCCATCCCTCGCCTGCAGGCACCACAATGATCCGGCGCTCCTTATGTTCCAGCCCAACAAACTCCGGCGGTAAGACTTCATCAAAGGAGTAGCCGTGTTGGCCCCGCAACGCAAGGTCGACAGCTTGCGCAAATTTCGCCGGATGCGCCGTGGACAGTGAAATGTGGAATGATTCGGGGAAACGGGAGATAGATCGCAGCGATGCCGCGACACCGACTGCGGAGTGAGGGTCGAGAATATAGCCGCCTGTTTGACCTCTGGTTCCATGGCTAGCTGGCCCGCCGGGAAAGCACGTCGAATAGGTATAGCGGATCGTTTCGATGGTCTCGTCGTCCGACACGCGCTCACTTTCTAAATCTTTTTGTGCCAGCGATAGGACCTTGGAGTCTACGCTGAAACCTCCCTTGGTCTTTAGTTCGTTGAGCCATGTGCGGACGGTTTCGCCAGCGGACGCGCGTCGTTTGGTAATGTCCCCTTCGCATTTTACTTCGAATGCAAGGTACCAGAGTAGCCGTTCGAAGTTGCTGGAGACAAGGATGTCCATGGCTGGGCTCAGAGTTTCTTTCACGCTCCCTTGTGCGTTGGCGATTTCATCTCCTGACCCGGCGCTGGCATCGCGGGCTTGAGCTTGTTTCGTATATGCCCCCGTCTTCCAGAAACGGTCAAGAATATCGTTTTCATTCGTTGCAATAACCAGTTTCTCTGCGGGAAGACCCATTTCCTTGGCGAACCAGCCTGCCTATCATGCTATAAGCGCCATTCAGGCTAGGGATAGATGTACACTTACGAGGATATCGCCAAAATTCCCTGATGGCACCACGAACCTCACTGGCTTGCCTTCGATGTAACTTGGCGAACGGATAAGCTGGAAGTAGGAATGGAAATAATATGTCATTTGCGCCAAGATACGAGCGAAATTTATGGAGTTCACGGCCGCTAGCTTATGAGCTCTATTGATTTCAGGATCGGCGAATAGGGCCTTCACGATATCCTGACAATCATCAAAGGACCCTATTTCAATGGTTAGTGTCATGAGAAGAAGTGTAGATGAGTTGCCTTGGAACACTAACCTTCCACACTGAGATTATGAACATTCGAATCTAGCACTGTCGTCATTTGTGCTTCTTGGATGGGAGAGACCTAGTTGTGGTCAGTGACCTGACCCCAAAAATATTCTACCATCTTTTAGAGGATACATACTCTGCCTTTAGGATGGAGGATAAAAACGGAGACATCTTTCTTGCCCCGTAAACCATAGATAGCTGCAGAACCGGTATCTAAAAGATATCCATGAGCGCAATTCGTATCTCATAGCCTAAATAGCATACCTCCACTTGTAGCACCTACGACAACAAGGTGATGCCTATCCTTCCCGGTTTTGCCCTGCAAAATGGCCGTGATGTTAGCCCGATTCCCCGCTCAGGGAAGTAGAGGTCTAACCTGATTCCGTCGGACAAGGAAGTATTCAAACAGATTACCAAGGAACTGCAATGCGACATCTTTGAACGCAAAGGTCGGCCCGCAAAACAGCTCCAACAGATATAGCTTCTTCTTCTCTTCCAAGGTTACTAGCGGGGTGATATCTGGCGCCCTGTTTCCACCTGTCAGTGATTTTCAAAAGCAATTGACCCCAAGAAAAAGCACATATAATCACCTAAACGTCCCGTAGCTCCGCGCAATGATATCTTTCAAGTCATTCGGCGGAATTTCCGACGGCGAGATATACAGCGAGAAGATTTCAAACGCAAGCTCCTGAAAACTGTAGCTGCGCCATTTAGATTGCCAATCCGAAGGTAAAGAAGGTATCGCTTCGGGAATGAAAAGCCCGCCGTCTGATGCAAGGCCTTTAAGTACGACCTCCTCGAAGGAGAGCTACCCACGCGTAGAGTTAGCAATTGTAGATAGGGGAAGCTCTGGGGAGAGGGGTATGGAGGCAAAGCCGTACATCGTAAGAACCTCCTCGCGTACTAAGATATCTTTGGGAATCGGTATGCGACATGATTGAGGGTATAGAATCAGTCTCGATTTGATTGCTGTTGAGGGCGTTACGAGACCGGCTGGTCAGCTCTTCTTTGCGTCGGAAAAGGTTGATTGATAGCTCCCGCAATCGGAGTCATCCCCAAAGGTTCTCTTTGATACCAGATCTTACCGTAATATAAGCATGCGCACCACCAAAAGTAGACCGGATAAAGGCCGCCTTACCATACAGTACTGTATAAATTACAATACCCCACCACGGATCAAGCGCTCAAAATCTCTTCTGGAATTGAATGATATTCCTTCACCAGGCTCTGCTCTCTCTATTCTCACAAATGGCTTCTAATAAACTCGAACAAGCGTTGCAGGCGCTTGATGATGCCCACTCAGATGACCCCAATATTGTGACAATTGACCAGAAACAAATTCCCTACGAGCTCCATTATGCCGACAAGATGACGAAATACCTTACCCTTCACCAACCCTCTGCTTCAGAACTTCTCCGGCTAGCAGTCCGTGCTCAGCATCTTCGTCGGTGGGAGATACCTCGGTCGTCATACCCCATGAATAAAATGGGGTATCTGTCATGGAGAGCCGCGCTGAAAAAGCGTCATGCCAGTTTGGCTGAGGAGATTTGTTTAGATTGCGGCTACTCAGCAGAGGAAGCGGCGAAAGTTGCGGCACTGGTTCGCAAGGAGAATATGAAGACGGATGAAGAGTGCCAGGTCTTAGAGGATGTCGCGTGCCTGGTGTTCTTGGATGATAAATTCGAGGAATTCGAGCGAGAGCATGATGAGGAGAAGGTGATAGGAATTTTGAGGAAGACTTGGGGCAAAATGTCTGAGAGAGGACATGAGTTAGCTCTCAATATCCCTCTCTCGAGTAAAAGCAAGGAGCTGATTGCAAGGGCTTTGTCATAGACGAACGTGTAGTCTCATTGAGCTTGCTTATGGCCGTTCATACATTACCCAAACACAAAGGGAAAAAAAGAGCTCAAATAGGGGACGATAAAGGAGATGGTGACGTGAATTTTATTTCAGAATCTAAGGCCGGTTACCCCTTTGACTCTACCCTTATCAGTACCGCGCACCAAGGCAAAAAGCGAAGTTGAAAATAGCATAAACGACCCGAGAGTCTGCTCAGAATACAAAAGCCGCAGGCCCCTCCGTTCTGCCCTTATCAATCCCACGCACCAAGGCAATTGCAGCCCCGAGCAGCCAACCCTCCCACAAAGATCATTTGCAATCCGCCTTTAAGGCCGGCCACGATGTTCTCTTTTCCACGCCAGCCACGCACGACGCAGGTCTTGATATATCCGAAGATCAATAAAGTGATTGCCATGACACCAACGCTCCAATAGAATGCCACGAAGACTTTCTTCACGCAAAAGTAAGGGATCAGAGGAATGAAACCGCCAACAAAATAGCAGACGGCAAGAGTTAGGGCTGAGATCCAGGGTTGGTTACAATTAGGCTCGACTTCTCGATGATGAAAGACCAAAAGGAATTCCATAAGCAGGTCTGGCGAATTGTGCAACCTGTCACTGATCGCAGTGACGATGCGCTCTGGAACCCCGAAACGAGCAAAAACCTGTCTAACGCGGTTGGCTGTTTCATCTGGCGCTGCGTTGATCAATTCTTCAGTTTCACGCCTAGTCGTTCTGTATGATTCCCTACTCCAACGTTAGCTACCCTTCCTAGCTATAAAAGCTCTGGTGGAAACTTACAATTCACTTTTAGCTCCCACAAAACCACCGAGACCCATTGAAATAGCGCCAGCTGCAAGCTCTGCTAGGCCACCGACGACCACGAATCGAGTCTCTCCGAGGGCTGACAGGCCGGCACTGAGCGCAAATGGAACAGTAAGGCCATCTGAAAGTCCCAAGATTGCATCTGAGACGATCTTGGGGTTCACTCGAACACGAGTAGGAGCGTTGGTGATCTCATTGCCCGTATGGTCCAAAGTGGCATGAGTTTGGGCTTCGACATCAAGAAGTCTACGATTAGGATCATCGTCTCCGATAGCACGATGAGGAAGCAATGGACCACGTTCTGCAAATTGACAGTCAGCTCAGGCTCTCAAAAAGACTGACTTGGTTCCTTGATCGAAACTCACCGAGTCTTTGGCGGAGACGCTCCTGGAGGGACGGATTGGCTGGGCCATACATCAGTCTCTTCAGAACCAAGAACAGGGCCATTTTAGCTGTTGCTCCGTTAAAAGAAGGTGATGGTGAAGGACGGTGGGAGGAAGAGAAGAGAAAGAAAAGTGAGCAAGTGTTCTTGAAGGCTCTGTTCGTGTGCCCTGCCGAGACTGTACGTATCAGACAGAGCAGCAGCAGCACAATGTGTATTCTATACAAGCTTTTAGCTTGATGCCAGAGAATTGATTCACCTGTCCTGGCCTATACAGCAACAGATGTTGAACATGATATTCATAAAGAAAAACATCATGGCCATGATGTTGGAGAAGACCTTTTGCTCTAGACCCTGCACTGTTATTGATTAATGTCAAATGAGAAGTTAGATATTTTTAACCACTTCCACACTCAGATGGGTATCTCTGTCTCTCTGCAGCTGTGCATCTGTGATATCAGCCTGTGACATTAAAGTTCCGACGGAAGTGCTGTCCACGCACCCAATCAAAGCAATGCTGATTGTAAGCTCAATACGGGAGTTTTGATTGGATTAGGTGGATTAGTCAGCCTAAGTTCAACCCTCCACCATTTCGACCGACGCGCATGAGATATCTTTTGGCCCTGATATTTTGGTGACCTGTCTTCCTCTTTGAAGCGATTCGATTCTTATTCGGTTACTGACTACAGTTTACCTTTGCGAGCCGGACTTATTTCTTAAATGGATGAGAAAGGAACTTCCGAAGGCCAAGATCCCTCTGCCTTTTTAAGCGGGATCACTGGGGCTTCAGTAACCGTGAAATTGAATTCAGGCGTTGTCTATAAAGGTGCGCGTAATCATTTAGACCATCAATATGAGCTTATTTTGACATTTTTGGCTATAGGTGAACTACAGTCTATAGACGGGTATATGAATATTGCCCTGGAAAAGACGCAAGAATATATCGATGGGAAGCTAAGGAACTCCTATGGCGATGTATTTGTTCGGGGAAATAATGGTAAGATTGTGCCCTACAGTTCTTACAGTACTGGGAGACTAACATATTATATAGTACTCTACATATCGGCGGACTGAAGGTATTCTGACGAAGTATGCTTTTGGTTTTTTCGGATGTTTAGGGCCAGAAGACACATGATCTTGAAGTTCTTGTACGTGTCGACCCTGTTGTATTTGTCTTGCAGTCGATGCTGATGACTACAGTGGGCTTTGCAGTGACCGGATTCCGTTATGAGTTGAGGGCTTGACATTAACCCTCATAGTGTAGGCGGTTCGAATGTCCCGCCTTTGTTCTGAAAGGCCACCACCCATCTAACTATCGTGGGGGCTCATCATTGAGAAGGCATTGGATTTGATGCTTGGCACAACTCTAATATGTTTGGACGGTGCATTCGAGGAGGTTGTGACATTTCAATCAATACATGATAATCATGGGACGTTTTACTCCATAATATTTCAGTAGCCTTTCCAACAAAGAAATCCAATATAACTTAGCTCAGAAGCACACTTGACAGAGCTCTAGTCAGGTTTATGTCCCAATCTTTCACGGGAGAGGAACGGTTATAGACACATCAGGCGGTCCCACAACTTCCAAAGCGCAAAACAACAGGCGTAGCTATAACCAGGACTTGTATGTACAGCCACTTTATACAACGATCGCGGCGCGAGATACTTTGCGCTCGTTTACGCTCCACCCTCTCTTTTAGCGTATTCGTCCTCCATCCTCTCTTGGTACAAACGATCGGCTTCCTCCCTGCTCAGTTGCCCCTCTGTCCCTGTACCGTGCTCAGACATGCCAGTTGCGGATGAAGCGATAGACTGCGACGACGATTGGGACTCTGATGATGAGGAGCTGCGCGACGATGGTTGCTGATTACCGCTCGATGAGTCGGCGGGGCCAGGTGCTGGAGTGAGTTGGATTGGCATCATGGATAAGAGGATAGAGGAAGGATTCTTTGTAGGTCTCAGGAGGTAGGAAAAGAGATGGCGATTAATAATTAATGTTGGATGAAATATTAATCCTAGAGAGAACGCCGACTTCTTATACTTGGGAGTTTGCTTGGACTGGAGTGGCGAGCTGGGAGCGACGTCATTAAACACGTTGAGAAAATGGAGTTCAGCGTCATCAGCAGCTCTTCCAATCCATTCCCTGCGCATCCTTACTAGCTAGGTACACGTCCGCTCCATGCCACTTGAAGCCAGTCCAATAATTATCTACTACTTTTTCTTCTCCAAGATCCCACATGAAGCGAGACCATTGATGAAAAAAAGACCAAACCTCACTCTCGCTATGGAGCAAGTAAAGAGTCAAAAATTGCGCCTCTCAAAGACCCGAAGGCCGATGAACAAGACGAGTCCGCCGCGCTGTGCAATGCAGGGACCATCTCATGGGAGCCCGCCTTCATGATCGCGGTTCCCGAGACAAGGTAAGTATGAAGAAGAGAAAAGAAGAAAAAGAGCAAAAGAGTTGAGGGGGCGAAGGGATATTTATACCCTGGCGGCGGATTTGGGTTTCACGCTAAGGCTAAGCGAGCGCAGCTGGCATGATGTGATTGGATGACAGCTTATGTCATGTAATATATGACTAAGGCTTGGCAAGATAATCTTGGCAATATCAATTGATTTGATATCAAGCCTTCAAGACTCGCGAAGATGCTGGGATGCGTTCATGAGTACATTCTCATCACAATTATAATAATAGTCCTAATTATGTACAGCCTTGAAGAATAATGGCCATCGCAAAATCCCAATTTCTGGAGATGACCCCCCACAAATGATAGCGTGCTATTCGTAGACGTGAACCGCGTTGCATCACCACTCTTCGTAACCAGCACTTTTCAACAACACCACTAGCTATGATCAGCACCCTCTACATGCTCATCATCCTCTTTTGAACCCTTCTTTTTCTTTGCCCTCTTTCCCTTGGCTCGTCCCTCACCAGTAGTGAGCGGCGCCTCTTGAATCCAGCGGATGATCCCTTCCGCTCTTTCCGTACATATCGGATACTCCTTTCCATCTTCCTGCGCCCAACGCTTGATCAGCGGACTGCCACCTTGTCCGCCCGTCTTCCGCTGCTGCACTTGCTGCTCCATGCGCTTCTCGCGCGCTTGAACAGCAGCTCGGAAGCTTGCTTCGTCAAATACCCGATCGTCTCCCAGTGCCTCCAGGATCGCTTCATGTTTTCGGCTCTCCCGCTTCTCTTCTTCCGAAATATCGAGCTTTTCAATCCCTTGGGTTTGGGACAGTGGTGCTGGCGTGCAGAGCGATTCCCACGATTGTTTCAGGTCGATCCAATCGTGGACGTGGCTGATTACTTCGATCCAATCGGCGCGCGAGGGGGAACGCGGAGCTAGGAAGATCGGGTACCCGTCGCACACTCGGGCAATTCGAGCAGTCATATATGCGTGGCGAAGGAGTTCCTTTGACGACGTCTGGACGAGGGCATGACAAAGAAGAAGAGAATGAAGAGCGTCGGTTAGAAGAGGATGATAAGTGACAGCTTCGTGAGAGGAACGATCATCGCTGGTCGCATTACCGCCGGTTTGAGATGCTGGAACCAGTTCCTGGGATTCGGCGGGAAAGGGAGGTAGATCGGCGGGAGGCTGGGCAGTAAAAAGATCCGAGACCTTGTAGACTATGGTCGAAGGCAGAGACGACTGGCTGTCTTTCCCAGAGCCGCCATCATCGTCGTTCCCGGATTCCAGCAAACGCCCTGAATGATTCCGTGGACGTCGCGGCTTGCCGAAATTACCAGACGCTGTATAGTTGACTTTTCGTAGAAACGCTTCGGCAACCTCACAAGAAAGCCCCGGCGTGTAATCAAAGTGTGATAAAAAGCTCATATAGTCACGAAGGGCCCGCCGAGCATTTGTCTTCACGATTTTTCGGGCTTCTAGCCACCGGCGATATGCCTCTTTCCCAGCAGGAGACAATGAAGGTGCACTCCCGCCTTCGCTCTCGGGCTCCTGTGGAGAAAGACTTTCCTTTTCAGACAGTTTCAGATACTCTAGGGCAGACGCGATATGCTGGCAGGCAACGCTCAAGTAGACACCGGCCCGATGGAACAGTAATTGTGTCTCTAGCCCGGTCGGCTGGTTCTTCTCATCGACTCTCAATTCCTCCCGAATGTCCATGACCTGCGGCTCGTTTACCTTTCCAGCATTTGGCGACTCAGTTCCACTTCTTCCTTCCATATGCGCGGTTCTGTACAGTCGATGGACGCTCAATCCCTCTGTCAGATCCCTCGCGGCACCCATATAATCCTCCTTAAACACCCTCGTCACCGCTCTCGTCCTAAACGTCGACCCTTCCCGAGGCCGCGAGGCAATTATCTCATCCAACGGCTCCAGGCTCGTACACTGCGCCAAAGACCGCGACGGAATCTTCTCATGGAAAAAATGCACATACTTTGCGTCGCAATCGAACTCGTTCCGCTGCAGCACCAGCTTGGCTACATCCTCCAATGCAGACGCAGACTGCATCGTCGCCACACTCGCCGCAATCTCATCCAGCCGATATGCCTTGGACAGCTTCTGCGTCGCATGTTCTCGCATCCGATGCCTCCGCTCCCGACTTAATTTTGCATGTCCGCCTCCTCCGCCTATCCCAAGTCCCAGCACGGCGCTGCTTCCACCACTCAAGATCCCATTGGCAGCGTTGAGAGAATTCCCAAGCGCCGAAGACGTGGTCCCGTTCGCGGCGCGGACGGCAAGATCGGTAGCTTCGTCGATCGAGCGGCGAATCTTGACGATGTCGAAGAACACGGCGGGATCGATCGGGTGGGGACGGGGAGAGGCATAGTTGCTGTAGGACAGCGTCTCGAGTATATCCGGAGGCAATTGAAGCCAAGGACCGTGGAAAGAGGAAATGTATCGCCAGTGCCTTTTTGGTTGTTTTAATAAAAAGCATTAGCAAAATGGGACGAAGAACCGCCCACCGTCCCCCCAGAACTGGGCGAAGGAAGAATGTAGATATTGTAATTACCCGAGACCCTTTCAAAACTTACTTATTCCGGCATAGATAAGGGCAGACGTCGATGGCTGTGCTGCCGGCTTGCTCTTCTCACCACTTTTCTTCGCTGCGGATCCTTGCACCGTCGAATGCGGCGACTGAGGATCTGGAGATGCAGGAACGCTTGCTGCCACCGAGCTCTCCGCCTTGGTGTCCTCGCTCGTCAAGCTGAGCTGGGACTTCTTCTTCCTCGGCATCCTGCTACAACGTCAGACGAAGTCCGCCGGCCAGTGGTTCTGAATTCTTTTTGGAGAGGTCTGGGGCCCTTTTTTTCCGGTGCAGGGCTTGTTCCCTATGGCTTGTCTGCAGATGATGACGAAAATGAAGATCGGAAAGTTTTGCGCATCTGTGGCTCTGGCCGGGTGGCAGCTGAAATGTAAATTCAAAATCTTAAAGATCACGCAAATATACCCGCAAGAGGAATGAGAGCTCAGTGTAAAAATACTATTTGTGTGTGAATTAAAATTAAAATGTCTATGTGTCGTGGTGTTGAGCCCGGTGAAGAGCTGTAACATATCAACCGCTCCTACCGTCTGAAATCCCTGTACTGGAACGAGAGTCACAACCGACGACCAGGTGCACCAAAAAGCACTGCTGAGGATGAGAATATCAACAGTTGACTATTTAAGGGTATCCTCAGTCCTATCCTCGCCACTACAATCCAATGAAAATGCTGAGCAACACGCAGGGTCACCTTCAACCCGTTTACTCTGCGCTGAGAGCAAGACATGCATCAACTGCCAAACCGACTCTATGATATCTAGTTAGTAATGGCGAAAGCAATGCAGCCAAGAGGATTTAAAAAGAGGCAGTTACCTTCCCTCCTTCATCCTAACTACATCATCAATTACATCTTTGTCCAAGTTGGGAAACATGCCGGATAGGGTCCTTTTGACAATGTGTTAGCATAGATTGAAAAAGCATGAGGGGCGTCCCTGGCTTACTCTACAACATCAACATGTTCGGCACGCTGGATGCGGTGCGCCTCGGCTGCTTCAGCACTGGCCTGGCGTGCGGCGGCCTCCTGTGCTTCGAACTTATGTCCTTGTCCTTGTTGCTGCGGTGAACCGTTGTTCCAACTACGCTGGCGTGCAACGCCCGTCCGCACATTGTTCTCCTGATGCTGTTGGGATGCAGCCGAAGTCGGACCTGCACCTTGCTGCTGCGGAGTTAACACGCGGTGTTGTTGTTGAGATTCAGTGTCATCTGAGAAAATTCGGCCTATTGTAGTCAAGGGTTTCTGGATTGTTCGTAACAGCCCGGCCATTGAAGGGTTATCCTCTGAATTAGACGCGTAGGGCGATTCGGTCGATCTTGACCCCTGTTCTTCTGAATTTCGAGGAGTCATCTCGCGAGACCCTGGAGATTTCTCGTTTTCTGAATGAAGCAGATTTTCCGCAGCCTTGTTCTTTTCTGCGATGGCAGAGACTGCTTCTTCAACATTCCGGTCAAACTCTTCTTGACTGACCGTCAAGGTGGTCCGGTCAAGCGTTTCAATAAATTGTATGGCACCAGACTAGCAAAATATTAGACGCTTTTGAGTATAAAAATTAAGTAACCATACCAATGAAGATAAATAGTATCCGGCTTCTCCGCCAAGTTTCTCCTGATTGCGAAATCGAAGTATATACTGAAGATTTGACACCAGATGTTCGGGATTCGCTTTCAAAACGACATAAATGAGAAGTGGCATGAAAGAATCCGCAGATGTGTCACTATCCTTGGAATTCTTCAATAGGCCTTCGGGTAGTCAGTGACTTGATGTTTCACAAGGATATATGCATAAAATCTTACCAAATATGACCTTGCAACAATTCAAAATGCAAATGACCTTGTCTCTCGGGGCACGGTAGCCTTTTATCTTCAAAAGCTCTATAACATCGTTTAGAAACCGCCAAATGTTGGATCACGCGGGCTCACTTGCCTTGCTGTGCAAGATGGAGAAAACGATGGCCGTTTGGGCCAACCGGCGGAATGTCTAGATGCTCTTCTCGCACCCAACCATAGATACGGATCTTTTGGGCTAGAATCTCGTCCCGCTCAACATCCTCTTGGTGCTGGCCTCGCCGGCCAGGGCCCAGGAGCTTTTGTAAATCTTTTCGGCGCCCACGACTCCTATTTCGGGGGAGTACCGGGGGAGGAGGTATTGTTGGAGAGAAGGTTTGGGAGTATAGGCGGTTCATAACGAGCTTTTCCATGCCCTCTTTGGCGTTGTCAAATTCAACGTCGGAAACTTCTTTCCATACGTCGCACATGGCCATCTTGTTTGTGATAAAAGCTAAAAAATCACTTATTATTTTAACCTGTTCGTGAACCATCCATTGTCTTTTGCCGAATTCCGTTAAGAATGAACGAAGGAATTTGGCGACGGGGTCCGCTGTCCGGTGTCGGAGCTGCTCTAGAAAACGGTGAAAATCGAATGGCCGATCCGGCTCGGGCTCCGGGAGAGATGCGTTAGTACTTTCTGCTTGTTCATTAATGGGCGCCTTCTGCGATGTATTTGGTGGAGACTTTGGCGGCACAGCGGGAGGGGAGAGGGACCGTCGAGAATGGCCTGACAAAATGGAAGACCGTCGCGGTTGCCAGGGACTAGATTGGTGTTCTCCCGCACTATCGACGGATACAACTGGTTCAAGGCTAGATTTCCGGGGAGGAAACGGTGGGTGTGCGGCTAATTCAAGCCGGGGAGACATAATTTCCTCCTGCCGCAAACTTCTACTTTCATCGGCGAATTGTTCCATTATGCTCTGGATCTCAGACTGTGAGTCCTCGCTTTTCCTGCCTTCTCCTTCTCCTTCACTCTTCTCCTCACCGACATCACTTTGTTGGAGATTTCGAGGCACATCGGGAAGGTCTTTGTCGGCGTAAGTTGGGGTTCCGATAGGAGAGGGCGGAGCTTGGGGAGTTTTCGGTGTAGGGTCTATATAAGTGTCGTCTTTCTGAGGTGGCGGAGGAGGAGAAAGGGAATCGGCATTGGTATGAAGTTGAAGTGCAGGTACGCCATCTGCGGTGCGTTTAGAGAGCGACAAGCGCTCTACTGGCTGCGCAAGGGCTTCCGCATTCTGTTCGGGAGTTGTCTCAGGTGGGTTTCCAGGAGAGCCACCCTCGAGGCCCATTTTCAGAGAAGCCCCGGACGAAGCGTTGTTTCCTCGAGGCTGCTCGGATGTATCCATAACTCCATCGAATCGGCCTGTAGCGTTCTCACCATTTTCAGGAGAAACGGGACATTTGTGGCTGCTGCCGGCTGGAGGGGGAGTGACTGGTTTCTCGTCCGGCCTCTCAGTACCAGGAGATTCTATCCCTCGACTTGGGTTGTTGTCTGGCGTCGGTGAACTGGAAGTTGGAGCTTCTGTTGGGGGAGGCATAAGCTCAGGTCACTGATCTAGTTAGTTAACCAGCTGTTGACGTGGACGGAGAGGAGAAGAGAACGAAGAAGCAACGGAAAATTAGCAGCAAGGCGCAGTCATCCTGATAAACACGCACCACGCAGGAACCAAGCGAGTCTGTCAGCCCAAAACCACTCTGTCTGAGATGTGATGCTGTGTTGCGGAGGGGAGCAATGAACGCATTCAACCTGGGGGCTATTGGTTAACGTACTGGGTCACGGGCTCACTCTCGGGCCATTGTTAAACCGATAGCATTCCCAAGATGAAACTTCATTCTTGATATCCAACGTCAGTCCTTTGGTCACACTTCCACATGCTCGGTCTGCTGCCCCGGGCAGTTCGAAATGTGTGGCATCTTCTTTTCTTTGGGCAGCACGGGGTTTGTTCATCCTGAAGAAGATGCACAGCGCATTATCAGCAACAGAGGGCCTGACAGCTATCAGACAAAGCACACTTGCATACCACATCATAGCCATGCTTGCCGTGGGGAAACAGAGTGTGCAAGATATCTAACATTCATATCCTCTGTGCTTGCACTCAGGGGTGATCGCCTAGAAGCGCAGCCTGCTGAGGATGCTGCAAGCAAGTCTGTCCTCTGCTGGAATGGAGAAGCGTGGAAGATATCAGATGAGGTGGTCCAAGGAAATGATACCCATCGCGTTTTTCAATTATTCCTAGATGCTGTGAAGCCTTCTGGGGATCCTGCACAATCAATATCGGAGAAGATCCCGTTAGTCAACCTGGTGCACGCCATTAGCAGCATCGCAGGTCCCTTTTCTTTTGTCTTTTATGATGACTTTGGATCGAGAATTATTTACGGCAGAGATTTTTTAGGGAGACGGTCTCTCCTGACTGGGCGGGACAGTGAAGGGAACTTGAAGATCTCCAGTGTCTGTGATGGCACCTCGTCCAGTTGTTTCGAAGAAGTAACCACTGATGGAATTCATGTTATTGACCTTACTCGAGGTGACTGTCATTTTGAAATAGAAACGATTCCATGGATACATGGAACAACTTCTCTCCCAATTTCTCTCGTGCGTCTGTCCTTGGATATCAACGAGCTTCAAACTGACAATGTCACAGCAGGCACCTATCCCTCCGATGAACAAGGCGTTACCGGGCATTGCAGTCCCTTTGCCGCTCATTACCACTTCACCACCGGTGCGCGAGCTAGAAAGTTCTCTCCGTCGCTCACTCGAACTCCGCATCCAGTCAATACCCGACCCTCATACCGCTTCAACAGGCGCAAAGCTCGCAATCCTTTTTTCGGGGGGATTGGATTGCACAATTCTAGCGAGACTGGCGCATGATTTGCTACCAAGCGATGAGCCTATTGACCTTCTAAACGTTGCATTCGAGAATCCTCGAGTAGCTGCAAATTCCCCAAAGAACGACAGCCCTAATTCAATCTACGAGGACTGCCCAGACCGTAAGACAGGGCGATCCTCGTACGAAGAACTGTGTCGGGTTTGCCCTACCCGCTTATGGCGGCTTGTTTGCATCAATATTCCTTATACGGAGACAACACAACACCGAGAGACGATCCGACGCCTGATGCGCCCCCATAACACAGAAATGGATTTGTCGATCGCATGTGCGCTATATTTCGCGTCACGCGGTATTGGAGAAATGACAAACAGCAATAGCGAGGGAGGCGCAGTTCCCTTCACAACCACCGCCCGAGTCCTCCTTTCAGGCCTTGGCGCAGATGAAGTTTTCGCGGGATATCAGCGGCATGCTCTTGCGTTTGCGCGCCAAGGCTTCAAAGGCTTGGTTGATGAAATCGATCTTGACGTAGGCCGGCTGGGGAAAAGGAATTTGGGACGCGATGATCGCGTCATTTCGAATTGGGGCCGCGAAGCGAGATACCCTTATCTTGATGAGGAGTTTCTTACACGGGCCCTTCAGCGACCCGTCTGGGAGAAATGTGGCTTTGGCATACCATCCGGTCTCGCGGATGAGAATCCTCCGTTGGAGCCGGATATTGAGCCAGGGAAAAAGGCACTACGCTTGGTGGCATGGAATCTGGGGTTGAAAAAGGTGGCCCGAGAGAAGAAAAGAGCGATCCAATTCGGGTCTAGAACTGCAAAGATGGAAAGCGGTAGGAGTAAGGGGACTCAAATTCTTTCGTGAAAAGGGAAAGATTACATTCTCCCCGTTCGCTTTGTCCCATGAAAGCAAGCACAGCGATGATGACGCACAGATACTTCTGATACCTCATCTCCCTCTCTCTCCCCGTACCCTCTCTTTCTGCCTTGAGTTCTCGATGCCACCGTTGCTCAGGCCGTACCCTTCCTCCTATAGCACCCCATGCGCCAGTCGTGACGTAGAGCGGGAGCTTCAGAGAGAGTGTTGCGGCCGGGAAGCGGAGCGGAGGGATGGGCACGCGAGGAATGGGCGGGGAATGAAGGAACATTGTGTCAATGAAGGAAATATAAAGGCAAGTCTGAGCTGTGCTGGGGATGTGTATGAGGGGTGGTCATGGATGTATGTACATCCTCACCTACCTCGTTGGCCTCTTTTTTATTTTAGTCTCTTCAGTTTCCCTTGCAGAAAAAATTATAATTGCTTGTGACGTGTGTCCGCTTTGTTAGATTTTAGGGAGTCGAATATCTCCTTGGATGTATGCCGGTTTTGGTCCGTATTAGAATCCGACAAGCTCTACAATCCCGTAGGCCATAGGTGGATCTGTAGTGGCACAGTTGGTATACTAAAATTCGATCACGTTCAGCAGTGGAGGCAAATTCAAAAGCAACAATAATAAGATACCCAGGAAAAATGTGGGTAGCATGCCACGAATCCAACGGAATATAGGCTGATAGTCCACGTCCGGGAACATTAGGAGCCAGAGCAGTAAACTGGGAACAGGGCTCGTGAGCCTCGATACCAAAACAGAGCGGTACTGAGTGGAGTTTATTGAGAAACGATCACGATTAATTATTATTAAGACATCAGTGTCAAGACAGTCAAAAAGAGTACTAGCTACAAGTCCAATCTCGCGATTCAAAAAATGGCAGCAAAGCATACTCGCGACGCAACCACTGATAAACCAGCTGATGGTGCCAAATAGGGAGGTAAGACAGCATGACCTGTAGAGAGAGGAATATGTATGACAAGAAGGGTCAGATGAACCACATCCATACAGTAAGACAGAAAGAAAACGCAAGCGAACTTGAATAAATTGGTCAATATCAAAACAGGGTAACAATTGGGTATCGGGGGGTATTGGGTATCATTCGTGTCCACCTCGCAGTTTTAATTTTTGTAATTCCCAAACACAACGCACCGAAAGACAAAAGCGTAAACAAATGAAAGAGAATGGCCGCGCCCTTTCGAGTAAAGAATTGTCATGTGAAAGTGAGATAAGAGAGTTGGTGGGGATATTTGACTGTATTCCAGTTCATGGCATCATAATGGGTTTCTCTCGGGGGTTGTCGAGCATGGATGTTATTCAGGGGCTTCCAGATCGTGATGCATAAAAGCCGACTTATTCAGTTACGAACATGCCAGGACGAGACATGTAGCGCTGGTCCCACCACTTCTCGATCTCAATGACGCTCGTCCTGGCGTTGGTCCTTCATGCAGCAGCTTGGACGGGCTGTACACAGGTGCAGTGGTTAGTCTCGGCGGGTTTGTTCTCGGTGGG